TGGCTCAAGTAAAACGCTGGCTTGCTTATGCTAACATCCCATTGTCGTGCGATACGTTACGATAGGTTTGTCCATATATGATAAAACCTGATAGGATCACCACGATTACTTCACGATTAAAACCACGAATCGTGATAGCATGAGCAGTAGGTCTCGGATTCGCTCCATGTGTTGGTGGCAAAATCCTCAGGATTTTGTAGTATGGTTTCTCCTTGTCTAAACGTTCGGATGTGACGAAAACCGAGGCCCCGTGTACACATTGGCGTACACATTCGAAATAAGAGTAGGCCGTAGTATCACTGTCCTAGCAAATTCCCCTTACTGTATGACGTTATGTCCGTCCTCATTAGCCTAGTCGGAGCAGAAAATTACGACCCTAAACCTTCAATAATTCGCTTGTACTCAGGGGTATTTAGCAGTGGAAACCAGAGAGAGAATAACCCAAGATGTTAAACAAGAAACCCTATACTCCTTGCCATGATCTATATAACGGCCACCGTGTGCCTATTTGCATACATTTTATAAACACCGACGAAAGATAAATAATTGTAAAAGGGAGTTGTACAGCAAACTGATGGACCGGATAAAGACAGTCTATTGCAATGCAGACTAGCGTTTATTTTGACGAGATTTGACATTCGCGTGGTATATATTTTCTGGTCTTAATTTTGGTTGGCTTAGGACACTACATACATTCTCTGTTTCCTCTGAATTATAGTTTTAGTCCCTGTGATTGGTCAAAAACCATTCTTGCCCAAGTCATGTAGCGTGTCTGTCCTTTGGGATGAAAAAATCCATGTTGGGTCTGGTGAACACACACTACGTGTATAGGCGTAGGAGCCGGTGTGGGGGGAGCATTTTCCGGGCAATGTATTTCCGTTTTTCGGGCACAAACATCAGAGAATGAGACCATATATCATAGAAATATAATTGCGTAACTGTAAAATGAAATTAGTCACGGTTTACGACTTGACTTCTTTAATACTTAAGACCTCGCGCAATAACATTGTTTGTGGAAAATTCGTTTTAGTTAATGATTGATTCTGAAAAATTCGGGTGGCCAAGAACATTTTCGGGCAAATAGCCTTACACCGCACCCCAACCCAATTGAGATTGTCCCCCTACGCCTATGAGTTATTGTTAGACCTTACTGTATTTTTAAATCCAAATACTGTATTGTAAATCCAAATACTGGTTGTAAGTGGTATAGAACCGACAAGATAACACGCCATTTAAAGACATTAACACTGTATTTGGACAAGATATCATGTCCGTTTAAGAAGATAACGCGTCATGTAGAGAAGTTAACATGGTATTTAAACAAGATAACATGTTAGTTTAAAGTAGCTAAGTCTCTAACTCAATATCATCCAAAGTCTTCGACATTGAAAACACGAATTATTTGTTTTAATTTAAATCAACATTGATGTTGGGATCTTACCTTGAAAAGATGTGCTTCCGATACCCAATATTTAAGACAAAATAAGCATTTTACCATTGGTGCACCATAATGCGTTTCAGCGCCATTTGTAACAAGGGACTCAAAGAACGGCGCTAGACATATTCTACAAATCATGTTGAACGGCTAAATCTATTTGTTAAGGCCAGCTCAATTTTTGTCAAGGTCGCTGAGATGTAAATAAGGTTAGGGCACGTGATTGTTGGCGAGATTGTAGATTAGGGTCAGGACAAACATTGGGGCTAGGTCCAGGGTTAGGTTTAGGGTTGTGTCAATTTCTAGGTCCCAAATATTAGCGATTTAGCTCCTTTAACATGATATGAGAAGATACAAGATAGCATAACACTCAAGAAGATGTGATATTTCTTGAGGAAGATATCATTTTAATTTGAGATAAGTTAACAAGGCACTCAGTTCACAAGACATCACGAAACATCTTAACATAAGACAGCTACGGCGTTCCATACGCAACTAAAACTCATCTGGTGTTCTTTACTTCTAATTCTGATGCCTCTATAATGCCTCAAATCTTTAATAAAATAATATGCTCACCTCGGTGCTGTAAGGACGTAGGACGAGGTGGGCGGAGGAGATTAATCTTCGATATTTTCCAAGCTCGGTTATCACTTATTAGGGGTAGTGTCTGTGGGACTAACAACGAAAATATAATGCCTCAAATCTTTAATAAACTAATATGCTCACCTCGGTGATCTAAGAACGTGGGACGGAGTGGGCGGAGGAGATTAATCTTCGATATTTTCCAAGCTCGGTTATCACTTATTAGGGGTAGTGTCGGTGCGGGACCAACAACGAAAGTGTGTCTAGCCATCGAGGTCACGTGTGTACAAATGGGAAATGCACATTAAAATAAGCCTTGGAAGCTTTTTAATAAGTATAGGCAGGGATGTCGCCTACCCTGCCCTCATAAATGCAAAAACAAAAGAAACTCGAAATGGTTGGTAACGCTCGAATCCGATGAGATTTCCTAACAAGGTAAATGGGAGGGAGCGGGGGTGGCTATGTACCCTCTCTTCCGAAAATGTGCCATCGAATATTGTGCCCCCTTTTTCTGCTGCCCTTCCCTTGTTCCAACTAACTCCGTTTTTCATTGATGATGTAAGCGCCCCATACAAGATCAATCAGACCATGATTTATACGGATGACTTCCAGAATAGATTTCACAGACGGATTAATATTTCCATAATATTCAGAATCAACTAATTTGTTTATCTAAATGAATTTAGGAAAATTGCAACACGGGCGACGGGGACGTTTTTGCTGGTTAGCATACTCAGGGCCAATACGCAAACCGTCACAACGAATGACATTTAATCTTGTACCAGTAACTTCCTTGGCCTGGCTTAAAGTGTATTTTGATCGTCTTCTCGTTCTTGGGGTTGTCAGTCTACTTCCAATTCTACCGCCCTACCCCTACCCTAATTAGGGAACAGAATCGGATGAAACTTGGCAGGTACCCTTTGTAAGGAATACCAGTCCCTTTTGATGCTTGTTTTTCTTTACTCACAGGTCGTTTAGTTCTTGATAGCAGCTAACTATGTTCATGTTCAGATCTTTACAACTTAATCATAATCATAATCACTTAACCAAGTGTCAATGTATGGTATGTCATGACATACGTCAAATCGCTTCTACCATGTGCCACAGAACTGAAATTTTCACGATCCTACCCCCTCCACCCTAAAGTGCCCTAACTTTGGTCTGCCTACCCTCGGAGGCCCTATCACGCCCTTAGCTTATTGTTGAACTTAGTCATGACTTTACACCAAGTTTTATTCTGTCCTAAATTCTCTGTCATTGAAATTGGTATCTCCGCTCATTATTGAACGTAAGCCAGGAATCTTAATCGGCTCACTGTTGTCGGCCTCCAATAGGCCTACCCGTTATCTTTCCGTCATTTTGGGAATGACGATCTGCAGTTCACTGCATATCTGACAAACAGGCGATATTGTATCAATCTGTGTCTCAACATTTGAATCATTTTCTTAAATAAATTCGCGACGCGCTTCTGTAGGTTTGGCCATCTTGGCTCCATTTTCGAGGTTGGTGAACGAAATCGGACACGCCCACGACACTGCGTCCACAGTGGGCTGAGAGCGACCCCTTTCGTCATGCCTGCTACGCTGCTTCCGTAGTGGACAGTGGTCGACCAGAGCGTCTAAATGAAATTTAGTTGATGCTTGATGAATGCGATCGTATTAGATCTGAGGCGGACTCGACCACTCGTAATCCCCAAATCTCCAATGGGATTTCCCATCATTTTGACCCAGGAGAACCAGTTAATTACCAAAATGAAAAAATGTGTCGAAAATGACATCAGCTGCCTCCAAAACATATATTTTGACACCAAATGTGGTAATTCTGTAAAATTCGAATTTTCCCGCCAAAACTGGCCGCCATCTGGAATTATTTCCCAGTATCGACCACTCGTAATCCCCAAATCTCCAATGGGATTTCCAATTATTTTGACCCAGGGGAACCAGTTAATTACCAAAATGAAAAAATGTGTCGAAAATGACATCAGCTGCCTCCAAAACATATATTTTGACACCAAATGTGGTAATTTTGTAAAATTCGAATTTTTCCGCCAAAACTGGCCGCCATCTGGAATTATTTCCCAGTATTGACTCTGCGGTATAACTAATCACCAACATGTGTATGGGAATGGATCCAGCTACCTCGAAAGGATATTTTGATACCAAACTCAATCATTTTATGGTAAGTGGATAAAAACTGGCATTTTCCAGTCAAAACTGGCGGCCATTTTGGATTTTTGCCAATTTGACCCATTTGGGCACGGATTTCGGACTGGGACTTTTTTTTGGTCATAATATACGTCTAGACCGACCATAAAACGTGGTCGGCATTTCTATTGCAGCATCTGCCCGAAATGGTGCGAAATTGAGTTAAAATGCCTGGACTAAGACCGACGTAACTGTTTTGATGATGAGTTCAATTCCTTTCCTAGTTTCGTATTGACAGTATTATATTTGTTTTGTAATATGTATCAAAGACAGCTTCAGTATACAAATGTTAGTATTGTCAGTGATTGTGATTTATGATTAAGGGGAGATAATGTCCCATACAAAATATTTCCTTTTCCTTTTGTTTGACACCCAAACCACTTTACTTTTTAATATCAGGCGTAAAATCGTTTCATAAACCCTTTCCATTAATAATATATGCAGAAGCGGGGCGCGGAGGCACCAGTCTACACCCCACCCCACCCACTCCAACAAAAAAATGAAAATTTACAAAAAGAAACCTGACAGAAAATGCCAAATCCGCGAAGATATGGACCCCATTCGAGAGGCCCCCGAATCTGAGAAAATGGGGCCTTTGACTTCAGGAGAAGTCCAGTGGAGAGGTCCTGTGTTCTTCGATGGTATATTTTGGGACGAATTTTCTAGGAACCGGGCCAATCGTAGTCCTTAATAGGGTTCTGAGACCGACCATTTTTCCGTTATCAACTGAAGAGTACAGAATGCGGATAAACATTCGACCTTGGCCTTGACTTACATTTCAAGGTCATAATCTTAATCGGAGTTCATAGAGCGATTAACAAGAGAGTTGAACAGAAGCCGAAGGTGTTTAAGATGGCAAATGATCGTAGATTTTTCGTTGGTGGCAATTGGAAATTAAATGGCGATAGACAGAGTATCGATGGTATCATTCAGTTTCTTAATGCCGGGCCTCTTGACGAAAATACAGGTATAATTTCACGCATGGATTTTCGATAATGAACGAACTGCGCTAACATGATAATGCACCCACTCTGACAATGACATAATGCACCTACCCAGACAATGACAGAACACATCCACCCTGACAATGACATAATGCACCCACCCTGACATAGCGCAACCAACCTTACAATGAAATGTAATGCACCCACCCTGACAATGAAATGGAATGAGGCACCCACTATGACAATGACATAACTCACCCACCCTAACATAACACAACCACATTGACAATGACAACACACCCACTCAGACAATGACATAATGCACCCACTCGGACAATGACATAACGCACCCATACTGACAAGAAATAGCCACTGATCTGAGGTACTTGAATTCAGGTTTTATCATTCGTTGTATCAAGATTTATGAGAATATATTCATGTATATAGTTATATGTTTTGCATTTTTCAAATCCTGGTAGTTGTTCCGATTGATCGACATCTTCTCATATTCGAAATATCGTTCTAATGGTTTGTTATATTACAATATCGTGGTGTTGTGATCATATAAAATGTTCTTCGGGATGTCATGGGGTTGTTGGTTCTTTAGATACCCATGTAACAATATACCTGGTCCGACCTTGACCTTTGACCATGACAAAACAGGGCCTAAAACCTTCAGTAAGTCCTTCTGGTTTTCTTGATACCCATATTTACAGTATTTTGTATAGCGCGGCACTAGTGCACCTGCGGATTAGTGGAACCCACTCCTGACAGCAACCGAATATGTTTAATTCAAATTCCAACCATCATGGAATCTTTTATGTGATGTCAATGGTCACCCGCTGGATGCTAGCTGCAGCACTACAGGAACACCCATGTACCTGTTCCTGTACTGTGGACAAGGGGAAACCAGACAGTAACCCCAGGAAATCCAAGTTATTAGGTGCCATGAGTGCCGGATTTAGATGAAGAGACTTAGAGAGGCCCATATAGGCTATTCCACTTATTATGTAGGCCCTGTCCCTCCCAAATTCCCCCCCCCCCCCCCAACCCAATGGCAAGAGGAATGGTATTCTAAACACAGTTGATCAAGCCGAGGACGATGACGGATGGTTAACACACACTACAGTACAGTACAGTAGTATGGAGCTTGGTTGAGGTCTGGCCCACTCTTACTTGGTTGGACAATGTCTCTTAAACATGTGGATGTGATGTGTTTCTCAGTCTTAAAATTTACCTTGCAAACTGTTTTTGTTTATTAATCTGTATTAACATCCCAAAACTAAGACAGACTTTCAACTTAATAAATGATAATGGTTATCTTTTCCGCTCAGATCAGAATGAGACCATTTGCAAGTGCCCAACTTATTTCCTATTTAATATTAAAATTTGTATTTTTTCCTTTTAGAGGTAGTTGTTTCACCACCAGCCATATATTTAGATTATGTGAAAAGTAAACTTGGTGCCAGTGTAGCCACATCTGCCCAGAACTGTTACAAACTGGCAAAAGGAGCATTTACAGGTGAAAATAGGTGGGTAACAAATGGGCAAATGGTCTAACATGTGTCCTTTTGATTTTAAGGTCTGTCATTGTGTCACTTGGTGTGGTTTCAAGGTATGTGACAAGGGTTTGGGTCGCCAGTCCAACCTTGTTGGTTTTCTATCAGTCCTTCAATTTCATCCCACTGCCAATGACCCTCACACACCACTGAATTATTGAAGTAAATTTGGTTTGATACAAATGGAATGCAGAAAGTGAAAGTAGAGTGAAAAATTGATAATCTAGATTTTGTTTTATTATACATTGTGTGGGGGATACCTATAGAGTTTATGGATTTTGTTGACATTGTATTTGTATAATTGGAATTATTTTCTTGTTGAAAGTTCTGGCACCTTTTTAATGAGAAGGCCTTATTTTCTATTAACAGTGCTGCAATGGCAAAAGATGTTGGAGCTACATGGGTGATTCTTGGACACTCTGAGAGACGCCACGTTTTTGGAGAAACTGACGAGGTATGTTTGTTTATATAATGAAACATTAAGGATCGGCTTGGATAGGAAGTGATTATGGTGTAATTGTGTACTGTAAAATAAATACATGCAACTTGAAAGCATAATTTAATGTGTTATTACATGCCAATCACAACAACTACAATTTTAATATACATTTCTGGTTTCAGACAGATACCAGCCCTCCACAAATATTAGCTGAACTTTAGGCTATAAAAAGATGGGTTAAGCCACACCAATTTGAATTTTTGCTTGAAGTTTGCTCTGGCACAAAGTGAATGTTTTTGAATAATTTTATTTTCCAGCTCATTGGTGAAAAAGTGAAACATGTCCTCAGTGAAGGTTTAGGAGTTATTGCATGCATCGGTGAAAAGTTAGAAGAACGAGAAGCTAACCAAACAAATAATGTTGTATTTCAACAAACTAAAGCTATTGCAGGTAATACAAGCTTACTAATCAAAATTGTATGATCAGATATATATAATAAACATACACTTTAAAAACTTAATAAGTGGTCTTGATGGCACCAATCTAAGTAAACTTCAGTTCAACAAACTGATATAGTGTGATCAGAATCGTGACAAAATCATATATTTTGGATATCTGGACTGATCAAGACAGTGTTACTTATATTTCCATGGTGGACTGGAGACCAGTTTAATAGGCACTGGGTAATTAAATACATTAAATTAACATTTGTGAATATTGACTACCCAGGTTCCTTGAAGAATATTAAATAAGTGATATATTTCATACCAATATATCTCTCGACTGCCTCAAATTGCCAGAGGAATAGCTCTCCGTTTTATAGGTCTGTATAGTAATTCTAGGGGGCGTCACAGCTAATCATGTGGCACAGTCTGTTTGGGGCAGTTTAAAGATTAGTTTGTGCGGTCCAAAGGGTTAGGTTATTTTACAAGAATGTACAGTACTGACAATGGGTACTATTTTATTACAGCTAACATTAGTGATTGGAGTAGAGTAGTATTAGCCTATGAACCAGTATGGGCAATAGGTACTGGTAAAACAGCATCACCAGATCAAGCTCAGCAAGTACATAAAGACTTACGTGAATGGTTAGCTCAAAATGTATCTCCAGAAGTAGCACGGACTACTAGAATAATATATGGAGGTAAATATTATATACATGTATATTAAACCAGTCAGAACATTTCACTGTAAACACAAACAGTTTTACAACCATCACAGTTCTATTGAATACAATTACTGTTTTTTACTGAGCAATGTTTCGATTAGGCTCCTCTATGACAAAGTTAGGTCCCTTGTATACTATTGGTTAAAATCCCCTGGCCATTGGAAATCAGAATTTGCCTATCTTCATTAGCCTGGTTGTGTCGAGTGGATGTTATAGAGAAGCCTAGTGGAAACGTCGCTCTGTAATTGTATTCTATAGAATTGTGACCAGTGTATTTCCAATTCAATTACAAAATGCCATTATGAAATGAAATGGGGTTTAATGTCCTACTGTTCTGCTCCTTACCTGGCTAATGAAGACCAGAATACACCATACAGTGTGCTCTTATATGGAATTCTAACTGCCAAGGGATCTTTTACGTGCACACCAATGTTTACACAGGACCTTGGTTTTTCGTACCATCCGAATGACTATATGTTGTTCCGTGCCAGGCCCTCTGTTCTATACCACTGACAAGGAGGAACCACGCCAGAATATCAGGATGAACTTTATCATTCCAATGCAGGGATCGAACACCCGACCTCCAGGTTAATGAGCTAACGTCTCACCCGCCTGGCCACCGTGGCTTCCCAAAATGCAATTAAGATAATTTCAGTCAAGTTCATACATACAAAGAAAAACTATAAATATAAGGTTTATATTTCAATAAGGAATAATATTTGCATGCGGATGAGGACTGTATGACAAGTCATTTCGATCCCTTCAATTCGCCCCCTTGTATATTTTGCACACTCCACTATAAATATAGTGGTGCCAGGTTACACACATATACTCCTATCTGCATAAAATTGATGTGCAATTCTAAATTTCAGTCAAGTTGGGGTGACAATATTATATACTCCCACATAAAATGTGCACATTATATAAATAATGGCATGTTAGTCTCATAGTGCAAGATTAAACCCCCATTCGTCATCATCTTTTAGTAGGTATAAAATTGTATTGGTTGTCAAACTTACTGTCTGTAATTTAAGTGGTGGATGGTTTGATATCAGTTTATGTCTTTATTTCAGGATCTGTTAGTGCTGGAAATTGTCGTGAATTGGCAACAAAGGGTGATGTGGATGGTTTCTTGGTTGGCGGTGCATCTCTTAAACCAGATTTCGTACAGATCGTTAATGCAAGAAAAGTATAATACACTCTATTATAGTGCTATTTGATATATGTACAGTGCTTTTAGATTCATCTTGTAAACCTTGGCTCAACCTTTTAGTATTCAGTAATCCAATGCTGGTATTAAAACTCCTTTTATTCATTCAAAAACATGACCATTTACTGTCTTCAATGTTAATCCACCCGAGTTAACAGTAATTCTTGGCATTCAGGTTTAGTAGGTGTTTCAAGTTTTTCATTGTAAGCATCTACCCTTTTTTCAAAATTTTGGGACTTAATTATAAAAATTGACAGGGGTTTTTTTTTGCAAATAATAATAAGCCAAAACATGATGAATATATATTGTTGAGATTAATAAACACCTGCTTCGATATATTGTGGTTAGATTTGGGGAAGGTTGAATGATGGGGTGGAAATTGACTTTTTGCCAAGACGCCACTTTAATACAGCCGACCCACTTCTACCAGCAGCGGTTGAAATGTATAAAAGTAATTGACATAATTTATTTGTTGTTAATATGTAGTCTATTACCAGTATGGTAAATACAAAATTAAATTACCCAATGTAGTAGAATGCCCAAAGTAACGTTAATCTAAAATGTTGTGCCATAACTTGTCAATATAATTATTGATAATTTTATGTATACTGTATTGTCCTAGGATTGTTATGTATAAATAAAAACAACAATACATCTAGTAAACTCACTCAATGTAACTTACAAAAAAAGTAATAAAAAGTTGTGAATTCAAAACAATACTTTGTTAATAAATGAATGTACAGTTGTGCAAAGAGTTATGCTTCGGATTCAAAACTGGGATTGACAGAACCCATTTCATTATCCCTCCTTAATGTCATTTGGCGAGGATTAATTAGCAACATGCCTACTAAATTGGTCACCTGTATATCAACCGACATTAGTAAGAATGATTCAAGAAACATAGCTACCAAATTTGAAAATATCGAAATTTGCTTGAAATATTATCCCCCCACCTCCCGCAAGCAAATGGTCCAAATCCATCAAGCAGTTTTGAAGAACTAGATAATGCAAAAATATCGAAATCCAGTAAAATGTTACACTTGATAGTTCGAATTGTCCAATTCTTTCCTGCAATCGGCCATTAAAAAGACTAGAGGACGAGTGCTAACTTGAACTATCTTGGGAATCAACTCTTAATTGTTCTAGGCCAACATTTGTACCTTGTCAAATATATTACAAGATTTATTTTGAAATATGAGCTTGGAGGATTGACAAATGTCGGACTACACCCCAGAAAATTATGTGATTTTTCTTATTGAATTTTAACTGTCAATGGTTCTTTTATCTGAAAGTCAACATGTACACCAGACCAAATGACTGACCAGTTTCCTTGCCACGTCATCCATCCTGCACCACTGACAAAGGGAAATCACACTGAAAAACCCAGGGAAACTTTGCAGCAAACACTGGGATTGAACCCCAGACCTTCTAGACTGTGCCTTACTCACTGAGCCACCATGGTAATATTCATGCAGAGAAAAGTAAACCAACTATGAAACCTGGGTTTTTCTTTTACTCTTTATTCTGACATTTTAATCTGAAGTACATTTGTCATGAATTAATGATTTAATTTGTTTGAGCAACCAGTTTATTGTTCAATTGGATTTAATATACAGCAATCAGTATGAACTTATACAATAAAGGTTAATGTAGATGAATTAAATATAATACAGACAGACAATTAATTTCTTTTTCAATAATTATCATCCTTTTGTAATAAAATAAATTATTTTAAATCTTTTAATCTAGTGAATTGAAATAATAATCTTTATAACTTAGAACATTTTGATACTATTGAAACTAATTTAAAATAAAACGGCTGAACATTTTAGAACCAAAAAGATGCCAGACATGAAACAAAATTGTTATTTAAAATGAAAATGAATGATTTTTTTTCATGAAGCACAGATGTTTTGATATATTGCTACCTTTGAAAAATGTTGGAAACAAAACTATTATATCTAGTTCAGTGACATCCATGGTCCATGTTAAATGTGCGATATCAATAACAATCTGCTGGTGTTTCAGAATGAGCTAATCCAAGAAAAGCGCATACACATGAGTTTACGAAATAAAGTGTTTGAATGATACATCATGTATCTTTGATTCAGATACAGTCCTATACAAATATCAACACATTAAATTCTTCTTATTAATTTTCAATTCCTTTCTTTACAAGATACACAATTCACGAATTCAGACCAAAACTTTATTCACAATCGCACATGCAATTAAAAATATTGCTTACATCAGATTAATGAGTCTGACAAAAGCAAGTTATTATACAGTCCAAAGCACATTAATGAAACCAGGTAGCTGTTCAAATAGTCATAGATTTTGTTTTGATGGTGTCATGTACGATGAAAGTAACAAGTAGGCCCAATCTGATAATATTTTACAGCGTACGGCAAGGCATATAGTTTATACTTGTATGATAAGTTCCCTCGACAAAGGAAGTTTATAACACAAGTGAAGACATACGTATAAAGTAGATTTACAATACACGTAAGTCCAGAGCACATTTTACAACAGTACAAGATGTCCTTATACACAATAATTTGTTAATATTTACATAGCTTTAACATCATACAGTCAGTATCCAGTCCTCATATTTATAATCCTGTCTTTAGTTCATGTATCAAAGTACTGAACATAAATGCACCACGGTAATAATCAACATCTAGAAACCTTCAGTCTTTTTCTATTCTAATCCATGACATTATAACAAATGTTAATTACTTTTCAGCACATAAATTTTTCTATCTGCCTCTATTTCCTCTACCACCCCGGAACCCCCCTCCCCCTCTCCCTCCCCTACCTCCACGTCCTCGGTCTCCACCTCTACCTCGATCATTACCTCGTCCTCTTGGACTTCCACGGAATCCACCTCTAGCTTGAGGAGAGAAATCTTGTGATTGGTTATTAAAGGAATCATCTTGATTATCCTGCCAGTTTCCGCGTGATCGGCTGAATTTGGATCGCGGATCATTTGATCCAGACATTTTATTATCCACATCACCATACATACCACCTGGACCATCATCAAAGCCACGCTTTCTTGATTGGCCCATTGGACTATCACTCATACCTTGATCAAAGGAAGAACCTCTACCTCTGTCCCGCCCAGAATTACCGAAATTTCCATGATCTTGACCTCTTGATGTGCGGTTACCACGATCAGAATTCCCACCTCCACCTAGATTTTGACCAGAAAAGGGACGAGCATTATTTTGCCATTGATTATCAGAATCTGGGTTGTCATCACCATAGTTATCAGTGTGACCTTGACGGATATCTCGATCTCCCCCTCGTCTACTTTGTCGGAAATCCATATCGCGTCTCAGATCTTGATCGATTCCGTCTGGACGTTGATTAAAGTTTTGCTGCCTAAAATCCTGATCACGTGAATTATGTCTTAAATCTTGATCCTCAGATCCACTAAAATTGTCATTATTCCACTGCTGTCCACCTCTGTTGTCCTGATTACCACCAATGTTCCTTTGATTTCGGAAGTCTTTATCTGCATTTTTCCTAAAATCACTATCACTTTGATTACCATATGGTCGGGGTACACTCTGTCGGTCCAAATTTCTATTTGCTCTGTTATTTCCTGGATTTTTCTGATTCCAGTTTCCTCTTGTGTCATCATCTGAAAAGAAAAACAGAACCCAGTAAATATTCTGAACAACACTGAGAACACCCCGATTTTATAAATTGATGATTGACAGATACATAGTCTCAATCATTCAGACAAATATTATACGGTCTGTCATTGAGTCAAGTAGCATGGTTTCAATTCCCAGCTCGTAATGACAAGGAGTAGGGTCACCTAACTGTTAAACTAATCAAATGGTGTGCATAAACAATAATTCAACTCAAATAATTGTAACTTACTGCCTTGCATTCCTTGGTTAAAATTTGATTGAAATTGATCACTTCGCATATTCGGTTCAACTCCTTGCGGACCTCCCATATTTCCTTGAGGTCCTCCCATATTCCCTGGAAAACCACCCATATTTCCTTGGAAGCCACCGATTTTTCCTTGAGGACCACCCATATTTCCTTGAGGTCCCCCTATATTTCCTTGAGGGCCTCCCATACTTCCTTGAGGACCTCCCATACTTCCTTGAGGTCCGCCCATATTTCCTTGAGGTCCTGCCATATTTCCTTCTAGTCCTCCCATATTTGGTTGAGGTCCACTCATATTTCCTTGAGGTCCACCCATATTTCCTTGAGGTCCACCCATATTTCCTTGAGGTCCACCCATATTTCTTTGAACGCCACCCATATTTCCTTGAGGCCCACCCATATTTCCTTGAGGTCCAACCATAATTCCTGGAGGTCCACTCATTTTGGCTTGCTGATCACCCATGTTTCTCGGAGGTCCTCCCATGTTTCTCTGAGGTCCTCCCATCATTCCTTGAGGACCTCCCATCATTCCTTGAGGTCCTCCCATCATTCCTTGAAGTCCTCCCATATTTCCATGAGGACCACCCATATTTCCTTGAGGTCCGTCCATATTTCCTTGAGGTCCTCCTATAATTCCTTGAGGACCACCCATATTTCCTTGAGGTCCTCCCATACTGCCTTGGGGACCTTCCCTTTTTCCAGGACCTGCCATCTCAACACTACCAAGATTTGCCGGAGGTGGTACAAAGAGAGTTTCATCCATCAGACTAGGAATATTTTTTTTATTTGCATTACGATCCTCCCTGTCGCGGTCACGTCTCCCTCTGTCTCTATGTCGATCCTCTGAATCTCTTCCTCTGTGCCGGTCTCGCCGTCTGCGTGACCCAGAGTCTTCATCACTTTCATCACGTCTAGAACCATGCCGTCTGCCACCAGGACTATCATCAGGCCTGCCTCTGTCACTTCTCCTATCTTCATGTCCTCGATCCTCAATAGGCATTGGGATTTTCCCAGCCCAAGCCTGTTCAAATGATCTTGGTATAGGTCTAGCGTAAGGAATTTTCTTTCTGGGTTGATTAGCAGCTTCCATTTGTCTGAATATTTCTGCATCTGCTCCCCAATCTAATCCAGGAATACTTGGCAATTCATCTTCTTCTAGAAAACAATAGAATGGAAAATAAATACACAAAATAAGGTAGGAAATGCTTGTGACTTACTGTATGTCATCCATTTTAAAAAAGTCAATAAAAAATCTTTAGAAGCAGTTATAATTTCTATAAATTATTTTTTTTTTTTTACAAATGTCTAAAAAGATTTATTTTTCTACCAGTATGATAAAAATATTAACCAAATCTAAGGTAGTAGATAAGTGTTGAATCATTTACATTATTTAAACAAACCTGATTTAGCTTTAAGATGTTCTGGAAGCCCATGTTCAAGACCCATACCAGGTAGACTAGGAAATGCTTGTGGTTCCAAATCTGAAAATTTTAAAACATTTAAGATTAATTCATCATTAGACAGAATATTATATTCATGCAGAAGGCTATTAAAGTGAACAAATGAATGAGATGATAAAAGACGAACAATAAAAAACCCAAAGAATTGGTTTTATACTAGTACTCTCACAATTTTAGTCGATTTTCTGTAATTATAAACCTGTGTTTGACTTGTGTACACATTGGAGTTCACATAAACGTTCCTGTCATAGATGAGATTCTCCTCCATTGCACTGATCATAGAAAAAAAATATACCGGGTACTTTGCTCTCAAAATAATCTTAATATTGGAAGTTTTGATTTGTGGATACTTACCAAAGTCTAATAACTCTTGTTCTATACCAGACGGCAGATTATTTAAATTATACCTATCTCTCATTCTATCACCAGGACGATTTCTTGTCCAAAATTTCCTAAAATAGAATATTTTTTTACTGAGACAAAATCGATGAAAAATATAGACCATGTATAGGGATTTTAAAATAAACGATTTCATAAAATGTTTAATGAATAGTTCAAACAATCTTACGTTGAGTGGTCATTAGATCCAGATGCTAAAATATGACCACTTGGATGCCAGGCTAAAGACCATACCATTCCTTCATGAGCTTCTTCCATACTACCAACTTCACGATCACATCTATAAATACAATATTATAAAATCTGTATAAAATCATCAAAGTATTTTGACAAGCAAAAACACAAATGTCAGTTAGTTTCTTTATATTTGTAATGTTGTACTATATTGATGTCATATTTAAGGGCACGCTCAATTGTCAGTCCGGTATGTCTATTGAATCCTGTCACAGTTCTGTCGGTCACAAAAACAAAAATGATGTGATCAACAAAATACTTGTGTTGTTGAAAATAAAATGGATATATTTTTGTTGTTTCTTTCCTATTTTATTAATCAATTGACAAGCTATGTCAATACTAGAATTCTGTACATTTATTATACACTTAATGAAAATGACTTGTCATTAAATGCAGTTACTTCCCTTGAATAATACAAACCTCAAATTCCCCCACACTATAATATATGTAACCAGATGAAAAACTTACCCAACCATCCAAAACATGATGGCACCATCAGACCCTCCACTAGCAAATAAACCTTCATGTATAGGGTGCCATGCGACAGCTGAAATCATCATACATTTGTAAAATTATTTGAATATTTGCAAATCATTTCTTTCAATAAATGTAGATCTGAAGCATCTAGACAGTTTTAAAAACTTATTTTAGTAGCTGTCATCTTTATCTATCTATTGTAAGTATATAGAAATATGTTGATCATCTTTTTAATATAGATCATTACTAACCTGTAGCTTCTTTTTTATGACCTTTAAAAGCTTGCATTTCTTCTTTCATATTTCTAATATCAAATATTTTTAATAAATGATCCCTAGAAGCTGTTAATAACCAATTACCATTTCTATTCCACTGTAGATTCATTACTGTATTCTTATGGGCATGTCTATAAATAGATGTTTATTTTATTATATTATTTACAATAATTTGTTTAAATTCCTCAAAGTTACATTGTAGCTTACGATTTAAGATGTAGGATCCCTAAATTACTCAAAACTTACAGGAAATTATATGGGGTTCAACGACCAAATGTTCTTCACCAACTGGGCTAATTAAGATGGGCATATGTCTGGGCTATTCTTATATCAAATTCTGATTGTCAAGGATTCTTTTAAGTGCATGCTAATATGTACAGTTTTTTGTCCCATTCACCTGACTAGATGCTGTCCATGTCAGGCTCTCCATCCTGCACCACTGAAAAGGGCAAATCACACTGGAAAACCCTGGGAAAATTGCTCGGACAACACCCGGATTGAGGTAAGGCTTACTCACATAATCGTAGGAGCCGGGGGGGCAGGGGGGGCAATTTGCCCCCCCCAAAATTTATTTTCGGGCAATGAAAAATTCGACGACCTTTTTTTTCTATTAACGTTTAGAGAAAAAATATAACTAACTTATTTCTATGAGATCCACACTGCCCGAAAAGTATTTTCTCGTCTTTTTCTTGTCAACTGTATATGCCCCGAAAATATGCCTGAAGCTCTCTTATGATAGGTATGCCCGAAAAAACAGTATTGCCCGAAAAACTAGCATCGGGCCGGAAAGCGGCAGAGGAAACTAGCAGTAAAACACGTTTGCGACCGTCAAATATTCCAAAATTTTCTTGGGGGGTCATTCGCCTCTCAAAGAAAACAGGCGCCGCTGTCTATAAATCCGAAATTTTTCGGGCATTTCTAGTTTTGCTTCCCTAACTGTCATCGAGCCCTAATAAAACACTAATTTTACTTTTCTTGTAATTGAATATCACAAATTTTTACTGAATTGACTATGGATTAAAACATTTTGTCTGGAGCCACTCTACTTTGTGCGACATTTTTCAGGCATCGATTATTATTTGTGAATGCAGATGCAACAGTCTGATTGGATGGTTAGAATTCAGAGTGGGATTTCAGTTACAAAACCATTGGATACTTTTGGAGTTGCTTACACGGGCTAGAATAGCAGAAAACGCATTTAAGGTGATTAAATTTTCAAATTTTTCTCCTGGAGGGTGAGGCGACGATTGATTGGTTGTTTGGAATTCGGGTCAGCCAGGTAGGCTATATTGGACCAAATTGAAGTTGCTGTATTCACAGACTGGAATAACAGGAAAACGCGTTTGCGGCAGTTACATTTTCAAAATTTTCTCCCAACCATCCCGTCTTCGTTGACTGTAAACGATTGATTGGAATTCGAGTCAGCCACCTTAATAAGGCTATAATATATATTCGACCACTTTGAAGTTGCTTTGTTCACCGGCTGAAATAGTAGGAAAACGCCTTTGCGACAGTTAAATTTTCAAAATTTTCTCCTAACGGTCCCGTCTTCGAGGACTGTAAACAATTGATTGGAATTCCGAGTCAGCCACCTTAATTAGGCTATATTAGACCGCTTGAAGTTGCTTTGTTCACTGGCTGAAATATCGGGAAAACGCGTTTGCGGCAGTTAAATTTTCAAAATTTACTCCTAACGGTCTCGTCTTCGAGGACTGTAAACGATTGATTGGAATCCAAAGTCAGCCACCTTAATTAGGCTATATTAGACCACTTTGAAGTTGCTTTGTTCAACGGCTGCAATAGCAGGAAAACGTGTTTGCAGCCGTCAAATATTCCAAAATTGTCTTGGGGGGGGGGGGGTATACAAGGTCGCTGCTGTCTGTAAACCCGAAATTTTTTCGGGCATTTCGGGTTCTGCCCCCCTAACTGTCATCGAGCCCTTACACCTATGCTTTCTCACTGAGCCACCATGGCTCACCACAAACTTACAGTCCTAGGATCCCACAATTACTCAAACCTACACTGTAGCTAAACTATTTCCAGTTCTTGGATCCCACAATTACTCAAACCTACAATGTAGCTAAACTATTTCCAGTTCTTGGATCCCACAATTAGTCAAACAAGCCAACAGTGAGGCTGATGTCCCCCGCCGAAATCCCCAAATAAATAGATGACACATATTAATCGCACATCTATTTTTTTCAAAAGTATCGATTCAGATAGAATCAAAGTTATCTTGTCCCAAAGCATCGACCAAGGAAATTGCTTATCTCTGCTTAGCTTTAGCTGGATATGTTAATCATTGAACTCAGTCAAGACGAACATCTACATCAAGTTTAAACATTCTATCTCAATTAGAAGCAGAGTTGTTGTTCCAAAGTCTTGACCAATCAAAATGCTTATTGCTCTTTAGCCTAAGCAGACAATTCTCATCATCGAACTTAGTCAAGGTATTGATGTAATGAAACTATACACCAAGTTTCATCACTCTCACTTAATTAGAACTAAAGTTATCGTGTCCCAAAGCATCACCCAATCAAATTGCTTATCTCTACTTACCATTAGCAGAAAATGCTCATCTTCGCAATCTATCAAGGCATTGACCTCATAAACACCTACACCAAGTTTGAACATTCTAGCTCAATTAGAAGGAGAGTTATTGTGTTCCAAAGTCTCGGCCAATCGAATTGCTTATCGCTCTGCTTACCCTAAGCAGAAAATGCTCAATATCGAACTTAGTCAAGGTATTGATGTAATAAAACTATACACCAAGTTTCATCACTCTCACTTAATTAAAACCAAAGTTATCGTGTCCCAAAGCATCAACCAATCAAATTGCTTATCTCTACTTACCCTAAGCAGAAAATGCTCATCTTCACACTACATCAAGGCACTGACCTAATAAACACCTAAACCAAGTTTGAACATTTTAGCTCAATTAGAAGGAGAGTTATTGTGTTCCAAAGTCTCAGCCAATCAAATTGCTTATCGCTCTGCTTACCCTGAGCAGAAAATGCTCAATATCGAACTTAGTCAAGGTATTGATGTAATAAAACTATACACCAAGTTTCATCACTCTCACTTAATTAAAACCAAAGTTATCGTGTCCCAAAGCATCAACCAATCAAATTGCTTATCTCTACTTACCCTAAGCAGAAAATGCTCATCTTCACACTACATCAAGGCATTGACCTAATAAACACCTAAACCAAGTTTGAACATTTTAGCTCAATTAGAAGGAGAGTTATTGTGTTCCAAAGTCTCAGCCAATCAAATTGCTTATCGCTCTGCTTACCCTGAGCAGAAAATGCTCAATATCGAACTTAGTCAAGGTATTGATGTAATCAAACTATACACCAAGTTTCATCACTCTCACTTAATTAGAACTAAAGTTATCGTGTCCCAAAGCATCAACCAATCAAATTGCTTATCTCTGCTTACCCTAAGCAGAAAATGCTCATCTTCAAACTCCATCAAGGCATTGACCTAACAAACACCTACACCAAGTTTGAACATTCTAGGTCAATTAGAAGGAGAGTTATTGTGTCCCAAAAAGTGTGACGGACGGACAGACAGACAGACAGACGAACCCATTTTAATAGTCCCCTGCTTTCTTCGAAAGGCATTGGACAACTAGCATTGCAGCTGAACTATATCTAGTTTAAAGATCCCACAGTTACTCAAGCTTACATTGTAGTTGAAATATTTCCAGTTTCTAGGAGCCCACAAGTACTTAACCTTATAATGTAGCTAATAGTTTTAGTTTCTAGGATCTCACAATTACTCAAACTAACAGTGCAGCTAAACCTTTTCCAGTTTAAAACCAGCGGCTGCCAGGCAGGATACGCCCACATTTTCGAGAGATGGATAGAAAACAAGCTAAAACGAAAGTGATTTTTCCTACAATAAGGGCCATAATTCAGGAAATTACAATTCGATATGCGCAAATATCGAAAGGAACCAAGATCTTTGAGTTATAAACTTACATTTCAAGTTTCAACAAAATCGGATAAAAATTGTGACCTCTGATATACCATATTTTTACGCTATTTGAGAACGAAGGGCGGCCATTTTATCTGTCAGTTTTTGGCCGATTTTCACGAAATTCTAACTCAGTCGTCCTTAGGGTGTAACGGTGATATAATAATATGATTTTTTAAATCGGATAATAATTATGACCTCTATAGGGTCCACAAGCTAAAAACGTGATTTTTCGTACAATCAGGGGCCATAATTCAGGAAGTTACGGTCCCATATGCGCGAATATCAAAAGAAACCGAGATCTTTGGGTTATAAACTTACATTTCAAGTTTCAACAAAATCGGATAAAAATTGTGACCTCTATAGGGTCCACAACCTTGATATACCATATTTTTACGCTATTTGAGAACGAACGGCGGCCATTTTGTCTGTCAGTTTTGGGCCGATTTTCACGAAATTTGAACTCAGTCGTCCTTAGGGTGTCACGGTAATATAATAATACGTTTTTTTAAATCTGATAAAAATTATGACCTCTATAGGGTCCACAAGCTAAAAACAGGATTTTTCGTACAATCAAGAGCCATAATTCAGTAAGTTACGGTCCGATATGCGCGAATATCGAAAGGAACCGAGATCTTTGGGTTATAAACTTACATTCCAAGTTTCAACAAAATCGGATAAAAATTGTGACCTCTATAGGATCCACAACCTTGATATACCATATTTTTACGCTATTTGAGAACGAACGGCGGCCATTTTGTCTGTCAGTTTTGGGCCGATTTTCTCGAAATTCGAACTCAGCCGTCCTTATAGTGTAACGGTGATATATTAACACGTTTTTTTAAATCGGATAAAAATTATGACCTCTATAGGGTCCACAAGCCAAAAAACGCATTTTTGCGTACAATCAGGGGCCATAATTCATGAAGTTACGGTCCGATATGCGCGAATATCGAAAGGAACCAAGTTCTTTGTGTTATAAACTTACATTTCAAGTTTCAACTAAATCGGATAAAAATTGTGACCTCTATAGGGTCCACAACCTTGATATACCATATTTTTACGCTATTTGAGAACGAACGGCGGCCATTTTATCTGTCAGTTTTTGGCCGATTTTCACGAAATTCGAACTCAGTCGTCCTTAGGGTGTAACGGTGATATAATAATATGATTTTTTAAATCGGATAATAATTATGACCTCTATAGGGTCCACAAGCTAAAAACGTGATTTTTCGTACAATCAGGGGCCATAATTCAGGAAGTTACGGTCCCATATGCGCGAATATCAAAAGAAACCGAGATCTTTGGGTTATAAACTTACATTTCAAGTTTCAACAAAATCGGATAAAAATTGTGACCTCTATAGGGTCCACAACCTTGATATACCATATTTTTACGCTATTTGAGAACGAACGGCGGCCATTTTGTCTGTCAGTTTTGGGCCGATTTTCACGAAATTTGAACTCAGTCGTCCTTAGGGTGTCACGGTAATATAATAATACGTTTTTTTAAATCTGATAAAAATTATGACCTCTATAGGGTCCACAAGCTAAAAACAGGATTTTTCGTACAATCAAGAGCCATAATTCAGTAAGTTACGGTCCGATATGCGCGAATATCGAAAGGAACCGAGATCTTTGGGTTATAAACTTACATTCCAAGTTTCAACAAAATCGGATAAAAATTGTGACCTCTATAGGATCCACAACCTTGATATACCATATTTTTACGCTATTTGAGAACGAACGGCGGCCATTTTGTCTGTCAGTTTTGGGCCGATTTTCTCGAAATTCGAACTCAGCCGTCCTTATAGTGTAACGGTGATATATTAACACGTTTTTTTAAATCGGATAAAAATTATGACCTCTATAGGGTCCACAAGCCAAAAAACGCGTTTTTGCGTACAATCAGGGGCCATAATTCATGAAGTTACGGTCCGATATGCGCGAATATCGAAAGGAACCAAGTTCTTTGTGTTATAAACTTACATTTCAAGTTTCAACTAAATCGGATAAAAATTGTGACCTCTATAGGGTCCACAACCTTGATATACCATATTTTTACGCTATTTGAGAACGAACGGCGGCCATTTTGTCTGTCAGTTTTGGGGCGATTTTCACGAAATTCGAACTCAGCCGTTCTTAGGGTGTAACGGTGATATGTTAACACGGTTTTTTAAATCGGATAAAAATTATGACCTCTATAGGGTCCACAAGCTAAAAACGTGATTTTTCGTACAATCAGGGGCCATAATTCAGGAAGTTACGGTCCCATATGCGCGAATATCGAAAGGAACCGAGATCTTTGTGTTATATACTTACATTTCAAGTTTCAACAAAATCGGATAAAAATTGTGACCTCTATAGGGTCCACAACCTTGATATACCATATTTTTTCGCTATTTGATAACGAACGGCGGCCATTTTGTCTGTCAGTTTTGGGCTGATTTTCAAGAAATTCGAACTCAACCGTCCTTAGGGTTTAACGGTGATATAATAATACGGTTTTTTAAATCGGATAAAAATTATGACCTCTATAGGGTCCACAAGCCAAAAAACGTGTTTTTACGTACAATCAGGGGCCATAATTCAGGAATTTACGGTTCGATATGCGCGAATATCGAAAGGAACCGAGATCTTTGGGTTATAAACTTACATTTCAAGTTTCAACAAAATCGGATAAAAATTGTGACCTCTACAGTGTTCACAAGCCAAAAACGTGATTTTTCGTACAATCAGGGGCCATAATCCATGAAGTTACGGTCTGATAGATGCCAATATTGAAAGGAACCGAGATCTGATGGGTGATAAACCTATTTTTCAAGTTTCATTGAAATCAGATAAAAATTGTGACCTGTAGACTGTTCACAAACAATTGTGGACGGACGGACGGACGGACAGGGGCGACGACAATATACGTCCACATGAAAATGTGGGCGTATAAAAACCCAAAAATTAGACCTACCGACAGTTTAGTAGGGAGCACTACAGGAACAAACACAGACAGCGACAACTGTTGATAACTTTGATTGACATACCACCATTACAATACACATAACCTGGATGTCTTGTGTACTGATATTGTACACAAATTAACTATAATAGTGCTACTCCAACTTACCATATAGCTGAACCTATTTCCAGTTTCTAGGATCCCATAGGATCCCATAGCTAAACAATTTCCAGTTCATGGATTCTACAATTACTCAAACTTACATTGAAGCTAAAACTTACATTGTAGCTAAACTGTTTCCAGTTCTAGGATCCCACAATTTTAAAGGTTGTTGATTATCTTTACTACCAGAAGCTATTAATGTCTTCTGTGGATGCCAATCAACACATTTAACATCTGAACCATGACCTGAAGAGGAAAACAATCTTCTAATAAACAGAAAGACAGAGACTGGGTTTATTTAACAAACTAAGCCATATGACATGAGATTAGCCTATGCTATGTTTTACTTTTCATAATCTGGCTTGCATTGGGAGGAAACCTGGTGAACCAGAATAAAAACAAGTTTAAGTATGTGACTCCACTAAAATCCTTAATCACAGTAACAGGTGAAGGAACTGTTATTAGCTCAGATATTATTGAAATTTGACCAGTTTTAAAGAGTCAGCAATGCTAATAATGTAGCTTCTGTGTGTTCACAAGGAATTGTGGATGGCAGAAAGACTAGCAAGACCTTACTTTTCGTTATTTTCTAAACTCTAGATCTGGTAGGTACAGATTAAAATAGGGTACTTTTCTATCTATTTTAAATAGTAGCAAAGTAATTAGTTGCCTAACAATCTGTGAATGAAAAAGGGGATAGCTTTTTTTTTTAAAAAAAGACCTTTTCTACCTCTTTCAATGAAGTTGACTGAAAAAGAAATGGTGTTTTACCATGTTCTTATCACAATGTTGTATGGTAGGCCTACATTCTTATTTCAATAATTCATAACGCACAGGGGTCTGTAGAAGTGGGAGATAAATAGACTAACAGGTGAAAACCCATACAAAACACGAAGCTGGTTGGCCGATATTTTTACTCTTACATCAATAATTTTAGTTGAAAAAACTAAGTATACCTCGATAATATTGAGAAGTATTTATTCCACTTTCATTAAATGAAATTGAAAATGTTTATTTAGTCTTTGTGTGTATGAAAGATGTTAAATGAATTAGAATCACCTAACAACAAAAAGTATACTAATTTTTGAAGATGGCAGTCATTTAGGGCAGAGATCTATTCTTAAAGTAGACAGTTCTTTGTGTACAGTATGGAGAAAACTCCCAAGGTTAGGCAGCAGCAAATTCTACTCCTAGTCATGTATAAGTATGCTCCTAAACTGGGCTAATGAAGACTGGGATACGCCATACAGTGTGCTGTGAGGGAAATTTTGCCCGGGCAGTGGCGTTACGGCCTACTCTTATATCGAATTCCAACTGCCAAGGGGTCTTTTACGTGCATGCCAATATGTACACGGGACCTTGGTTTTTCATGCCATCCGAACGACTAGACAGCTGTCCTTGTCAGGCCCTCTGTCCTGCATCACTGACAAGGGGAAACCATGCCAGAAAATCTGGATGCACTTTCTCGGCTAATGCAGGGATCGAACACCTGACCTCCAGTCTAGCTAGCCAGCGTCTTACCCACTTAGCCACGTGATCTCCTCTACAGATAACAGCCCTTTAAATTTGTTTAAAGGGGCAGTCCCAAAAGGATTTAAGTATGCATGTAAATCAAATGCCCAGAAGTGATTATATAGCCTATATACGGTGTCATAAGAAGGAATCAATATTTGTCAACAGGTGCATAAACTAGTTTTTGTCCTCACTTACCTTCAGATCATACATTATATCATATAACTTCTGTTAAAACTGAACGGTATGTAGAAGTCGTCTCTCAAAAGCTGATTTATTATTTGGGGCTTTTCTATTTTGATGGGGTATATATATAATGCAAGAACTGGGTCTATTCTAAAAAATAAAGTGCTTTCGTCCCATATGAATAAACTGCTTAATTATTGTTATTGAAAAATTACCCATAGGACTGAAATCACCTTCAGCAGTTTGTTCATAATGGATCCAAACACTTTATTTCTTAGCCTGGTTCAGGCAGTAGTTAAAAGAGTAGTCTTTACAGAATCATGCTGTACCATGTTGGATAGAAAATCGCAATTTCTATCACCATCCAATATTAAATAAACATTCTATCGAATATTGTTTTCAGGGAAAATGGCCACCAGAATGAATTTGCATCGCCATCCAATATAACATTAACATTCTATCAAGTATTGTTTTCAGGGAAAATGGCTGCCAAAATAATACCAATTAATAAAATTAAATATGGTAACCTGGCAGACATATATTGTTATAATTTCATTTTTAAACCACTACATTATAACAATAGTTATTTCTAAGCTCTGTACAGGCATATTTACACAATGGTACATGCATGATTCTCTTTATATGATTCTCTAAACAGATGCATCTTTAGTTTAGATTTAAACTGAGATAGTTGGGTACACTCTCTGATGTCTCTGGATAATTCACTGCAAAGTTTGGCTCTTCTAATGGAAAATGAAAACTCGCCCAACTGCAGCAGAAAGCAGGGAACGGCTAGGAGGCTTTCAATTCTCCATCGAACCTGCACCGAATGAGAAAGTCCTCACTTTTTAAAATGTCTGCCATTAGTATTTTATTGCTAAATGAGTTTTCAAAACAGTTAGAGACTGACATCCTGTTTATGCCCCAATTCTCATTCTTACTGCCCACTACCCATTCTCTCCCCCCTAGAACACAAAACGGGTGTTTAATGTGTCTACTTGTTTTTGTCTGGGTAGCTGATCATTTAATTTCCAGGTGATACAAAGATTATAATGCCCCACATAGTTTTCTACAGTCTTCCTCAATAAGTAGGCCTCATATTCATACATCTGTCTATGGAGATCAGTGATAGGACACATACTATACATTGGTATGTTGACATTCGCAAGCATAGAGACTGTCACAAACATACGCAAAAAAGCAGTCTGCTTTAGAAGAACATCACATACCTCGTAATATCCTTTCTTCGTGGCAGCGAACAAAATCCCACACACGCACAGTACCATCATCTGAACATGTCGTAAATTTACTGTCTGAGGGGCAAAAACTGTTTAAAATAAACAAACAACAAAAACCTATATTATCAGAGAAAAAAAACATTTATTCATTAGTAAAACATGGTATGATAAAAACACTGAAATTGATACAAATAAAAATTTGTACAATTCAACAGCTTATTTTGATGAAAAATGAAATGAAATAAAAGACTATGATGGATAAAAATAAGGATCTTCCAAAAATTATAATTCATAGCTGCTCTAATGGCACCAGCAATTTTTTTTTTAGCTTTAAAATAGGAAATGGATGCACCAGCATTCACTGTTTTCGACCGGTATATAATTTTTTTATTCTATGGTACTGTATTTAAAAATTTCTTCGATAATGATATTTGAGAAAACCTTGGGTCATAGCCTTTATTTATATAAAGATAACTGTTTGTGAGCAATTTTCATTCTCCATCAGGGAAGACTCAGGAATTTGATGCAATTATCGCCTTGAAGACTGTTGGAGACTTTGGGAATTGTTGCAGGGCATAAGCCTTTATTACGATCTTTTTCATTGGGTGCATGGCAGTGGGCTAAAGCCTTTATTTATCTGATATGCCTGCCTTCTTTTGCAGTAATTAGTCAAGTTCATGCTGTTGAACTCGATCGAACTTTATTAGAATGGGCATACAAGCCTTTATTTAATCTATACACGTTTGTTGATCATCCATCATCATGCAATAGCAATTCAAATTGGGCAATGCCTTTATTTCACTCTACCTAGCACAGACATTCATTTTCTCCAGCCATGCTTTTTATTATCTTTATATAGTGATCTGCCACTTTATTACACAAATCAACATGGTTTACAATAAACCATAGCATCAATAACTTGAATTTAATGTGCAGAGAAAATGAATCAACTTGCAGACCATATGTTCTCTGAAGTCTTGTCCGACTATCATATTTAACGACTGATTTATGCTGAAAGCCTCAGAAGTCTGGTTGAATATGATCAAACTAAACATATTTTGCCTCATTTAATGACAAATACTGTGAAGTAATTTAACAGCACAGAATAAATGACATAAATTGTTGGTGCTATGGTATACAAGATATCAGGAAAAATACTTAGAATTTGTTGAAGAAAGATCATTATTGTTGGATTAACACTTGGAGGTGTTGTGTCCGGTGCCCACCTTATCCCACGAACAGCTTCCTTGTGACCTTGGTACATGTTTACATTATTCATGTTAGTCTGCCAATATTTAATAAAGCCAGCATGATCAGCCGTTACCATCCATTGATCATTATGACTCCACTGCATGGCTCGTACAGAAACATCATGGGCCTGAAAAATACAATCATATAACAATTACAGAATATGGTCTTCCAATCAATATAAATAACATTTACATTAATAAATACTTTATGTTACTTTCCAATATTCTTACATGTTATTATTATAACAATACATCATTTCTTGATTTCATTCTTCTGGTTCACTTAATATGACAAAAAGCCAGAAAAATAAAATATCAGTAAGATTTAGAACAACAAAAAAATGTCATTCATGATTTTGTTAAAAATTGGAAGTATCATTATCATTATTTAAAATACAGATGTGATGTCATCCTTTGATGCTGGCGTACCATTATTTCCAATAATGTACGGGCAACTTGCCAATCATACATTATCTATACTAGATGAAATATTGGACTCGCGTGACATATTTCATTGAAAAGCCATGTGCGGGATAGTGTCTTTATTTTAAGTTCTTTAAAGGCTCAATACCACTCTTGTTGTAACTGAATAATATGTCCCAATCTTTATTCTGGTCAACAAATTGTACTATTTTACAATATTCCAATTAATTGATGATACAAATTTCATCTTAACACACGTAATTTAAAAAATTGGAAAAATTCAACTAAATGATTTGAAAAGCCTGACGTAAAGCTTTTCAAATGTGACTTGGATTTAAAAATATTTTTGAACCCTCTGAACAAGTAAAATAGGATTTAATGGATAATTTACACAACAGGTAGGACACTAACACATCTAGTACTTAGAATAGGGCTATTTTTTATTTCCTGGAGCTGTCAAGCCAGCAAGAGTGTTATTGTCCCTTTAATGGTCTCGAGCTAAAGACATTGTGTAATATATTGAAACAACACTCGTGCAGTATCAATATATTACTTAATGTCTCGCTCTCGACCATTAAACCATACTTAATAGACAGTAAAGTGGTAACCGTCCATCCAACAAAAACAAAAATGTCTGCACCATACAGGCTAATGAAGATAGGCACATAGTTCAAGTAATGTGCTATGAGGGAATTTTGTCCCAACAGCGATGCTATGGGCTCTACTTTTATTTCAATTCCCAACATTTACAGATGTTTAACATCCTGCCCCAGGACATTTTTTCTGTTGCATCTTAATCTCTAGACACTGGTCCTTGCACCCATTCCTCCTGCACCACTGACTGGGGGGGGGGGGGGGACAATGAAACAGAAAATCTGGAGGAACTTACTTGTCGAAAAAGCAGGATAAAACCCAGGTCCTCCTAGTTAAAAGCCATATTCATGGGACCACTGTGACTCCCCACCACAATCAACAATGTCAAAATTTAGACTACACTATGGTCCACCTATTTCTATATTTTAACAGCATATTTTAACAGCTACTACTACTACGAGAATCAACTAACGCCTGCTGATATAAATATACCTACATGTATTTAACATTGTACATATATAAATCATATCTTATTTTAGGTACCTGTAAAATGGTTTCAAAATTAAAAGATAAACCATTCCATAATGTAAACTCTCCACTGGAAGCTCCAGTTACCAATCTTCTACCTTCTGGTGTCCACTATAAATATACAAATCAATATAGCAATTTAACCTCTAGAAAACTACAATTCAATGTAGCAGTTTAACCTCTAGAAAACTACAAATCGATATACATGTATATAGCAGTTTAACCTCTAGAAAACTACAATTCGATGTAGCAGTTTAACCTCAAGAAAACTACAAATCAATATAGCAGTTTAACCTCTAGAAAACTACAAATCGATATACATGTATATAGCAGTTTAACCTCTAGAAAACTACAATTCAATGAAGCAGTTTAACCTCTAGAAAACTACAAATCGATATACATGTATATAGCAGTTTATCCTCTAGAAAACAACAGTCAATTCTTTTTACGGATTGTCAGATATCCTCTCACAGTCTCATATAATAACTTTTTGTCATCAAAGGAATTATCAGTGAGCTGAAAATCTGGTATCTCTCTTTACTTCAGTCAGTTGTATAAAAGGATAACTTGTGTTTTCCATTTTTTGCGTCACTTCCAGTTTCTTCAAATCTTCGTTACGCATATACCATACAATGATCAGTGTTAAAATCGTATTTAGAATGTGTTCAACCAGTTCTATCTCATATGTAATATTGGTGGACACCAACATTATCCTCTAACCATAGCTCTGCAACAAGCTAGCCAGTGAATGACCATGCTGCCAATTTCTTGTTGCTCAACACTCTGTTTAATGTAGTAACTCCAGAATAACACTTTGAGACATTTTTTGGCCAAAACTTGGTCAATATAAAGTACATATAAAGGATATACTTTTCAGATAATTATTTAGGCATTTAATGAGTAGTAGATCGATATCTATTAACACTTTGTGTAGGTGGGTGGGTGTGTGTGTGTAGGGGGGGGGGGGGAATAGAGAAATTACTCTCATGCACCTAAATCAGAAGATGGCTAAGATGACACACGTTTTTTAATTGCATATTTATCTTTTTATAAAGCATTGATCATTTTGCTTTTCAGGGCTAAATGTGAGCAGAAAATGTTCATTCTTAAAGCAGAAATATGTTCCGAAAGGTAACAGACAAACAGATGTATTTTAAGACAAAAGGTGATTTATCAGCAGCCAGTCTTATTACAACTTCGTCAAGGTATTGATGTAATGATAAACGCCAAATTTCACCATTCTCACTCAATCAGAATCAAAGTGTCAAGCTCCAAAGTCTTGACCAATCAAATTGCTTATCACTCTGCTTAACCCAAGCCAAAAATCCTCATTATCTAACTTAGTCAAGGTATTGATGTAATGAAACTATGTATTAATTTTCATCAGTATGACTCAATTAGATGTAAAGTTAACGTGTCCCAAGTTTGAAAATTCTAGCTCAATTAGAAGCAGAGTTATTGTTTCCCAAAAGGTGTGACGGACAGACAGACTAGCGGACCCATTTTAATAGTCCCCTGCTTTCTTCCAAAGGCGGGAACAAAAAACATTAATTACCGTTAAAACAAATATAGGACATCGAAACTTATTTGTGGACTGTCTCACGAATTTGGTTGTTACACAATTCATTGGATTATTAAGTGTGCTGATTGGAGGCATCAACTGAAACAGAACAGTGAAGACATTAATAAAGAAATTTCAATTTTGTTGTTGTTAAATAACAGTCGACAGATTATATTTATTCAAGAGAAATAAATTGTAATGAGACGTCATCTGTCTATAACTTAGTTTTGTCAGTTTAATTTTACAGAAAATTCACAAGACAGAAAAGTTTCAGTCTAAACTCCAAAGCAGGGAAAAACCAACAGCTGTGTGTATAACACACAGTTCTGGTAAAGAATATTAGCAAGATATTTTTTCCAAAGGATGTGAATTTTTTTTAGCATTATCCCAATTTTTTACATAAAAAGAATATTAATGTGTTTTAAGGTTAATTTTTTGAAATTTTAATTTTATAAAACTTCTCCCACCGGTCAATTTAACTGCCATTCAGTTAAAACGGGCAAATATGACTGAAATAAGAGCCCAAGAGTGAGCATAGATAACAAAAACAATTACATTTGTTTGATATAAGCCATCTGGTTGGACTGCACGAACATCTCGATAATCTCTTTGCCATACACGATTCTGTAAAAAATTTTAAAAAAAATAAGATTTTAAGATACAGTGCACTCCGTCACATCCGACCTCTGATCATTCCGACACTCTGTTACATTCGACACCTTTTTCATGTCCCGATTTATTTCCTTATTACTTCAGCCAAAAAATCTCTGGGTAATTCGACCTCTGTACGTTCCGGATTACGACATCAATCAGCCGTCCCGTCAAACGATTTCCATTGAGTCGACACCGTATAATCCGGCCTTCAATCGGTGGGTGTGAAGCAAACACTTGCCGGTCAATTATCCGTGAGATTAAAACTGGATGGGTGTGAAGCCACAAAAGATTACAAGCAATCACCAATCAATTATCTGCGAGATTAAAACTCGCTACCGTGTATCTTTGTTGATTACTTTGATAATTTTAATCTCTTGTACGACAGTTGTGACAAATACACAAGAATATCCACGAATTTTCCCCCGAATTCACAGTCGTAAAAATATTCCTAGCATCTGTTGGAAACATTCGTTGCGCATGCCGATTGAACCTGAATAACCTATAAGTTTTGTCACCCTACGGATCTCTTCGAACCATGTGGCGACGACCTGGGAATGCTCGAGTCACAGTCCGGAACATCCCTAATTGACAGAATTGCAATCGAGTGACGCGGAATTACAGTCCCGACGACGGAGGTGGCGTGGGTAGAATTGTGACGTAATTAAACACGATGAACAGGTTTCGGTTGCTTGGTTAGATGAGATATTTATATATCCAGTCGACGCATGCGTTGTGGACCGAAGTACCCATTTTCACTTGATTGTCATTATTTTTGGGATTGAGAAAATTCAATTCCGGAACGTTCAATCGAGTACGCCCATTATCAATGAACACGTGATAGCAAAGACAAGAGTGCGATCAACTGAAGACGGCGAACAAGATAAATTAACGACAGACTTGACCTATTCAAAATGCCTACGCATGTTAAATGAAATAAAAATTAATGTAATAAAATTTTGAATGTACAGAAAGGTTTATTATTTTTAAAGGGAATAACATTCTGGTGATTCGAAGTTCTATGTTCGAAGCTACATTATAATAATACTTCCGGTTTTCGAAGTTACAATATTTCCGGTTTCGAGAAAACTGGGTATTCCGATACTCTGCGTAATCCGACATATTGTAACGATCCCGTACGATGTCGGATGTGACAGAGTGCACTGTAGAAATTTATACATTTCAATGTTGGCATTGTTTGGTGTTGTTTTTTTTCCAAAACATGAAGATTTCCAAAGGGGGTGGTAACAGGAGGCACAAAATGTTTTTATTACTTAAACTGATATTAAATACTCCCAAGAGCTGATAGACACAAAATGGGCAGACTATATTAAAATTTATACAGATGGGTCGAAAAATAATACACAGGGACTAACAGGGTACGGCATTTTCATCCCCAAAGCAAAGCTAAACATCAAGAAAAGGATACCAGAACATTGCTCTGTGTACACCGCAGAATTGATGGCCATCAAAACTGCAATAGAATGGCTTGCCACCCAAAAACACCAAAAAGCCGTTATCCTATCAGACTCCCTAAGTAGCATTAAATCCATCGAATCAGACTATTCCAAAAGCAGACAGGACATAATCCACCAAATTAGGTATATTATTCAAACAATAAAGAATAACGGAAGAGAGGTAGTCCTTGCATGGATCCCCTCCCACATCAATATCTTCGGCAATGAACAGGCTGACAAGCTAGCCAAGGAAGGGTTGGCATTAACTGATATAGAAAATTTAGAATACAGCACTCAAGAATTCACAAGCATAGCCAAAGATAAAATCAAAAATGCATGGAAAACCCGTCTAAAACAAGAGAATACTCATCGCTATCAAATTGATAGCAATCTTGTAGACAATGTTTACACCAATCATCCATCAATCAAAATATGCAAACTCATCACGAGGCTTAAAACGATAAACGTAATAAAAGACTTCACCTTCAATCCAATTAAATGCCCATGTGGACAAATCGCGACCACGTCTCACCTGCTAATTGACTGCAATCAATTGAGCAAAGAACGTCAATCTGTAATTAAGAATCTAGCAGAGAGGGGAAACACCCTCTGTCTCAAATCACTCCTTTCTCCACAACCCGACGATAGACACTGGACATCACAACTTGTCTGGGATTTTATTGAGAACATAGGGATGACCAAATATATAAAATAATGAATGTAATCAATTAAAGAGTAGGGTGGAGCGCAAAAATGTCCTCTAGAAGGAAGCGTAAACCGCCCCACACAACTAATATAACTCCGATATATATAAAATACTGAATTTAATCAGTTAACAGTAGGGTGGAGCGCAAAAATGTCCTCTAGAAGGAAGCGTAAACCGCCCCACACAACTAATATAACTCCGATATATATAAAATACTGAATTTAATCAGTTAACAGTAGGGTGGAGCGCAAAAATGTCCTCTAGAAGGAAGCGTAAACCGCCCTACATAACTAATATAACTCCGATATATATAAAATAATGAATTTAATCATTTAACAGTAGGGTGGAGCGCAAAAATGTCCTCTAGAAGGAAGCGTAAACCGCCCTACACAACTAATATAACTCCGATATAATTAATAAATCAACTAATAAAACCAACTAACAGTAGGATGGAGCGCAAAAATGTCCTCTAGAAGGAAGCGTAAACCGCCTTACACAACTAATATAACTCCGATAAAATTAATAAACCAACTAAAACCAATCAATTAACAGTAGGGTGGAGCGCAAAAATGTCCTCTAGAAGGAAGCGTAAACCTCCCTACATCTATAATACAACCACTAATCTACCAACTAATAAAACCAATCAATTAACAGTAGGGTGGAGCGCAAAAATGTCCTCTAGAAGGAAGCGTAAACCTCCCTACATCTATAATAAAACCATTAATCTACCAACTAATAAAACCAATTAATCAACAGTAGGATGAAGCGCAAAAATGTCCTCTAGAAGGAAGCGTAAACCTCCCTACATTTATAATAAAACCACTAATCTACCATTAACATAATTCATGAGTAATTTATTATTCTCATTATTACCATTAATATCTATTTATTATTCTTATTATTTATCTGCAATTCAGTTAACACTCTATTTTCTTTTACTCTCACTTATTATTTTTATTATTAGTTTAAAATGATTCCCCCCCCCCCCCACGAAGCCTTACCAGACGAAATAACCAAAAAATCACAGTAAGATCAGATACTCTCTTTTCTCTAGCTTTCTTTTTCAGGTGCTGGATTCTTCCTTCAGAGAACCAACAATAAAAGGAATGAATAACATAAATAAAGATGTAAAAACGCTACCATACCGGACAACATACCCAAATGGAAGGAAGAATGGACCAGGACTCAAACTCACCAACAAAGCCCCAAGGTAGAGTTGCACCGCCCTGCCATTCTACCGGACAGAACGACCAGACCAACCCAATCGACCCAAAATATATAGATATGTACATAATATGTCTATGTCTGTGAAAATGTCCGTCTTTGTCCATGTCTGTTCCGTCAAATCGCATGTTTGTAAATGTCTACTGGCACCTGTTTCGTCCTTTGCACATGTTATCCTACTGTTGTTTATTGTCCTATGTACATATATATGAAAACCTAACCATCCTAATATTTCTCACTAATCACATTGTAAATTAATGCACCTTGTACACATAACACGTCATTGTCTGCGATATCACCTCGGTGGAAGCGGACGTAAAATACAACTAACACTAACTAACTCCCAAATCAACATATTTTATGCTTTGAGTCAGTTACCTACCTACATAAGTACACAACGGAATCGAAACTTTATGAAACAAAATAAATCAAAAATTAAAATTACCTTGATGTAATTAAATACTGATGAATTATAGTCAACCACTTTTCTATTGACAGATTTTCTCATACGTTTACCATCAAACAGCATACCCTGGTTAGCTATAAGTTGTTGACGTACTTGACTTACATACTGTTGTTGTTTGCCAGGTTGTTGTTGTTGTTGTTGTGGTTGTTGACTAGCTATATTTTGAGGTGGTGGAAAATTAGATGGTGGTGGCTGATTCATGACTGCTATATTATTGGATGGTGGAGGGAACATTCTGGTTACTGGACCAGGTTGCATTCTACCACCAGGTTGTAATGCTAACATACCCCCGTCCATTGTTTAATCTGTAATATACATACATATCTAAATCAAATATACAATATCTTGGAATTGTGACAAAGTGTATGACGAAGACAAGTGTATGAAAATGTAATAAATCAGCTTAAAGATACATTATGGGAGATAAGATAAAGAGATGGCAGTTCTCGCTATAATAGTTAAAAACTAGATAGTGTAAAGGTAATTTGCTGAAAATTTCATTCAAATTGATCCACTATGAGCCGAGAGAGAAGCGGGTGAAATTTTTGCATAATCTCGGTCATCATTACTAAAATCATTAATATAAACAGCATAGTCTCGAATATCCACTTTTTTTGATTTAATTATCAATTACCGTTAGCGGCATATAGGAATCTAATCCAGCCAACATCGAAGGCTAGCCTTGACATCGAGAGTTTATTATGGCCTGGATAAGTTAATTAATATCTAATTGATAATTTAGATAACATTTCAGGCCTAAAGAAAGACTTGTAATAAGCAGATTTTGCTCTTGCATAATGCATGTTTAATCTTTCCACAAATTATCAATACTAGTATAATTTCATGATGGTGGCTGCTTTAATCAAGGCATACATGGGGTTTTCCTTCCATGGTTCTAAACAGCATTTAATAATCACAACAGTTCTATGAAATGAAATAGGGTCCTACTTTTCGGGACCGACTGGACTATTGAAGATAGGAACAGTTCTATGGAAATGAAATGAAATGGGGTTTGTCTTACTGTTCTGCTCCAACTGGGTTAATGAAGATGGGCATATGCCATACAGTGTGCTATGAGGGAAATTTTGCCCGGGCAGAGGCACTATGGCCTACTTCTATACTGAATTCCAACTGCCATGGGATCTTTTATGTGCACGCCAATCTATACAGCTGTCCTTGTCAGGAACTCCATCCTACACCACTGACAAGGGGAAATCATGTAGGAAAGTCCTGTTGAACTTTCTTGGCCAATGTTATTATCTTGTTATTTTCAAATTTCAATGCTGATATTTAATTGGAGCTAATTTCTACAACGATTTACTCATTTTCAAGCATATTCCAACCATCTATTCTGTAATGTTTTACTCTTTACTTCTGACTGACCCATTGTTCATGCACAGATTTTAATTTAGGCACACAATCTACCCACATTTGGATTAATTTACAATATTTTACAACACAAATCCCTTATAAAGTAAAATATTGGTAAGATGATTCACTGCTTTCAATTTGTCAGAATGTCTGAATGTGCACACATTATTCATTGAACAACTGTCAGATTCCAGCCTATGATGTCATCCCCATTAATTGTCTAGTTAAACTTATATTAGTGCCTGTAGTGTACATGTAGAATAAGATGCTTGTAGGATTTATTCCAAACATTCCAACTATCCATGTGATATTTTTTCACACATTACCTTGAAGTTTCTTCCTACAAACAAAATTCCTACAAAGCTCACAGAACTTTATATTCAACCCAGTGGAAGATCAGAGATTAGGGGGTGGAAATCACCACCATTTCCCCAACTCTACTAAGCAGAGTGTATTGTACAATGTAAAACAAAAACAAAAAAGTTTCAGATAATCTAACATATTGTTGAGGTACAATGAACCATTGTTTAGAATTGAATTTTTCTTGATGAATATTGAACCAAATTAGCTCCCCAAAATATTATTAGAAATTAAGAAGGAAATCAGCAAAGCTTTTTCTCTATAATATAATTACTATCTAAATAACAACTGTTCAGCACTTATATTTTTTATAATTTTGATAATTGTCTCTTAAAATAAATTACATTAGATTTAATAATACTTAATATAAGCTTGGTTAAAGGTTTCGGAAATGGTAGATGGCAAACAAGGATAAGATTGTGGTGTTAGCTTTTTACAGTAATAACAACTATTTGAATATGTAATGAGAGTGAATTAAATCATGTGAAGGTCTATAATTTTGCAATAATTGAGATCTTATGCATAACGACTTTCATTGAAATTGGATGAAACTGTGGGCCCAAAGCATTCACTAGCTATTCTTGACATGCTTCCACTAAGCCAGGGCCTATTAATTAATTTATTTAACTACGTCTAATTAACAAATCACCTTCAAAGTCTAACTTGTCCGAGTTTTCATGGATGCATTTTTGACCTAGTTTTGGTAAAGTCAATTCAATAACTCCCAAAATAATTCAATCATAATCAAAGTGCCATTAGAAGCAGAGTTACTATGTTCCAAAAAGTGCGAAAGATAGTTCAAGTTTTAAAATTTTGATCTTCTGTGCGCATTTTTGTTTTAAATTCTTGATACTTTGTAAAAGTATGATGTTTCAGGAACCCCAGATGCAAATTCAGTGTATCTAAGATACATTTAACCTATAGTGAGCTGTCCTGGCTAATACATTTATTATAAATATTTTATTATATCCAAATCTATTACACAGAAACCTCAGAATTAAAAGTCACATGAAACAAACTAGATTCTGGACAATCTCTGACCTACCTGGTACTGGTATTTGAAATGATAAACTTTTGCTGCAAAACATGGCCTTCTCTGCAAATTGTTAGTTAACTATTTTTTTTTTTTTTTTAAAAGAGGCATCATCATAATCCCCAAGAAAACAAGATGACTAGTCATCAACATCCCGCACACTTGCACTTGTTTGGAAGAAATAAGGAAAAATAACTTGTTTATGCTATTGGTAATCAATATAAAAATGTATCAGATTTCGCAAACAGTGTCACTGGTCCTAATATTGTGGCAATGTTAAGTAGATATTGCTCTCTATTTCTGAAAATAAATGACTGATTGCTATTTACTAGAAGATTTGAGATAATTTATGACATTAAGCTCTGGTTTTAAAAATTAGACATGACTACATAGAAAATAGAGATATTTTGCAAGTGGAGGGAACTGGAGCTTTAGACAAATCTCATATTCTGACACATGGAATATCAATTCACAGAATTTCATACTCTGATCACAGTAGCTCGGCAAGGCAGGGTCGCTACTCCCTGTAAGGTTCGCACAACAACCTTTGCCTACCTCAATTAGCTGCTGTATGTTAAACAATAAACTTATACATCAGAAAATAAAATACTATAATAGGTTAATGTTTGTACAAAGTTTCAAAAAGATTTCTTGAACAGATAATAAAATATCTTCCAGAAACAAAATCAAGACGGAAGGCTGAATTTCAGAAAATAAAATAATGGGTAAAATTATTTTAAAGGTATCTTGAACAGTCAAATGAGTTTCCATGGAAACACATAAAATTATCAAATCTGAGAAATTCAAAATAAGTGCCATGAAGATATCTTGAACGATTTATGAGATATGCTCCAGAAACAAAATTGTACACCAAAAACTAAGTAAAATTTGTTTCCATGGAAACACAAAATATCAATCCCAGAAATTCCTAAATAGCAAAAGGCACAACTACTGTAACAGGTTGATGTGTGTGCAAAGTTTCAGAAAGATATCTTGAACAGTTTATGAGATATGCTTCGGAAACGAAATCGGACGGACGGACGAACCCTATTTCAATATCCCTCCCTAACTTCGTTCGGCGCGGGATAATTAAACATAATCATATTTGAAATAGCATTATATTCACCTAATTACGGTACACAAATAACAATTGCCAGGAAACCAATTATAAGCTAACTAGCAGATAACCAAGAAACCGTAGCACAACGCCACCTAGCCCAATGTTACTCCCTGGTTCGAGCTACTCCTCTACACCAAAATTCTGCCTCGGGACAGCCCTTGTGTAGCCGCCAACCCTAAACAGACAAACGACAGTCACAAATATCAGTATAGAAGATTTGAAGGTGCATTTATGACCTAAATAACTCATGAAAATTTCACAATCATCAAATCATAATCAACGCCTCTTAAGTGCTATTAAAATGCCGCAACTAAGGGGAATAACTCAATAGGATTCATCCTTTCAATAGGATAGACGACCGAAATATGCATAGGGAAATACTCGGAAGGTAATTCTTGAGAAATAATGAAAACAAATAGATTTCTTCTTGGCTTACTAACTAGGAGGTCCCAAAACCCATTCCATTCTTGTCCAAGAACATTTCTTGGGATTTTCCAGCCTGTTTTCCCCCTTGTCAGTAGAGTCTGGTAAAAAAAAAAGCAGTCTTGTGTACAGGTTGCTGTTGGAATTCCACCATGAGTGAGCTGATAAGACTGCATTCCAAGCCAATTTCCCTCAAAGCACAATAATGGATGGCATAAGTCTGTTTTTGTTGGCACAATTGACAAAAACATAGGGGAGAGAGAGAGAAATGGGGTTTAACGTCTGCTCGACACAAACTAGGTCATTTCGGGACTAACATATGGTTCAATTTTTTTTCAATAATTCACTTGCACGTAGGGGTCTTTAGTAGTTGGAGGAAATTGGAGGACCCGGAGAAACCCCACGAGGTTGGACAGGCTACCCTACTCCTCGTCACGTACAACCGGGTAATCGAAACTACGCCATTTGATTCAATGGCAGATCTTATGATACAACGGACACACGCTAACCATTCAGCCATCCAACCCATTTTATTTCCTTTCGATAAGATAGACAACCAACATACATCTCAGAAAGATAGTTTAAAGTCCATGATCATCATTATCTAATTTCTCAAAGCTTAAGCTACACTAAATTGATTACTTAAAATTTAATTAGGAAAATAAAACCAAAATATCAATGGTAGATAACCTTCTCGCTTGGTTTCAATCAGATGGCTTGGAAATTCTTTGACATATATCCCGTTAAGAGACTCAACTTTCACAATGTTCTAGTAAACAAGAGATCTAAAATGCCTAAAATGACAATCGGCTGTTTTAATAATTGCAGCCTATGGCTATAAAGCAGTGACAAGAATTAGTTGGAGGGGGGGTTATCGAATAATGTAGAAAATCAAAAGGCATCTTGATTTCAATGAGATACTCAAACCTTATGAATTTCAACAAGCGCGGCTAATGTCCCCTGCCCTTTAATAAAGTACTCTGTTTAACCTAAGCATAAAATGCTCATTTTTGAATCAAGTCAAGATACTGATGTAATGAAACTATGCATCAAGTACATGTATAACCTCTCCCAATCAATTAGAGTCATTGAGCTCTAAAGCGTCAACAATTAAAATTGATTATCACCACTTAACTAAAGCGGAAAATCTCATTAACTTATCATTAATAGTAAGGTATTAATCAAATGAAACTTTGTGCCATTTTTCATAACTCGCTCTCAACTGGAATCAGGCATTCCGTGTTCCAAAGCATGAACAGATCAAACTGCTTATCGAGAAATTCACCTAACGAATATCTATACTAATTTTGAACATTTTACCTAATTAGAAGCAAAGTCCCAACCATTGCTTATCTGTACTAAATCGGTTAAGATATTTACCTAATGAACATCAACACCAACTTCGGACATTTTAGTTAACCTCAATAAGAAGCAGAGTTATTACTTATTGTGTCCCAAAAGGTGTGTTGGATGGACAGCTTGACATATAAACTCATTTTATTAGCTATATGGATTGCAGTGTTCTCTATTATGCTAGCAAGAAATGTAAATAACAGAGATGGAAATATACACAAATCAATCACAGAAGGCTATAATGTTGCCATATAAACTACACACAATGTCAGTGGTTTTCAATGAGTTTGACAAAAGCTTGTGCAAGTCACCTTACTTTTCTTTGTGTTATCAACAATTAGGTGAATCTATGGTTATTTCACACGATTTTGTTGAAAATGAATGACATTTATTTTCTTCATAAACGTAATAGTTCCCATTCAACATCCGTTATAAAAAGGCTCCATGTAAAACAAACTTCAATCAAATTCGACCCCATATGTTTGTATGGGTTTTCATTTCATCAGTACATGTATTTGATATTACGATTAAAGTAGTCCATTATAAAGAACAATGGTACAATAAAATAGTGCCAATTGGGATTTTACAAGGACCGATTAGAGTAAACGCAACATACACCAACATTTACCAATCTAAATGAATAGGGCAATTAAATTCAAAGAAAGTATTGAATGATATTGGGACTTGAGAAAGGGCAGGTCTGTTATTATGAAGATTAGCTTATTATATTCAATAGTTTAGTAACTATTTGTTTTCTGTTCACAAGAAATACATAATATCGTGTTCATTTTCAAAGTTAGTCGAGTGACTGGATAATGAATGTATATATCCATTCACAAGAAGTAAGGTTACTGTTTTAAAAAAAAAAATAGACCAATCAGACTGCAGCTAGCCAATGGATACACAAGATACAATTCTATGGAATACAATTACTGCTTATTACTGAGTGCCCTTTCAACTAGGCTTCTCTAGTCTTTATAGAATTGTAACTTGTGTATTTCAGGTTTAATTACGAAATGCTTTTCAAACAATTTAACCTACATGTATTAATGTTTGAACTTTCGAGACTTTTTGTGAAGATGAAGGTATATTTTTCAAAGTTTATCAAAATCCATTGCATTTCAACGGATCAACCAATCAGATCTTCAGCAGGCCAATTATAATTGGCATTTCAACGGATCAAACAGATTTTGCAGTAGGTCGACTAAATACACACAAATGACATTGAGGGTTTTTCTTGGGCTAGTGAATGTGATAATGAAGATGTAAGTTTATTCTAAGTTTTATCAAAACCCATTCAATAAAATTCAAGTAATTTCACTGCAAAAATTGTGATGGAGGGAGGGTCACAAGCTGTTGATTTTGAGAAATCTTCTAGTTATGGGGAGATTATTATACGGTTGTGTATAATTTCAGCTTGATAATGTGAGAATTCCTTAACAATTATGGGTTTGCAACTCCTCTTGGATTTTACTTCATGTGTCAAACATCACTTACATTATAACCTTGTAATAATTGTTAAATTATTATAATGTTACAACAAATACTAGTAGAAAACAAACACCTTCACCAAGATTTCTGTTGTAATCGGCTATCTTTTCTGTAGGCTGGTGATACACATCTTATCTCTCAATGCATATTGGGTTTAGTTAAATTTATGCAAAACCATTCCTTTAAAACTGTTATGAAACAAGCCAAAGGGTTGTGGGCCACAGGTAGGAGTAGAAGAAGTCAGGGAGACTGCTCATTCAAATGCATAAAAGTTAAACACTGATTGTGTACACTAGACAAGGTCGAAGGTGTATCACTTAACAATATCCTTTTGGACTAACAAGAAATGAGAATGTGAGAATGTTTGGCTTTACTTTTGGATTACCATTACTAATTAAATTAGACTAATTTGAGTAAGTAAGCTTATAATAATTATATCTATTCTAATCTTTTCATTTCAATGAAATTATTGTAGGAAAAAGCTTCACACAGTCATGCAATGCTTGTCTATTATTGCTAATATTAACTAATCGAATGTTATGTTTCTTGGTGGGAATTTAACAGCTGAAATTAGAAAAAGTCTACACCAAAAATGATCACGTCGTATTAAAAGCCTGGTGAAGAAATATTGTTGTTACACGGACGCCCGACGGGACATTTCGCCATATTCAGATATTGTCACTGGTCACGTACAACAATATACTGTAAGAGCAATACTAATGTTCGAATAAAGTTATTAATTACTTTACTGCTTCCTTGATGTTAAATATATTAACAACGAAACATGTTTGTTTATTTCTTCACTTCATTTCCCTACCAAATTACTTTGATGTTCTTTAAAATATTTCATTTCTACTTTAACAATATGGCGTACTTATTGAAGTGTAATCTGAAATAGCTCAAACCGCAGACTTTTATGTAACGAATCATTTAAATTATGATATATTTTTTTGATTTGCAACTTTAAAATACTTTTTATGAGGATATTTTGTGATTTTATATAATATCAATATTCGTTGTTTTCTTTAATGTCTTTTTAGATATGACCTAAATTATCAATTCGTTTCAGATTATATTCCAATTGTAATTTTTAAATATATCACGCTTCTTTATTTCATTTGTCAAGGTAGACGACTGGCCGATTTTAGGATATTGAATCGACCACGTCGTGGGAGACAACTCGGCCAAACTTTAGACGCTATTGTGTTCTCTTCCAAAGTGGGCACAATAATACAGTGACATTTCTCTGTCTATTCTCCGACCCTATCAAATATTCGTAGCCTGAATATATTTCGCTATATTTTGGAGGGGCCACTCCACAATCGCCCTTGTAACGGTTTGCTTTTTCGCCGAATTGATATCAACGAGAGGGTCGGAATTGTCGTTGATCTGGACTACCTGGATGAAATCAGTCAATAAGCAACGAGGTTGGTGTCATGTAGGACGTTATGGGTATTTAAGAAAAAATATTGTTGTTCATGTTAAGCTTTCAATTCTGTTTGCTAATCTTTTATTTGCGCACGGTTGTTTTTGTTATGAATTAAATATTGTTCTAGTTAAAACAAGAAAAATGACAGGTGATTTAAAGGTTGCTGTAGTTTGTTCGAGTAACCAGAACAGAAGTATGGAAGCTCACAATTTTCTAAGGTAATTAAGACCAGGAATAATGCATGTCATGTAAGCCCTACTACCATCCTATCACAGCAGGGCAATGTTTGAGAAATGTGTTCACCAGCCTTAGGGCCTCTAAGAGTATCAGTCTTCAGACTCTAGCTGACCAGCCACCTCTGGTTTGCATTTGTGGTGTCGATCCCTGGGCTGGTGTAGCGTATTACTATTAATATGTGGCTTGGCAGGGGATAGGGAGGTGCGCCTTCCCAACCTTAGATTTCTTCCTACAGGAAAGACCTTTAAATAAGAAGCTAAATCGCTAATATTTGGAACCCAGAAATTGACACAAATTGGCCGCAACTCGTATAATAATGTACCGGTAATATGAATGTATATAAACTAATTTACATATTTAAATGTTTCCGTTTTGACTCTAATTTCAAATCAATTATGTTTGGCGAAATACGCCAGAAGTTTCAATTACATTATTAATTTCTAGATCCCAAATACATGTATTAGCGACTTAGCTCATTTAAATATTGGATATCAGAAGCCAATAATTTTCTGGTAATATCATAACATTAACATCAATGTTAAAGCCAAATAAATTGATTATAAATAATTAAAAGAACCATACCTCAAATATTGAAATAAACTTCAATTTATAAAACATTATTCATAGGTAGGCCTAGCTATAATCTAGAAGAAATCTAGAGCTGTAAATTTTAATGGAATTAATTAGAATGCAGATATTGCCATATAAACATTGTTGGTCACAGTGATGTTTTAATTTTAAAGTAAGTTTGCTTTTTTGTTTTTCAGTAAAAAAGGTTTCCGTGTTAGATCATTTGGTACAGGAACTCAAGTCAAGTTACCAGGTCCATCACCAGACAAACCAAATAATTATGACTTCAGTATCACCTATGATGAGATGTTTAATGATTTATCTCAGAAAGATCCAGAATTGTATCCATTTTTTCAATTTAAGACATTAAGAACTGATATACATGTACCATATTGTGTTTCTGTATGTTTTATGGAACAGGTTGTTTCCTTCAAGCGAAGTGTTCAGTCTTTGTTGTTTCATCCCAATTTATTTATTATCGTAGCAATGACAATCAAGACTACACTATTCTTATCAAAACTTCAAACATTCATAACTTCGATCAGAATAAAGTAATTTGTTATTTGACTGAAATTTTCAATGTGTACATTGTTCATTATCTAATAATCCTATAATTCGCTATTGCCAGCTGAGAAATTGGCAAAAATATCATTTTTAACTTCAAATTCCAACGTTGGAAAATGGCTGCCCCATGTTGTCAATAGCAAAACAGGGGAGGTAATTGTGTTGTTACTTCCTTTGTCATAGATTTTTAAGGGTGGGAAATAATGCCCATGATGGTATAATAGTGATTTGATAACCTATTGAGCAAAAGACATAGAAATAATTATGTTTTGACTTTCTCAGAAAATTTGAAATTCTCGCTTTAAACTATTATAGTGAGAATGACCAGATCTTTATCTAAATCTTACATAATGCATCTATAATTAAATGTTAAATAATCAATCTGAGTACATATTAAGCTTGAGAAATTTGATATTTTCGCGAAAAATACAAATGATGCATCGTTACCTTAAGATTTTATACAAAATTTTCATTTGCTAATCTTGAAAAACAACCAAAAAGAGAGTTATGATTCTTGTAATCATGTTATTTTATCAGAGTATAGACTCTACAGTAGACATTACTATTTAATATTGATATTATAAGAGTAGATGAAACAACCCAAGATGAACTGGTTTGTGAGAGATGACCTGGATCAGTTTCTATACTTGTTTGTCTTTCCTATTGCCAACAATTTAAAAAACTGAATACACATACTTGTAAATGTTGCTTTTTTGTAAATTAAGATATTATTAACCAATTTTGATAATATATCTTTAACCAAAAACCTAAGATATACACAGAATGGCATACTTCACATGTTAGATAGAAATCGGAGGATAAAACCTCGCCCTGAGAGATTCCAAAACTGTTTTGAAAGATTTGATATTATAGTAACATGCGAAGAAAGAGTTTACGACCAAGTTATAGAAGGTAATGTGCCAAAGTCATTTTCTTTTGAAATGTTATAAATTTTAAGTGATGTAGCCTGTGGTATAGCATAAAGCAGAATTCACAACATAATTCAAAATAATGCTTGTTCTAATAATATATTATATATGTTTATTTCAATGCATGTAACTTCTAACTTACATATAGCAAATTGGTTATGTACCCATGTTAAAATGATTTATTACTTAAATATTGCAGTAAGAGTTTGTATTTTGCACTACTTTTAATCTATTTTCATGTGCTTAACAACAAATGGCCACGAGAGGATGTCCAAACCAATATAGCTTTATTTAGGGTTACTACCAGTCCTGTAAATCGCAGGACAGTCCTTCATAAAAAGGTCGAATCTGTAGACTGCAGCCTGCAATATTCGTCTTGGCCCATCCAGTGAAATGATGGTTCAAAAGACAATCTTGAACAGTTCCTTGCTGTTTATGAAATTACATGTACTTTTACCATTGCCATTGGTCAGGAAAAGGTGGCTTCTGTAAAGGGAGATAATTCATGTACCACATTTTAACATTCTGCTTATTGTGTTTACTTTGTGAATGATTTTGATATAGATTGACACCATCTGATATTCTGTCATGAATTAATAATTTTACAGATTTAGAGACTCGAGAAAAAAGTGGAGGACAAGCAGTACACATAATTAATGTTGATATTCAAGATAATCATGAAGAGGCAACAATAGGAGCATTTATGATTTGTGAATTAGTGGCAATGGTAAGTATATATGTAAAAGTATAAATGCTTAATGTTAAATGACGTTGTGTTTTTAACCAGCGGGATTACAAATCTTAATTCTGCATCTGCTCTTGATACATACATATACTGGTAGCCATTATGCAGGAGTTATACTGTAACTGTTGTTAAAAGTAAACATATTCAATATATCATCTTTCTGTTCTACAAAGCCGTTCTTAGTCACATGGTGACTTTATTACAATTAAAATCTCCCAGAAACATTCTCAAGTCTTATCTATCTGCAGTTGACGAAATGTTGTCTTTCGGCAAATGGATAACAGGTAATTGAAATTGGTTCCTTATGGTATTGACAAAATAGAATAGTAAAATTAAGTTTTAAGTTGTGCTTCCAAATTACTGTAGATTATGATTCATTTTCAATATTTAACATTGATTCTTTACTTCAGTTACTGATGTCAGAAGATTTAGATAATGATGTGGATGAAATAGTTCAAGAATTTGAAACTCAAACTAAAAGAACTATTTTACACACAATGGCATTTTATTAGTGTAACTATGAATACAGACTAAAGCTCAGGCAGAAATCAAGTAGCCTTCCTTAGTAAAAATAACAAGTGATTCTATTATGTGAACTTTTTAAAACCTGGTTCATGGGTGTATATAAAAAAAAAGATAAATGAAGGATGGTTATTGATAATCCAACTTGTGATGTGAGGAAATTATATTAGCGAATAAAGCTGGTTAATTTGAGGTGAAATACTCTTACAAACCTTTACATATTTGACCTGTCAATGATCGTAAGCTTTAAAAAAGTGCAAACTTTCCAATATTGGGATGACTCTTTAAGTCATTGGTCACATTTTGATGTTTAATCTACATTCTTACACCTGCTTTCCTTTATGGGATCCTGTGAAATCTGGCATTGGCCCTTTAATGTCCTTAACAAGGGGTTATATCAACTAGATCAAGAAAAAAAAAAATTCTGAATACATATGAATATACAGTTAAAGAATTAGGTAATTTTTAAGGAGATTCTATTCATGTAATATTATTTTGTTGACGAAGTTTTACTCTTGTATTATTGACCACTGACTGGATATCAGTTGAGAGTTTAATCCTTGAAGATTATTCATAAGGATTGATTTATTTATGATATTCCAACAAATAAGACAAAAGTGTAAACACTTGCCTCTTCTTTATGTGTTACGCTGTGTTTTAAATAAATTGTAAATACTGTGAATGACGATTACTGTTATGTAAATATGTATAGTGTTGTCAATACTAAAATCATGTTTTTCATATTTGTTAAGTCATCTTTGTAACCTCTTATATGTTTTAATTCTTCTCTACCCATGAGACTAACTGGGTAGTAGGCTACTATTAAATTTCATAGCAAAGGGAAAATAATATAAAACAACTGATGTTTAGGAAGCAGACATTGATTGGCAAACTTTATTGTGTTTACGCATATTGATAATAGAAAACGGGAGTCCTATTGTCTGTGATACTGAATTGAAGATTGCAAATCAAAACTTTCAATAGATTGGAATATTGATAAAAAAAATACCTTACATTGATTGTGCACTTTTATGGCCATATATATCGCTAGAAAGAGACCCTTAATATCACATTTATTGTTACATAATAGAAAGTTAATATAAGTATAGTTATATTCAAGAGCATTCACCAAATCTAGATATAAAACCATACAGAAAAAAATATAATTATTCTAATATTATCAATTTCAAAGTTGAAGGTTAAGTAGACAGTTGATAAACTTTTATTTTTGAAAATTTGGACACTTATATTATTTAGTGATTAGATATTATTTGTAAATAAGTAGGAATGACTAATTTACTGGTAATAACATATTTCCTAACATATTTCTCAATGGTTTAGTTTACAGTAGATCCTACGACCTGATTATACATGTATACAAATAAGGTGACAAGAAAATTATTTCAGGAAACTGACTCACTAACCCGTTGATCTCGTGTTCGATCCCTGTATTGGAGGAGAAAGTTCCTCAGGATTTTCCAGCTTAATTTCCCCTTTTCAGTGGTGTAAGATGCAAGGACGAGATACTGACATCACTTTGTGTACTTACTGTCCTCATAAAAGAACTCTTGACAATTCGAAGTTGATGAAAAGGCTGCTTTCCCGGCATGAAATATACCTGTCTTCATTAGCTAAGTTGGTGCAAAAACATAGGACATTTTAAAAACATATATTCCACTTTCTTTTGTTGATTTTTTTTTTTTTTTTTTTGGCCTTTTTAGTTATATTAAGTTCAACCATGAGAAATACTGGCAATTAGCAATCGGAAAACACATTAACAGAACACAGATTTTATGGGAACATTGTGCTTGATAACGATAAGAGGATATTTGTGGAAACCGCATGCATTTAGAATAAAACTGGTGATTGTTTCCCATAAAAACTGTGTTCTGTTAAGAAATATTTGTGTTCTTGAGACCAGAAGAAGCCAGTAATTCATTAAAAACTGGGGTCTTGCTTCTGTATATATTGAAGTGTATTCTCAGTCTGAGAAGTGGATAGCATATTCCGTGTAGATAAGTAAAATTCAGCCAACGGCCACTGTCGCCGACAGTCCGATTTCTCGTCGCAGATGAAAATATCTTTTGTGTGGGTCGATATTATATTGGTTACAAAATGATGTACATAATAAAGGTGTAACAGATTCCTCGGTATTTGAGTTATTATTAAACCAGTATAAGAGTTTCATTGAGATTCTGGTGGTACTAAGACTTTGGTTTGGTTTCATCGCCATTTCTCTATGTACTTTAAAGATACATTAGTTAAGATGTTAATATAAAGTTGGCTATTCTTGATACAACAGTTCAAAAATAGATGATAAAAAAAGGAAAATATTGAATATTTCAGTCAAATTACTTTATTCTGAACGAAGTTGTCACTGTTGGAAGTTTGGAATAGAAATAGCCATCAACTGTCTGTCTCCGCACCATCTCCGAGAATTGCCGATCGTTTGATTGACAGACGATAATTCCGCCCACATATTCTCTATTTTCAAGTACCCTCGATTATCAGTTCTTTCAACGACAGTCTACGGTAGTGACGTCAGTGATTAACGGTAAATGTTAGCTTGGTTTGCCATTTAATGATTAAATGGGCGACTGTTTCAATCTAAGCTGTATTCAAGCCATCCCAGGATCTACAAGGTTGATTTTGGGCATGTTATGTATATAAAGGTCTAATTAATTTCTATAACATTTGAAGCCTATAGAAAGATTTGATATAGGCATATTTAGCTCTTAACTAATGTATCTTTAATTATGAATTTAAAGCATGGAATTGGAACTTCTGCCGACATGTGTGCCACTCTATCAACATATATTTGTTAACTGGTTGATTTAGTTTCACCACCTGGACCTAAAGGTATTTCTTTTTTGAGATATGGTCATGGATCCATGCCAAATCACACAATTGCCAATATTCCAAATTTTACATTGGTCAGATTTACGGTTCCTGAGAAAAGGCCCATTCAGTCTGGGCAATTTTGGTCGAAATGGGCGTGGCCACAGATGTTCATATAACTATAGCTCAATAAACAACCGGTTTGTTAAAATTGATGAAATGGGGATATTTGTCCCCCGCCTTTCTGTCTGTCCGTCACACTTTTTGGGAAACAATAACTCTCTTTCTAATTGGGCTAGAATTTTCAACTTGGTGTAGGTGTTTATTAAGTTAATGCCTTGATGGAGTTCGAAGATGAGAATTTTCTGCTTAGGGTAAGCACAGATAAGCAATTTGATTGGTTGATGTGTTGATACACGATAACTTTAGTTCTAATTTAGTGAGAGTGATGAAACTTGGTATATAGTTTCTTATATCAATATCTTGACTAAGTTCGATAATGAGCATTTTCTGCTCAGTGTAAGCAGAGCGATAAGCAATTTGATTGGCCGAGACTTTGGAACACAATAACTCTCCTTCTAATTGAGCTAGAATGTTCAGACTTGGTGTAGGTATTTATTAGGTCAATGCCTTGATAGAGTTCGATGATGAACATTGTCTGCTTACCGTAAGCAGAGATAAGCAATCTGATTGGTTGATGCTTTGGGGCACGATAACTTTGGTTATAATGAAATGAGAGCCATGAAACTCGGAATATAGATTCATTATATCATTCATTACCTTGACTAAGTTCGATGGTGAGAATTTTCTGCTTAGGCTAAGGAACGATAAGCAATTTGATTGATCAAGACTTTGGAACATAACAGCTCTGCTTTTAATTGAGGTAGAATGGTTAAACTTGATGTAGATGTTCATTAGGTGAATGTCTTGACTGAGTTCAGTGATTAACATTTCGAGCTGAAGCTAAGCAGAGCTAATCAATTTCTTTGGTCGATGTGTCATCTATTTGTTTTGGGATTTTGGCGGGGAACATCAGCCTCACCGCTGGCTTCACACTGATCCGCAGTGAATATTCGCTTGGCCGCTACAATCACTGATAAGGATGACATCGATGCGACTTAATGACTACAAAATATTCACTTTTTTCTTTCGACAAATTAAATTCTGAAACATTTTTTTTTAGTATTAGAAAAATAAATAAAGGTGTTTGAAGTATATCTTGATAAAAAATATTCCATATTTAGCGTAAATAGGCACAGAAAATAGTACGCGGAGGCGTAAAATGGGTAAAACGATATAATTTTGCCCGTACCAGTTCATATTACTACGTTCGATGTAAACAACGCACGTGTGACCATCAATTTGACGTCTTTTTCTGTTTGTTTACTCTGAATTCTTTCAGAAGTACATTTTTTACCGTCTAATCTGATTGACCTGCTCGTGTTTGTTTTAAAACAACAAAAACAAGCCACAGAAGTAATCTTTTTTGGCGTTATTGATGCCATCTTGCTTTGTTGGTAAACATTGTGATGTGACGTCACCCTTAGAACTACAGCGGTCTGACCTTTTAAAGGTCAGTCATCTTGGACAGAGATAAAAGACGGATGTCGCATTAGGTCTGTAAAACAGATTGCGTTGGCTTGTGCTGGAAAGGTAATGAATGCAACAAGAAATACTTTGTAAACTTAATCAAAATATAATATAAGACCGAGAAAAGAGGATGACTGACTAATTCATGGTTAACTATCTTTTGGAAGGTTATCAACGGGATACAACGTATTCCAGACCTTATACCAAAACTTAATCCATCTTAAAGTGAAATGACATTGAGTTTTGGCATCAGGTATGCATGCTTGATTTGATTTTACAGATTAATAAAAATAGTATACCCCTACAGTATTGGAAATATACAGATATTCAAATAACTATAGCTCAGTAACTGTTGGTCAAAATGGTAGTTATAGGCTCCCATACATATCCAGCGATACACATTCAGTGATATTTCATGATCAAACATTTGTTATTATAGCTGGAGCCACGGTGGCTAAGTGAGTAAGACGCTGGCTCGCTAGCCCGGAGGTCACGGGTTCGTTCCCGGCGTTGGCCGAGAAAGTTCATTGTTTGTCGTGTATTTTGTACACGAGGAGCAGTCCATTTGCTGATTACACTATTTTGCTTGAATACACTATTTTGCCTATAACGTTTTTTAGGACTTCGAATTCTGTCTTATGGTTTGGATTGTTCGTACTTGGTTTTATTTTATTATTAGCTGAAATCTGTACCACCTAAAGCAGCTTTGGAGTTGTTCAGTACCACTGCCAGACAGTTTATACGGTGGGTTACCCCTAACAGACACGCCCCAAAATGCCACGCCCCCAACTAGGCTAGCTTAGCAGGGACTGTTCCCGTGTTCTAAAAAATTAGATTTTTAGCCAGGATGCGCAGGATACTAATACCTAGCACGTATGGAAGAGGCGATAAACTGCGATTGCAAGAAATTGATTTTTGGGCAAAAAACATTTTATGGGGCTAAAAATGCGTTTTTGAAAAATAAAATTGTTCCTACAACCGCAGTTTATCGCCTCTTCCATATGTGCTAGGTATTAGTATTCTACGCATCCTGGCACAATTTTTAATTTTTTGGACAACAGGAACAGTGTCGACTAATCTATCCTAGTTGGGGGTCGTGTTATTTTGGGCGTGTCTGTTAGGGGCAACCCACCGCACAAACTGTCTGGCAGTGGTCATTCATGATTCCGGTGGTGGTAATGAACAACTCCAAAGCTGCTTTAGGTGGTACAGATTTGAGCTAATCTAGCCTAGCTTTGGTCTGGAAATTAGATAACTCTTGTCAGGGATACTCCATCACTACAAATATCTGGCAATTACATAGCTCTGTCAGGAGTACCCCACCACTAGAAATGTCTGTCAGAGTGTTTTTGTAATACCTGAAGATGTACGGTACATTGCTGTGCGATTTTCATGTGGTACACTTTTGAGCTAATCTAGACTAGTTGGGGGCATGGCATTTTGGGCGTGGAATACCGCACCCACAACCAGAAACTCGGCAGACTTACATTCTGATGATACCAGATATACATACATTGATACCATATAGGAGAAAATTGGTACACTTTTCAGCTAGGTTAACCCCCTGGGCTCCTGCCCAGTCGGAGCAGCACAGTAGGACGTTAAACCCCATTTCATTTCATTTTGCTATAGCTTTATAGTTAGAAAGTTAACGTAAGAGTTTATAAATATACCCACAGCTGTTTACCGAAAAACTTGAGAAATGCTCATTTAAACGGCGCAGTCGAGATTTTATCATTATTCTGGAGATGATTCTGTGAGTTGGTTTGTTTCATTCTTTCTTTGTTTCGATTTCTTCGAGACATATCTGGTCACTGCTCCAACGATCTTGACTAAACTTGCGTACGTATGGTCCAGTCGGGCGCCTGGCATTTTTGTTGCTATGGCAACCCATAAACTGTTTTTTCTTTAAAATATTTAGGTCTAGCTCCTAGATTAGAATAAACATTGCCTGATTCATAGATCTCACATCGAACAGAAAGTTCAGCGTACTTCATCTGGTTGTGTATAACAACACATTCCAAGTTTCCGTGTAATGCTAGGTTTCCACTGTCGTGGTACTATGCGTTACGATAGGATTGTCCCTTATTAAGTTCAAGATCTGGTACGTGCAGATAGGCCTACGATCAACCCGATTGCTAAGACTGACCTTAATACATGCTAAAACCTGATGACATCACAACGATTACTCCACGATGAAAACCACGATTTCAGTCGCAGCACGAATCGTGATTGTGGGAACCTAACATAAATCATCAGATGGATTTTAATACAACTGCAGAGAAATGTGGTCGAATATTATTGTCACCCCTGTCTGTCGGTCGTCAACAACTCGGATAACATAATACATTTATCATCCGATTATCTTGAAATAGGCACACAATGTTTGTGTTCACAAGATGAAGAAGCCCATTTCCGATAATTATTTTCCAAAGTATTGTCCTTCATCTTTTTGAAAACTTTTGTTGACGCTTGGAAGTCTAAAGTTATTACCAACAGGTAATTATTGGTACATGTTATTTTCTTTATGTTACGCTGTTCGCCCAAGGAAGAAGCCTGTCAAACTTTAATTATTTCCGATAAAAGGATGTTGCTGTTACGTTTGAATACAAGGTTTTAGTCGGTCTACTTTACAGTGTTTCGTAAACGGTTTTTTTCCTGGTATTTAACGATCAGTGTGGTGTGGGCACCTAATATTACTTCGGATTGCATGCATAATTCTTGTAATAAGGCAATCTGTGAGACATTACCGAATTACTATCACTGAACATAACATTTTAAGGCCCGATGTACGAGAACTGATATATTATGTTTGAATTTCATCTGGATTCGTTAAATATTCTGTATTGAAATACCTAAATTTAGAAAAATATTGGAATTCAATACACTTCTCTTATGAAATAGTTCCTTTGAAATGATGATACTCTTAACAATAATTTGTATGGATCCAAATTGAAATATAGTTGCTGAAAATAAAATACATCGACGCAGGGTATCGTACATATTCGGTTCTTGGGCGATGCATATGTACGAAAATGTCAAATTTTTACCAGAAATCAAATGAGAATCGGCTTCGCACTATTTTGTGTTTCAATCTTACATATCCAACGTTGGGGTGGATGATGCACCGAGAAACTACGACGAAAAAAAACACAATATGAACGTTTAACACGACTCGCCAAATAAAATAATCGAGTAAACTGAAAAACGATTATATTGATTAAAAATGTGAAATTAAATATTAGCTTTGTTCACAAACTATGACTTGTCCACCCAGGGCACTCCTAGCTGTCGTCAACGATGTACATTATAATTTAATAATTACATAGACGTGAATGTTTTAATCAATTTATCACCATGGATAAGTAGTTGTTTACCGTTAGACTAATTAAGTGAGCGAGCAATACGTTTGTTTTTGGGGCTAAGCACATTATAGGTGTGCGCCACGCATGTAAATGATTAATTATGATTACTATAGTATAGGAAATTGGTGATTATATTTATATGATGCATGATCAAAAAAATCGATTTAATTAGTCTCTTCAAAAACATACTTTATATAGTATTATACATGTACCTCAGTTCACCCGAGATAACCCGTAAATTAATGTTCTTGATGAAAATTATTGCAAATCATGAAATTTCCTCAGAGTTTGCGCAAATTCATCTTGGTTATTTTCGGTTATTTACTGTCAAAACATAAATGGAGATAAAGTCCAAATTAGGAGTATCGGAATTTAAAAAAAAAATTGGCTTTTTTTAATATTCATTTAAATTACATTTAAATCACAATCTTCGAAGTTAAAACTATTTGATATTTCCCCTTGTACATAGGCGTAGGAGCTCAAAGTAATTCAGGGGGGCATAAGAGAAAATTGCCCGAAATCAATACCATTTTTTCGGGCATACATATCATAAGAGAGCTTCGGGTATATTTTCGGGCATGCAGTGGACAAGAAAAAGACGAGAAAATACTTTTCGGGCAGTGTGGATCTCATAGAAATAAGTTAGTTATATTTTTTCTCTAAACGTTAATAGAAAAAAAAAGGTCGAATTTTTCATTGCCCGAAAATAAATTTTTGGGAGGGCAGCCTATGCCCTTGAACGGCTTGGGTTGCAATTTATAGGAGAGGATATTGCTGATATACGTCCGCCATGGTATTTATCTGCAAAGCTAAATTTAGAAAAATATTGGAATTCAATACACTTCTCTTATGAAATAGTTCCTTTGAAATGATGATACTCTTAACAATAATTTGTATGGATCCAAATTGAAATATAGTTGCTGAAAATAAAATACATCGACGCAGGGTATCGTACATATTCGGTTCTTGGGCGATGCATATGTACGAAAATGTCAAATTTTTACCAGAAATCAAATGAGAATCGGCTTCGCACTATTTTGTGTTTCAATCTTACATATCCAACGTTGGGGTGGATGATGCACCGAGAAACTACGACGAAAAAAAACACAATATGAACGTTTAACACGACTCGCCAAATAAAATAATCGAGTAAACTGAAAAACGATTATATTGATTAAAAATGTGAAATTAAATATTAGCTTTGTTCACAAACTATGACTTGTCCACCCAGGGCACTCCTAGCTGTCGTCAACGATGTACATTATAATTTAATAATTACATAGACGTGAATGTTTTAATCAATTTATCACCATGGATAAGTAGTTGTTTACCGTTAGACTAATTAAGTGAGCGAGCAATACGTTTGTTTTTGGGGCTAAGCACATTATAGGTGTGCGCCACGCATGTAAATGATTAATTATGATTACTATAGTATAGGAAATTGGTGATTATATTTATATGATGCATGATCAAAAAAATCGATTTAATTAGTCTCTTCAAAAACATACTTTATATAGTATTATACATGTACCTCAGTTCACCCGAGATAACCCGTAAATTAATGTTCTTGATGAAAATTATTGCAAATCATGAAATTTCCTCAGAGTTTGCGCAAATTCATCTTGGTTATTTTCGGTTATTTACTGTCAAAACATAAATGGAGATAAAGTCCAAATTAGGAGTATCGGAATTTAAAAAAAAAATTGGCTTTTTTTAATATTCATTTAAATTACATTTAAATCACAATCTTCGAAGTTAAAACTATTTGATATTTCCCCTTGTACATAGGCGTAGGAGCTCAAAGTAATTCAGGGGGGCATAAGAGAAAATTGCCCGAAATCAATACCATTTTTTCGGGCATACATATCATAAGAGAGCTTCGGGTATATTTTCGGGCATGCAGTGGACAAGAAAAAGACGAGAAAATACTTTTCGGGCAGTGTGGATCTCATAGAAATAAGTTAGTTATATTTTTTCTCTAAACGTTAATAGAAAAAAAAAGGTCGAATTTTTCATTGCCCGAAAATAAATTTTTGGGAGGGCAGCCTATGCCCTTGAACGGCTTGGGTTGCAATTTATAGGAGAGGATATTGCTGATATACGTCCGCCATGGTATTTATCTGCAAAGCTGGTAATTATATCAATTGATGTCTTACGAAACGGTATGACGGTTATGGAATTTATTACAGCCTCACTCAACTCAGCGAGATTCATATTATTTTTCCTCCAATTCATATACAATATTTCCGGACATGTTTTATTCGTTGGTTGACAGATAGAATTTGTTATCAATGTGATAATTTCCTTGTTCCTGTATAATATTTAACAGGGAATAGGAAATAAACCACACGCATCTCCCTTTATTATTGAAAACATATTGTGATTTTCACATTTGGGTGTCAAATTCATGCTCAAATATTCAACCATATAATTTCTAATTTGTCATCGTCCCATTTCAATGCAGACTCTTCCTACTGCATGTCATTATACCCCTTCTATAATTTCCTCCTGAAAATTTTTAATTACTCGTCATTCAAGCCTGACCATCCACATTCCAACATACATGACAATCAACGTTTTATTGTAGACGTTCTACATTGGTAACTAATGAGGCGTGTCTGATATCTGACCGTTACAAATGATTGACTCATAAGTGACATTTTATTCATTGATTTTATGTTATAACTGAACATGATTAAGCCATTAGTAATATCATCGAACAGTACATAAAAAACAGAAATCAGATAAGATGCTTTATCGTGATAATTTTTTTAAGGAATCTAAAGTGCTGGGACATAGAGGACGGGGTGGGGGGATTCCCCTGGGCGAGAGAAAAACTGTGAATTTCGGCAAACCTGTAGTAATGTTGATGGTGAAAATTTGTGCTATACATGAATAATAGTGTGAGGCTAATTAGAGACTTTTAGTTTACCTATGGCCTTGAGTATTATTGCGTTCATATTCATAGACAAGGCATATTTCACGTAGACAAATTGAAATGATTGATAAGTTGATACATAAAATCAGCTATAATTTCATAAACATTTAATTCTGGACGCCCGACATTCGTGGTGGAAGTTTCCACTGTCCATATAAGGATGGTTCTCGGCGTCATTAGGCTTGGTAACCAAGAATCATGTCTAAAGGTCAATGTTAAAAGACTAATTTAGATCCTATAGACACGCATTGGGGTCTTGAGAGAGAGATACCATGTAGATTCGTTGGGAGATATCGTAAGGTCGTATGAGAGCCATATTATGTAGGCATTCCGTCAGTAAACTCGCTCTGCGAAATGTTGGGGCTGATAGAGAGATTATGACTTTTATTGTAATCTATGATTGTAACCTATGTATCCAGTGCTTGATATAAAATGTTAAAACTAACTGTTGCATTGTTGTTCCTGGTAGACAAAGGTCTTAGCGGCTGAGATAAAAATAAATACACAACGTGAGTCCTAGCCAAAAGAAGAGAATTACAAATATAACCGGAGACAATACTAGACGATCACATGGCTAATAAAATGTGTAGCAGGAGAAGGTATGCGTCACACGTTGGATGTAGGGGGTTTTTGATGAGGGGGTTTTCCACATCTAACCAGTTTTGTGTTACAAGTGGTGGTGTTTACCTACACAGTTATGCTACTTCCCATCTCTCAAATTGTAACAAAAGCTTGAGATTTTCACTTGACATCATCGACGCTTATTCAGAATTTTCAGAGCGTATAATCATAGGTCAGTATCATAAATGGACTAGCACATTTATCTCATACATGTATTTTGTTTGCAATCTATCTTGAACGTTAATTGAGCCGAGGTATATATTTTTGACGATATGCGCATCTTTTAAATATAGTAAATGAATTGTCGAGTAAGTTCCAGGAATTATGGCATTTAGAGCATATGACTGTTTACAAACTGTATATTTATATATTGTGTATAAATCCTAATATGTGCATGTAGGTCACTGTACATGTGCTACGATATATTTCACAGAACCATATTATTACCCTATTTATGATTCTCAACGAACAAATTAGATTTTAAATTATACTTTGGTTAAAAGTTCACAACATCTGAATGTTTAATAACTATCCCACCCTTCTTGTCATTTTCTACGAATCTATCAAGATCTGGAGGTTTTATTTCTCAAATATTTCGACGGCGATACATTTATAACCTTCCTACGATTTATTAAGCCAACACCTTTCGATCAAAGTATAATAATATAAGATGTTTCAGGAAGGGAATTCGTTTCAAAATTATCAAAAACCGCGATCCTTTCGAGGTTCGAAAACTAACTAAAAACTGGACAGTATCGCATTAACTGTCCCGTGGTCCAGGGCCTCAAATATAGCTATAAAACAGGCAGAAGAAAGAGTCGGACATTTCGGTTTAATTCCGTCCTAGACAACCATTCACACAAAATATCAGGTTTAACCAAATCTTAATCCCTTCAACCCTGTAAATGTTTTCTATAACATTATTAGACCATTAACTTTGTTGTGTTTATGGTTGCCAGATATCTTTAGAAGAGAATTGTTTTTAGCAGAATCTGGTAGTGGAAGAAGGTCGGTTCTCCGAGGCACTTTATGTGAAGTCCCTTCAAGCCAATATGTCTCCATTTCACCTTTACCCTAGAATTATACAGCATAAAATTATAGTAGATTAGAAATCGGATGTTGGGCGAAAAACTATGTATACTTACTCTTTTCAGAATATCAGATACCCCTTCCCTATAATATATTAATTTGATAACTTCCCATTTCGAAGTCAACTTTATTATTTCGAGTTTTCCTTTCGTTTCGAAGACTTTTTGTCTTTGATTATCCCCCATGATTTATTACTTATTAAATACAGTATTTGCAAAATAAGTAATCAAAGTGTATATGTATATATACTTAAAGGGGCATTATGGGAGATTAGATAAAAAGTTGACAATTCTCGCTATAATAGTTAAAACAAAGATAACGTAAATAGAATATGCTGAAAATTTCAGTCAAATTGCTCCACTATGAACCGACATGTCAGCTTTTGAATTTTAAACTAGCCTCGATCATCATTACTAAAGTCGGTACCATAAAAACAAAGTCTCGATTATCCAGTTTTACGTTTAATTCTTTTTCTAAAAAATATATCCCAATCCGCTAAATATTACCGGCTAGCGATGGCATCGAGAGTTGATTATGGTCTTGATAAGTTAATTAATGTCTAATTAATAATTTATATAACATTTCAGGCCCAAGGGCGGCCCAAAGAAAGACCTGCAATAGGCAGATTTAGCAATTTATCCAGTATCACCTTTCGTCGAACGATAATGTAATAATAAATATATTGTTAGATTGTTTTTCGTATAATATCAAAACAATGGGGGGGGGCGCACTCTGCAGCAGTCACATTCTGTTTTTGAACGAAGGAATCACTGCTGCGTTCGAAATGGATGACAAAGTTTTCGGCTTGTTAAAATTGACTATATTGTATTTCCGTTAGTTACCAGCACTCTCTTCAAAATTAACCGAAGATGAATTCCAACTGAAATAAAAGTAAAACGCAGTGCTGTCGTACAGTCCTCACCGTAAGAAACGAATTAATGTACATGTATTGATAACAGATGAGAATATAATGTGTAACTTACCTTCACAGCTATTAGCCCTCGAACTTCTATCTCAAAGCCACCAATTCTTTCTAACGAATCACGTGTTGAGGTACTTATATGAATTTTATTAGCTTAAAAGTAGAAAACAAGATTGTTAATTTTTTCTTTTCTTATTTTTTTAAACACACCTATTCATATCCATAATAAGAATTCCGCCAACCCAGTATCTACATTTAAATTCAAAATAGGATAATACCCGATTGGGAGAGGTTGACATATCATCAACATATTATATCTAAAATGTTGGAGACTCGTTTCTCCAAATTACCTTCCCACCTCTGAAAAATATATTCCGTATTTATTAGCCGATGGACACAGAAGGCCAAACATTGTTTTCTTTTTTGAACGGTTTAAATATAACCAGTCTTTTTTTTTTGGGGGGGGGGGAGGGGCAATCACGAATTTCATCTGTAAGAATACATTTATTTACCCATTATATATTTTTTAATTTATACTTACGCCGACCACATGATTCCATTCTAGAAGCGACGTTTACTGTGTCGCCAAATAAACAATATCTAGGCATCTTGTTACCAACGACACCAGCAACTACTGAACCTTTGATTGAAATAAATGATTTTATTAAAACTTGCCAAGAATAAACTGATTAAGTAGAACGTTCTGTAAGAGTCATATGTTTAATAGAGGTAAAATGAATAGTGTTGTATTGACTATTGTCTATCTGTCAGCAAATCTAACACGCGTTTTGTATAATAACCCTTGTCTTTCTTATGACAAAAAAGATTTTCGAATTAAAATACTACAAACTGAATGGTCAAATCGACTTTCATGTAAACTTAGAGATAACGCGAAGAATCCTAAGCAAGGTAAGTCTCTTTACCAATTAATTAATAAGTGTTATGTTAGGTATTAACACCCCGCCAAACAATTAATAATAAAAATCCATGTAAATTGACTGAAACAAAATCGATTAATCGGTTGGGTATAAGTTTTATAGGTAGAAACAACAGTCTACATTTCATATTGCTGGGAAACTTTTAAAACGATTTTTTTCTCATTTTCAATCATGGAACCGTATTATTAGAAACCAATCGCCCCCTCTCTCTAGCAGTTCGTGGAAGGCATATTACTTAATAATCGGTCGTTAACTAAGTTTTGTGGATTTGGTTCGCAAAGAAAGAAAATCAAACTAGCTCCAATCTCATCAAATAGCTTTTGAAATATAGATTTCGGTATCGATGACTCCATTTTCAGCCATCCCCCTTTTTAGAATGAATCGATTGGTGTATCTCGACGGAAGAAAATTATATATATAGGATTTATGTTTTTAGCAAGATAAATGAGTACCCTTAAATTGGCGATCAATACATTACATATCAGCGAAAATACCACTTTGTATAATATACATCAATATGACAAAAGTCTCTCAAACGTACGTCGGTCATAAATTACATGAAGTGCTTTCCAATCATATATTAAAAGTCTGCACTGAGTTTACAGTCTCGTCGGTTTAATCAGTTTTGTCTAAAGACTCGGCAGAATTTTCTATGTCGTAATTAATGACATTAAATACCGTTCCAAATCAATGCAAAGAGTCTATACATGTATTTTCGTTTAGCAACGGTTTGCTGAAAATGGGCTGTCAGTTATACAAAGTCAATCAATGACAAAATGTCAACATTAATGTTAATGGTAACACTTAAGACGACTCAAAATGTACAGTCCTTACAATCATGCAGTTAAACGAAATAAAGTATTACTAATATACGTAGGGGCTGTAGTTCAAAACTTTAAAATGTATGTTCCACAAGGTTACGTTCTAGGACCATCGTTTTATATCTAGACTAATTATTTTAACTAAATTTTTTAAATACCAATTTAAAAAGCTAATATATTTAATTCTAATAACAAAAATCTTATAAATAAATATATTTGAGATACCTTTGCTTCAAAATTGATTGTATAGTTTTGTTTTAAAAAAATAGGGGTTTATTTTATGATCCTGACGCGAAATGGAATTCTTAAATTAATGTCTTGCGTTAAGTATATGTTACAGAATGTAAACGGGGATTTTTCTTTTCACCGGGTTGAATATTCATTAAACTCATTTCTTAACATTGCTTTTGTTTTTATTGCAATTTGAAAGTCCAATGTAGTGGGTACATGTATATTCAAAAAGACTTCGCAGTTTCGAGGTTTTAATAAGTTTCAGGTATGGCTCGGTTCTATGCGCATCATTTTCCAAACTGAAGGGTACATAAAAGTAAATCCTATAGGATGCGACTTCTCGACAAGAAAAATACAACAAGAACTAAATGAAAATCATAACAAGTGAGGGAGGTAACTGTAACCATTATCTCGAAAATATGCTGCGCATGGAACTCGAGAATATTACTTCGTCATTGGCATAAACTGGACGACCATGTCGTTGCCACTGCTAATTCTACATCATCACAATTTTAAAATCGAAAAAAGTGGTATATGAGTTAGTCACCCCTAAAATATGTCTAAAATTATCAAAACACGCCTACAGCATCACGTTCGTACAACTCCCACCAAATCAAAAAAAGGTTCACATGCGTTCATGAATGAAAATGGCATGGAACAGAAAGGGCTATGGATCTACATAAAAATCGTTAGCTATTATACAGATTGATCACTAATGCCATTTGATGTAGTCTGACATATAAAACTAACATGGGACTAACATGTAGCAAGTCTACCTTTTATGCCGGGTGTATAGCTATAGTCCGAATTTCTGTTAAAAGCTCCGTTGGTCCGAAAGGCTTTCAAGATAATGGACAAGTTCCGCCGATTTTATTACTGAAAAGTCAGCAGAAATCGGATTTATTTTCGGTTTTGTCAAATATTCTATCCATACCATATCTGAAGCAATAATTACATGTATTCAGATTCTGACGGTATTTTATTATAAATTATAAATTAGTAATATATTTACCACTATGGAGACCTATACGCAACTGGAGGGTTTCTTCAGGTAAGTGTGGAATATTAAAATCACTAACCCCAAGCAACAACTCAATCGCCAGTAGGGCTATTTCACTGGCGTGTTTTTCAATGTTTCTGGTGGGTAGACCACTGACTACCATATAGGCATCCCCTATTGTCTCTACTTTATATACATCATACATATCTATACAACTGTCAAACAATTGGTATAGTTTATTGAGTAGGTCCACCACTTGAAGAGGGCTACTCTGGGCGGACAGGTTCGTGAAACCCACAATATCACTAAAGTATATAGTCACTTGATCGAAATACTCTGCTGTCACAGCCTTGTTCATTTTCAGTTGCTTGGCAACCGTTTCTGGCAACATTTGATAAAGTAAAGCATCCGATCGTTGTTTTTCTTTACTGAGTTGTTTTGATTTCATAAAAGCTTCTAAAGCATATTTTTGTACTGAAGCTGTTAGTCTGTACAGAATGAAAACAAGAACCGGTGTTAAGATCAAAGCAAACACAAATATAAAGTACGAGATAAACAGATTCTTTTGAGAGTTCGTGATTTCTTCGTTTATTTTTTCTAACATTGCATCTTTAAGAGCAAATTTGATAGCTTTCAGTATATCCAGATACTCAACAGTATTATCATGATAGTCTATACCCGCTTCTAGAGATGCATTTAAAAACTCATTCTTAGAGAACTGTTTCTGAAAATACTCCAATTTAGAAAATATATCCCCGCGTGTTTCATTATATTGCGAATACAGTTCCATAGCACGACTTGAATAACTCTGAACTGTATTTAAACGATCTTTCGCCATTGCTGTTTCTTCTCGTAGAAATATATATTCAATTTCTGGTAAGAATCCCTTCTCAAAGAAAATAATACCTAACGATAATATTATTCCGATGCTTTCTTTGGAAGTAACGAGGAACTTATACGCCACCAATTCTTGCCACATATCACCATGGCGCATCTGTTTTGTTGCTTCAAAAAGGTTTGACATTAAACATGAGTTTAAATTAGTGTAGAATTCCAATTCACCCAGACTTTCGTTAAGACTTTCGTTCTTTATGTTAAGTCGGTGATCCTGGAGCAGGAACAACAAGCCTTCTTGGGTGTAATTCACTTGCAGACAATCCGGAAATTCCAACATATTTATAATAAAAGCGTCGGTATGCTTATATGCATCTTGCATCGGTGTATAATTACCTGTCTGAAGAGCCAAAATAGTATCTGCTCTCTCCAGCTGAAGCGAATGAATAAGGTTTCCTATGCGATGGGCTCTGTCAATCTGTTCTTTTATCTTTTGAAGATTATCAGTAATGTCCATCGCCTGTATCATCCAAATGGCGGCAAATGCCACCAGACCGATTAATGGAAGTAGTATCAAAGTCAAAACTCTGAATAATTGCAGATGTTTTCCCCTTGTTGAGATTGGGTCAGCGTAGCAAAAGTTGCTTGGTTTAATGCTGATCTTGAATAAATCGCCCATGGAATGGTCTGGTTTATCCATGGCGAAAGATTGCGTAGATAACTCTGGTCGCAAAACTGTCTTCCTGGAAATTTTCCTAAAATATTGTAAGAAATTAATGAACGGTTTCGATGTAATCCCACTAATCATTATAGAAAACTCCTGTTAAATTATGATTACTGAGAGAGAAAAAGGTGTGAGTGGTGTCTGCCAGTCAATAGTCACGTTTATTATCGAAGACACATCGATTTGATAAATGCCGTGTCTACTTTTATGATCCATAGATACATATTTATGTAAATTTTGTATTCCCCTAGAGCCGTAGACAAATCGTTAACTAGGTGGTTCCAATATTAGTGTTCCATATTTTAGACTGACGTTGACCGTCTACTAATTAATATACAGATAACAAAATGCATTTTATTGATTATGCCTGTTTGCACTGTATATTGGAAGTTTTGTTAAAATATTATGTATATTGAGCGTCTTAAATGATAGTGAATTTTATGTGATTAGAATTGTATGGTCTCGTAGAATAATGTATACGCAAATACAATCCTTAATTAAACCATTAAGGATTAAGAAACATCACATTTTCTTTCTCTCTTTAATAATACTATACAACTTGGAGTAGTTTCTTATTATAATATCAAGGTCAAGCAAAATATTCATATAAAGATAATATGGGTTATTTCGCAGTATAAAATAAGTGTATATCTATACTAGATGTATAGAGCAAGGTATTCTCACGACTATTCGGTAAATTGAAATTGATTAAAAACCAACTGAACTCTAAGTTAAAATGATTTTACCTCAGCGGAGTATTGCAAGATTTATCTCAAATAGGTTAAATTGAAATTTGTTTTGTTTAAACTTCATTGGCGTACGTGCCAGGGGGGACAGCTGCCCCCCCCCCCCCCACACACACACACACACACACCAACTTTCGGGCAATCTGACTTTTCGGGAAGACGGGTAAAGTGAAAACAAAAATTATTTCATCTAGTTGGCAAAATAAAGTGCCCGAAATCTGATAAAACACTAATTTTAATTGAATACCACGAATTTGTACTGCATTGACTATGGATTAAAACATTTTGTTTGGAGCCACCCTTCTTTGTGCGACATTCGCAGACGACCGGCATCGCCGTCTGTAACCCAGAATATTGTTCTGGCATTCCAGCTTCTGCCCACCCCCCCCCCCCCCCTAACATTCATCGAGCCCGTATAGATGCATTTCACAAACAAGTGGTGACTTTTTAAAGATCAAATTATGTAAATATCAAGTAAAACCAGAAAAACTCACCCATTTTTAAATGTTTCATCTTCCTCCATCATGAAGTTTAACTTAATAAAATATTCCAATTAATTTTGGACAAAAATATAAAGCGAAAAACACCTTATATGTATTATTTGTTCGATGAATTAAGCATATGCTTTTGAATGTAATAATGTTCGAGAAATACTTTCATTATTAGAAGAGTGTGTCACACATCCTGTTTCCTACAGGTGACTGACAAACAGTTGTGGTGTCAGGTCTCATATATTTGATTGACAGATGAATGATCAAGACGCACTTTACATATTAATTAACTTATCAACGCTACCTTTAATTAATCATTTTTACCTTTAGTTTACATCTAACCAAAGCCGTATAGATAAAGTTGCGACAACTACTGTGAAGCCAGAAATTTCATATGACGTCTTGAAAATATGACGTCAAGTGTACAAATACGCCATCTTGGGTCCCAACTATTTGTACCTACTCACTATTTTATGTCCTATCATATTGTTGTGTCGAAGTTGGCTGCCCCCGACAGGGATATAGAGGATATTTGTCGTTTTAGAGTGAATAATATATTTTATTTCATCGAGAAGCAAGAAAACTTATATTTTCACGAATGCGTAGCATGAGTGAAAATATAAACGTTTTCTTGCTTAGATGAAATAAAATATGTTATTCACGACAAAACGACAAATGTTCTATTTATTTTATGATTTTACAATCATTTTAGGTAAAAACAACTAGCCAGTGAAATAACACTTTTATTTCACTGATAAAACGCGGTATTCCACTACTGATCATAAAATAAATATATATATCTTGACAAGCTCAGGCGATACATGTAGACAATTAAACAATAGTATATACTTTCTTTAGGCATTTTTAACCTTTATTTTTTTCTATATAGGCCTATAGATATGTCATAGAATTCCGCGAAAAAGAGGTAACACATACATTTTTTAAACGAAAAGTATAGCTGAACAAACTTATTATTATACAAAAAGCGCACATTAGGCTAGTGTTATAAAAATATAGTCTAATTCATAAGAAAGTGAAAAAAAAAGATAGGCTACGCCAGATAAAAGTGCTATTAAATATATTTAACTTGCATACGCTTTTAAAAATCAGATTTTTTGTGCAGACGGGTAAAGTGAAAAATGAAAATTTAAATAGTAATTTGGGAGATACAACCTTTTTGCCTTCTAGCCGGCAAAATAAATGCCTGAAATTCCATGATTTTTTTGTTCTGGAGCCATTCCGGATTGTGTGTCAGTTTTCGGTCATCGATCATTAATTGTATCATCAATTTTTCGAAAATAGAAATTTCTTTTAATTGACTAATGGATAAAACATTTAAAATCAGTGTAACTTAAAGTAGCTAAGTCTCTAACTCAATATCATAAAAAATCTTTGACATTGAAAACACGAATTATTTGTCGGTTTAAATCAACATTGATGTTGTGATCTCACCGGGAAAAGATGGTCCTCTGATATCCAATATTTAAAAGAAAATAAACATTTTACAATTGGTACACGAATCGTGTACCATAATGCGTTTCAACGCTATTTGTAAAAAGGAACTCGAGAAACGAGGCTAGGCATATTCCAGAAGTCATGTCAAACGGTGACGCTATATTCTTATCTGGAGAGCATGCCCAATAAATACTATCGGCGTAGACTGGAACAACCAGACGCTAGAGATTGGAATTCGATTGAGAATACTAGCGTATTTCGCCGAACCTAACTGATTAGAAATTACAGTAAAAACAGAAACGATTGAATGTAAATCAATTTATATACATTCACATTACTGTGTGCGTTGCGACCCATTTGTGTCAATTTCTAGGTCCCAAATATTAGCGGTTTAGCTCCTTTAAAATCAGTGTAAAATCGGTGTAATTTAAATAAAAGGTGTCAAGCGTGACATGTGATACGAGATATCGCTGTCCGAAACTTTTTGGTTTCTTTTGTAATTTGTTTGGGGTAAGACGTTATCACTCCCCGCCCATGATTGTGTAAATAATAATATTAATCTAATATATAAACCGCACAAATATAACAGATACTTACTAATGTATATGTTATTCCACAGGTAGACAGACATTGAAGGGGCCCAGTGAAAGAGACGCAGTTGGTTTAGAGTTTGTCCGACTCTTTTAGGTATTTGCGCCCCATTTCCAATGAAATAATCATGTTGTTCTGATGCTCAGCTATATGTATCAAATATATATCGTGTCTGAGATTTGTTACAAATCGACTAGAGCATGTTCCACACATCTCAACATTTATTAGCTTTTTGTTCAATCTATAAAAGCCCACATTCCTACAAAATGTTTTGTTTAGTCAAGTGAAACAAGAAAATTCATGGGCTAAATAGAACAATAGAACAAGTATACAACTTAATGTCCACAAATACGTAAAACTATGAAATAAGATACTTCTATGATATGATTCAACCGAAAGGTCCTATATATGCAACACGGATATATAATATCTACAATTAAGTTAAACGAACTGCATCAAGATCTCTCGAAATTAAATTTTTGAGATTATCGCTGCCCTTTTATTACCAAATTAATGTTGTTTTTTGTTCATTTTTATTACTTTTTTTTTTAAATGGTATTCTATTACCAAATTTGGCAGTCATATTGAAAGAAATGCCCGCCACCAAATGACAAATACATTTTTTTTAATTGATGTTTGTTAAATTCGATTTTTCCACACATTTCGCTTGCATAACCAATCTGTGTTTGAGGAATTTAAAGATGGGTTCCCACAAAAGTATTTATCGGGTGGTTATTTCCAATAAAAGTATGGCAATTTTGGTATATGGAAAGTAGAGATATCCAATCTTACTACAAAAATACTGGATTCCCCGAAAAACACTCATCGAGCGTATACAGGACAAAAATGTAAGGGTTCCCTAATCAACAGCCTGACGATTAAGAATTTCTGCACGCGTGATGTCAAAGGTCACACGCGAACATTGAGCGCTTGATGTACAAGTTGATAAACGCTATGAAGAGTTAGACGTCAACACTTTCTGAGATAAAAAAATGACGGAAAAAGACGCGGGTAGTGGATAATCCGAGAATTTAATTAGGATTCGATATTTGTAATAAATAGTAAGCGATTAAAGACAACATCGTCTTATGTATGCAATGAATTCTCCTCTGACTTCCAAGACGTGACGTAAACATGACCTGGTTTGATCGAATTTTAATAGCAGGCCATTCCTTCGCAGTTACAATGTTTGAGAAGGATTTGAAGCATAATTATGACAAATTAATCAGTTTGAATATGTTTTTAGTCCATATATACCATTAACTCACCCAGTTTGTACGCGGAAACCCACCTTTAAAAAGAAATTATTTATCCTCCCACCACTGAAATGAAAGACACTGATTTAGTGATTACGAGATATCGCTCTCCGATAATTCCTGAAGAACGCTAAATTGAATTCTGTTAATCATGTCATTTTGCCATGGCTGATTTTGAGTAGATTTCGTCTGACATATTTATCATTGAACCAAACTGCAATTTTGCAATTTGTTTAGGATAAATTGTAGCCCGTAAAACGTTATACCAAGAAAAAACAAAAAACATTTTGTTAAAAGTAATGCTATATGACGCCATGACGTCATAGATTTTATGGCGTCATAGTCGGGACCCAAAATGGCGCCTGTAAATGAGTTGAGGTTCCGATGCTATATTGTGTGTCTTGTGTAATAATTGTCATATTGTTATAATTTTTATGTACACGTTTATATTGTATGCTGTCCTAAATGGATGTTTATGCAATAAAATCTTATCTTAACTTTCACTATACGAGGCTTTGCATCTACTACTACTAGCCTTTACACACACAGTGATTAAGCGCTTTTGGTCACTATATATATTGACGGGTTATGTTGCGCCGCGAGACCCCTCCATTCCCCCACCCTTCTAATTTTTCTACAAATTATAATGTTCTTTACCGGTACATTTTAATTCGGACTGAGCTAATATAAATACACCTCAGAGTAAACATTGACCTGAACACGCACCGCTTCAAATAATCGTGGGCTTTCAATCCCCCATTTGCATTAACTAATAACTAACTAAAAAGAAAAATTCTAGGTAGGCCCCTAACCCCATTCACGCGTTAACCGTGCAGGAAATAGCCTACGACCACGCAGCAGCATTGTTTGGAAAACAAGATAGCCACCACAGCAGCTTATCCGAAAGGAAAACATGGCTATTGACCAAGTTTGAAAAATACAGTTCATGATTTCACGAAACCTGATCAAGATTTTAAAAAAAAATGTGTAACTCCGGGAGGGAAAGGTAGGTTGGTTTTGGAACACTAAATATCGATGGGGTTTGTCCTCTCATAAACTCAATTGTTTATACTAAATTTGAAGAATATCAGTAGCCTCGATCGCTTTAACAAGGTTTTCGGAAAAGTGTGCATAACTCTGGACCACCTAGACAGTTTATAAACATTGATTCTTGTAGCTGATACGACTAAATGTGACCGGTCGATGCCGTTACTTATTATTTATTGGATTGTTTTTTGTTTTTTAATTGCGTGCATATTTAAAATATGAGTTAAGTTTCAAAATGGGGGATATGAGTTAATTTTAGTCATATTTTGTACACACCGCCATATACTAAAATATGTACCGAATATAGCATCCTTGCAAAACTATGGTGGCTGTTAGCGGCCATTCAAATGAATCTAAATCGTCGCCTTGTGAAGAAGGCGACAAGTCGACGAAATCAACCCGCCGACACGTCAAAATAACCCGACGATCGTCGCCTTCATATTGTCGTGTCGGCGGGTTGATGCGCACAGATTAACTTCCGAGACGTCGGCGGGTTGATTTCGTCGTGCGGCTACTTGTCGCCTTCGACTTATTCACAACCGACAAGGCGACAAGTCGACGAAATACAATTATTTCGACTTGTCGTGCGGTGACTTGTCGTCTCGGAAGTTAATCTGTGCGCATGCAAGTTATCCAATCAGCAAATGCGCATGCCCGAGTTTGACAAGTCGCCGCACGACAAGTCGACGAAATCAACCCGCCGACACGACAAAATGAAGGCGACGATCGTCGGGTTATTTTGTCGTGTCGGCGGGTTGATTTCGTCGACTTGTCGCCTTCTTCACAAGGCGACGATTTAGATTCATTTGAATGGCCGCTAACAGCCACCATACAAAACACAAGACCTAAACATTTACAATACAAAAATGGAACACAAATTTGGCAAAATGTTTGGAGTGTCGAAGATATTTGTAAATAATGGTAAACTTTCTGAATGAGGTTTGATTATGAAATTTTTGACAACAAACATGAAACTTGTATTTCAGCCAACTTTCATGAAGAAATCACCGATATGATCTTAACCAAATTTAACTAATAAAACAAGTTTATAATTAGCCTAGATACATGACCACACATCTCCAAGTTATGTTAAATAGAGGTTAAAAGAAAAATATAACGCCCTTTTCAAGGGCTTCTTCCTTGGAAAAGAAAACCTATTGCAAATTAAAAAAATAAACTTGACCATCTTGATAGATAGTGTCAACAAACTAAAGGGATGTTCACTCTTCTTAGTTTTGTTTAATGTTTATTTTAAGTGAGTTAGCAGACTTTGAATTCTAAGGATTGTTGTAACCTAGCTAGAGTCATTTTCTAGTGTATCTGTAGTCTTGAATCGACATCTTCACTCTTGAATGGTGAGATGGCAGGTTCCAATTATCGCGGGAAGTAATTAGCGTCGTTTGCTACCTTTCAATTGTCGGGTGTTGAATCTAAAGGAGTCAGATGACCAGTGATGATTGAGACAAATATATGTCAGAAAGATCACTCTTAAAATGCGGGTTGGCCAAATAAATATACCGTTTGCCAACCACCTGTAAAAACTGGTCGGACAACGCCAAGCCAGCCGACCGGCATCCCGCGCCACAGAAATCTTCTGCACTTTCGGGGCTCGTTTCACTCGGCAATACGTTTTAGCACCCTTTCCTCTCAGCAATACTCTTTCCATTGTTTGAATAACTCTCACATAACGCAGTTTTATGACACGTGCTTTTCCTACCAATGAGATTCGCGGTCGGTAAGGGGCGAATTATGTAAGCTAATGAAATTGGCTATCACGTGGGGTCGTCCTTGTTTAGGACCAACAATTTTCATGGTCCTTCTCATAAAATATTGAGCACAAAATGATAACATAGCCAATACAATAAAAAAAATATTATCCAGGGGAATAGTACCGGTTATTCTGAAACTTGCATGCTCCGTCTTAAGATTAGAACATATCGAATGAGTGGTGGTCTGGTGCCATCAAATTAGACTTATCCCCCTTGAATACGTTCTCTAATGTGTGAAATTAGAGATTGAAAAGTTGTTGTAGCAACCTGAAGAGTTGTGAAAATTAAACCCGGTCTAGCGTAATAAACAAAAATACAATCCATTAGACAATGAATCTCTCCATCTTTAATTAATTAACAGGATTACTCTCATACTGATGTTTGTAAATAAGTAACCTACTGATACTTCAAAATTAGCGGTAAGACCAAATAACAACTGGCACCGTCTCAGTCTTTTTTGTCTAAAAATCTCTACTCTGAACTAAAAAAAAGTAGGGCTAGAATCTGTTGGAAAATTTCACAAGGAACACACAGTTAAAACATCAGGCGTAATTATTATAACACCGGCCTATTGAGTCCTGTTAGTTTTATATAGGATAGGTGCTAAAAATGGGAACTACTGGAACAATATAATTTTGCCACCAAACTAAAACTAAACTAAAGCCTATAAAATTGAATTCCCTGAAATAAATGCATCAGTCCCAAATTTTTATCCTCCTGTCCCCAGGGTCACTTATAAATTTGTTGACATAAGACATAAAGAATCAAAATATCTACACATCTTCTATTTGATGAGATTAAACTACTAAAGAAAAAAAAGGAACATTATCTGAAGTACTGTTTGCGCTCTATCTACAAATTCTGTGTTGATTGATACCACACAATAAATACGGTACCATACCGTATATATATCTAAAACGAATAATCATTTTGCTTTTTAAAATGACCACACTCGACTCACTTTGTTAAAATCTTTCTGATCCGTTACCCCTTTTAATCTAGGCTACTTTAGTACTTAACGCCATTGAATCCTGTAGCGTCACTCACTGTGAATTACATTAAGGACATGTCATTCTAAAAATGTGTTGAGGATCTGAATCTACAATGGGCACATTTTCCCCAATAAACTATGCCAAATGTTTCTGACTCTTTCTGACTGAACCTATGAAGTTATGGAGGCCTGGAAGTGGTCAGATGTTTCAGACTATCTCTATTGCCAGTGCAATTTTCTGACTTCATACTGTTTTCCAGCCTCAGATAATTATGTTTTACAGATGTTGGTCCCTAAAATGATCACACAGGATTTGATTTGAAGACATTTTTATCAGCTAAATTCCAAATCCATAGCCTAAATACTTTTTTTAAAAAAATAAACGATCAGTTTGTATTTCAGTCATACTGAGACCTGAATTTCATATAGATAGTCTTGAATCAACACTATAGAAAAATTGTTTGGGCAGACAATCTGTCCACTATGAATTCCATCCTGTGGTTGGCTCGAAGCCAAGAACATAATCTATAATCCTCTTAATAACAATAAAACCCACATTAGGCCTACCTTGTATTGACCAGTATTTTCAGCAAAGCAATTTTTTCTCTATAAGTGTCCGTTCACGTTTCTTACAAATCATACCTAGCCTATTTAATAGCTGTTGTAATGATGAGCAGACGAGAGAGAGACAGAAATATAAGACCCAGTTTTTCGTCGGTCTACATTTGAATCATTTACATGCTAAGGATGTACATGTATCCCCAACATTTGTATGCCTTATTTATTGGGAATTGTGTACAAAAAATAAACCTACCATGCATAAATATTCCTAACTATTTAGCTGATGATGTGATATTCATGGTATTGTGGTTGACACATACAATTTCACACTGATCAGCAGTGAAAATTCGCTAGGCCGCTAGTCCGCTATAATCACTGATAAAAGGATGACATCGATGCGACTTAATAAGCCACAACTTTTTTCCTTCGACAAATTAAAAAATTCTAAAACATTTTTGTTATGTTTTAGAAAATTCTAAAACATTTTTGTTATGTTTCAAAAAAATAAATAAAGATGTTTGAAGTATTTGTAGGTAAAAATTATTTCCTATTTAGTGTAAATGGGTATTGAAATGAGTAAAAATCACCATTCTGCCCGAGTCAATTAAAACGTATTTTATCAGCCAATAATACATTCTACAGTAGATATCGCTTGTGTGATATATTTCATAATCTACTAAGGAGATATCGCTTTACATGAATTTGATTGGTCAGTTGAAAAGGAACTACTTTTTTTTATTTTCAAAGAACAGTTCATTTCTTATTAAAAGTAACTTTTTTTTTATTAAAAATGAACTATTACTATTCAATTGACCTTGATGGAAACGCTGGGACAATATAAAGGACTTTGCAATGGTCGAATTGCTGTCAGAAAATGATGTATCACTACGCCGTAATGTTCAGTAAAAGTGAAATCAACAGCAAAGAATTATATTTATCTATTTGTGCATGTAAAAAGGGATTGGGTGATAAATAAAATCTCCTACTCGTCTTTTTTGATATCAAAAAATATCAACACTCGTTGATAAAGTAAAAAAAACCTCGGCAGAGCCTCATTTTTTGTTACTTTATCAACTTGTGTTGATATTTTTTGATATCAAAAAAGACTGGTAGGAGATTCTCTACATGTAAACAATGCACATGCCATTGAGCCAATGATTGACGCCAAGTGATTGACGTCACGTGTTGAAGGCAGTTATCTTTTACAGAGATATTAGAAGACTTTCGTAATCCTCTGTGAAACAGATTGATACAATATATCATAAAATGTGTTTATTGGACCTCCAAAAAGGCAAGGTAGATTTGATGAAATATGCTTACATTTATAAGCTTCCATGATAATGCATTGGTATATATTTTTTTTAAATAACTTGATGAATCCCTTTATTACAGTCACCATGTCGGACATTCATGCTACATCATTCCGATATGATTGTGTATGTACAGAACTAGAAAAACAGCCGCATCCATACATATTAAAGATGTTTGAAAAAGAAAAAGAAGACACAGTTCTGTAAGTTTCGGTTAAAGGATATTAAAATAAATTGAAATCCAAAATAGGGTATTATTTACATGTGAGAAAGTCAGAGAATAACTTTATTGTGAATTAACTCTTAGAATTTAGTAATATAGACTTAATTTAATCTTTGTGTAGGATTGAACATTTTATATAATTTTCATTTATAATATATAGTTCATATTTGTTTCTACTTCATATTTAGATCATTTACTGTAAATCTACTAACACTTTTTTTATTATTCAATAATAGACGTAAAAGTAAAGGGTAAGTTATTGCATGAAACTCCAGCTTTTATTCTTAATTGTTTCTGGGTTGATTGTTTTAAATTAAAATTTGGTTTATATTTACCAATAATCATAAAATGTTTAAAAGTTAATTCTCAGCAATGAGCTATTTATGATCAATTATGACTTTTGTGCAAATCCACTTTCCCATATAATTCCACACAACCCTATTGCTATAACTTTCCCATGTTATCACTTCTTTATTCTTATTAAATAATAAGTAATACATGATTATCTTTCCCATATTATTTCACACAACCTTATGGCTATGATGTTTCTATGTTATCACTTCTGTATTTTTATTAAATAAAAAGAGATACTTAATCTTGCCCATATTATTTCGCACAACCCTATTGCTATGAACTTTCCATGTTATCACTTGTTAATTGAAATTAAATGTAAAATGATATGTGAACCTTTGACAATATCAGTTCAGGTTATTACTTGTTAATTTTAATTAAATATAAAAATGATCCTTTCACATTATTAGGTCAGAACAGATTATGACAAGAATGAATGTATTGTTTTTCTATATCCACTTTTATAAAGCTATCACTTTGTTGGTATAAATTCTCAATCCGTACTGATAGGTGTTGAAATTGCCGGTAACCTCAAAGAATTTTCAAAAGTATAAAGATTTTTTATCAAAGAACCTGCTATTCTATTTTGTCCTCTCTGCATTGTTTAGATTAAATATATCGGTATATTCTTTTACACTTGGGAAAACGAACATCATAGTTTACTTTACATCAATTGCTTCATCAATTACAGATTAATAAAATTAATTCTGTGAGGTGTAGCAAATATATTGTTCAAATGTGTGAAATTCATTAATTTGCTTTTATCTTATTACCTTTGGTGATAGTCATTTTATATTAGAATTGATTCTTCTTTATTATTGTGTTATTGTTGTTAATTTTCATAGCATTAGTTATATGGAACCACATTTTTGTCAGTTTGTTTAAAAAACACTCTGTATATTGTATATATCATTAGATTGCTTATTTATTCAGAGAAAAGGGTCATCATCAAATAACTACATTATCAAAATTTGTAAAAAAGTTGAAATTCTGAAATTTATGTTTAGATTTCTAAACATTAGCAATGGATACCCAACTGGTATTACATTTTATATTAATTCAAGTTTTATTAATTATAAATGTTTTCAGTGAATCTAAAGACACTATGCATCTCTATTTGGCTGGAAACAATAAATTGTTAACAGATACAAGACTGGGAGATGATGACTGCCTTCTACTATACAAAACATTAACCAATAACTTCTATGTTGTCAGTATAGATTTAAGATATAATAACATTGGTGATGAAGGTGCTAAGCACATTGGTAAATTGATTGAGGTAAATATTTTGATCAAAGATGTATTCCTTTAAACTTACACCATAGATCAATTTACATTATTTGGTTTGAAGTTGGCATCCAAACTAATCATTCTGGGCTGTGTATAGAAGTGAATTGTTTCAAAGCAGGTTATAGTGATTTGAAATACTACTGACCAATATAAATGATACTCTTTATGGCAGAACATTGTCATGATAACAAATTGATTCGATTTTAATTATAAAATTCAGAAACCGATATTGTAGTCTAAGATTAGACAGATAGTTGTGATACGTTTGAACTTAACATACTGTTTCAATGGTTTGCCTCCGTTTTTATGATTTTTGTATTCTTGTATTCTTATATTTAAAGGAAAGCTGTACATTAAGAGATATAAATTTAATGTTTAACAATATTGAAGAGAACGGAGCTGAATCTATCTCTAAGGCATTAATGGTATGTATAGCAACTTTGAAATATTTGTAATTTGTCGATGAAACCTACCAGGCGGTACAAGTGTTCTTTTGTTAGAAACAATAATATTCTAGAACACAGGTCTAGGGATAACAATTACTCTATTATATACACACAACATTTTGACAAATGAAATCTTGTCAAAATACTGTCTAATATAGTGATGGTTATCCATAGAAGAACTGTGTTGTTAGATTATGTCAATTGTTTAATCTCATTTAAAAATAATAATTCTAGAATTAAAAATAGATATAAATTTTATGATGATTTTACTTTGATGTTGTTTTTTCAGTCTAATGAAAGTTTATCATCATTAAGAATGACAGGTAATAAGATTGGTAATAAAGGTGGAATGTATTTTGCACAGGCTTTACAAGTAAATTCAACTTTAGAGTCTTTAGATTTAGGAGATACTGATCTGGTAAGCTTTGCTTTTTTTAGGAGGTTTTGCAAAGGATATAATTTAAGAAGTTTACAGTGCCATTGTGAACCTTTGACGAACCCCAGTAAACCTCTAACCAAAAGTAAAACTTTGTATTGAGAATAATATTAATTATTTTGAGTCAATAATGACCCCTTTCCCTTATTTGTAGGAGATGAGATGCCAAATATTAAAAAAATTCAATTCATCATATCTTTGTAAATACTGGCTGGAATTAACTGATATTCATCTTAAGAGATTGAACTTTCAGAGATTTTAGGTTATTACAATATTTTGAAGCCATAAATTTCATGCTCCTCCTCCTTATTAATACATTATATATTTGAATACTTGAGCTTTGTCTAGAGTTTATATTTGTATCTTTCAGAAAATTGAATCTGTAATAGCATTATGTTCTGTTCTCTACAACAATACAAGTATTAAAAGTTTAAATGTCAATAGACCTATATTATTCACACATCAAGAAGAAACTACGGTCCATTTTTCAAAACTTCTAAAGGTAAATATCTATCACTAAGTAAATACCTTTTTTACGATGATGTAAAGCAAATTACTATGGTACAAATTTGAAACAAAGATTTGTTTCTAATATAATTGTGATTATCTACACATTGGTAGCATTTCCCTCTCATAAAATATCTTATGTGTTTACAGGTTAATACAAGTTTACAAGAATTACATTTAAGAAAGTATGATATGAGAGACTTTGGTATGACAAGATTAGCAGAGTGCTTAATGGATAATTTTACATTAACCCACTTAGATCTGAGCTGGTGAGTACTTACAATTTCTGAAGAACTAATTATCTCCCCCTGAAGTACATTTCTCATGTGAGTGCTTTAATAAGAATAAAATTGAAATGTAAATTTTAAGTGGTGTTTTCCCTCTTAATTAAAAATATCTATGTAATTATTACTGACATGTATTTTTTATTCTCTAGTAGTAGTAACGTAAATTTTAAGTGGTGTTTTCCCTCTTAATTAAAAATATCTATGTGATTATTACTGACATGTATTTTTTATTCTCTAGCAATCGTATCACTAGAGATGGAGCTAAGGAGTTAGCTAAAGTTTTAAAGAATAATACAGCTTTAGTGTTTATAGATCTAGCTAATAATAGATTAGAAGATGATGGAGCAATATATTTAGCTGAAGCTTTAATATCATACAATACTACGCTACAATCGTAAGTTATAATATCATACAATACCACTCTACAGTCGTGAGTTATAATATCATACAATACCACGCTACAATCGTAAGTTATAATATCATACAATATCACTCTACAGTAGTGAGTTATAATATCATACAATACCACTCTACAGTCATGAGTTATAATATCATACAATACCACTCTACAGTCATGAGTTATAATATCATACAATACCACTCATACTCGTTCTCTACTTTATTTCAGACTTGTCATATCTAATAATAATATTAAAGGGCCAGGTTTATGTGCTATAGCTGATAGTATTAAAGAGAATACTCGGTTAACTAATATCTATATTTGGGGAAATGTTCTCGAAGAACCTGCCTGTATTGTAAGTTTACTCTTTTGTTTTGTTTTGCACAAGAACAACTAAATATTAGGATATTACCCAATATATGCTGATTGTTTGTGCCTTCTTGTTCATACTTTTTTGGTCACATGAAACAAATTTATGTGTTGGACTTGTTTTTTTAGGCATTTGCTAAATTAATGGAAACTGGGCGTCTGAATAAGAAGGATACAGATATTAAACCCTATGTTGTTGATGGAATAACCTACCTGAGTGAAATTAATCGTAGACCAGATCGTCATTACTTTTGGGCACCTAGTTATGGTGATGATGTTCCAGATTGGCAGATCAGGGGAGAGAATCCTAGCGGAACGACAGTGATTGCCATGTTAGATCCCAGATTCATTGATCCTTATTAATTTAACTTTCTCTGATATTAACTTTAATTTGTGATATTTTATTGCCTGTAAACTTTATGGGGATATGTTATTGTAGAAAATTATATATATCATCAGCATTGAAATATATTCTAAAATTTAAACTTAAATTATATATTGTATTAAAACAAAGTTCTAATATGGTAAACCATATTTTGACAAAAATTCAGTATCTATCATACAGTCAGATTTCCCTTTATTTGTATCTGTGATATCATTTATGTAAATATTTTCATGTCGTTAGTTTTCAAATCGATAAAATTTTAAATAAACAAGGTGGATCTTTGTATATTTTAAAAGTTATTTAAATGTAAAATAAAAGCCAAAAAACTTAAACATTTGTTATCAGTGTTCAAACTCAGAACGTAGTCACTTTTTTTTAAAAGAACAATCTCCAAGTAATAAATGAAGTGTCATTATTTTAAGATTCTTTTGAGACCACCAAGTGGTACATGTTGAGACACTTCAAAACAAAGGACTATGAAATAGCTTTCACTCTAATGATTCGTACTTTCAGTCTCCAATGGAACAAAATTGATTTTTAGCATTGTTTAGAGTTTATTCTTATTTCAAAACTTAGCCAGTGTGACATTTGAACAGACAGTGCAGCACAAGTGCTCAACAAAATATACAACAAATATAGCACAGATAATGCAAATTGAACAGCTAAATATTAACCCGAATGCTAAGATGAATACATAAATATGTAAACCAACTAGTAATTGTTACATGAACTCTAACTTGGATAGGACTTGTTCGCAAAAGAGAGAGAAATGGGGTTTAACGTCCACTAAACACAAACTAGGTCATTGCGGGACTAACAGGGTTTAATTTTATTTCAGTATTTCGCTTGCACATAGGGGTCTTTAGCAGTGGGGGTAAACAGGACCTAATCTATGTCATGTACAAGCGGGGAATTGAAACCATGCCACTTGATTAAATGGCAGACCTTACGATTTTACATACACGCGTTAGACCCCCCCCCACCCCCCGTTTACAAAAGCTCAATCCCACAAAGTTTTTGAAGAAATAAATATGGTCTTTGGTGGAGGTAATTACCAAGTGGGATTTGGTGTATGCTTCTGGCAAGTGTGATCTTTGCAGAGAAAAGGATACCATAACAAATAGTTTCACACACACTGAGTCTGATAAATTTGACATGCACAGTAATGGGGAAATATGGGTTGCCAGAAAACACAACATACACCCACAGCAGTCCATAAAGGTTGTTTCATTGTGAATCTTTCGGAAAATAAAAACCAAACTCTGCATCCTGTATTGACTAGATTCAATATAGTCAAGGTCAATAACTATATAAGTAATTGAAACAAAGAACATAAGTAGGTTAGATGATAACTTTCACACCATTTGCATGTTTCAACAAAGGAAGGAAGGGCACTAAGGAATTAACAGAAATTGTTGCAATTCAATAGACATCTTTTTGCTAAATTGAACAATGCAAATATACATTTGAAATAGACTGGATGATAACTCTTGTTGCCAGAACATTCACCAAGGGAAAAAACTTTTGATGAAATAGAAGAAATTAACTAGGCTTCGATGTCTCACTAATGTAAACAATGCATATAAATTTTAAATAGATCGATTGATAATGTCATCTGTAGAGTTTTCACAATACATTGTGGATCTCGGAACAGATTGGGGTGACAGCAATTTATGGACACATTTCAAGGTGGGTGTATAAAAGTTAATTTATATTCAGGTATGCTTCATATTCAATTACTGTACGAAAAACAAGCTTTATATTTCCACCTTTATTCTTCCAAATAGTTTATATACAATTTACAAACAAAATACAAATTAAGATATCTTGAAATCAAACTTGAAAGAATTATCAGACTTCACAAAATGGAAATCAGATTTATCTTCACAACTGGCGGTAGACGTAAGCATACTAGAATTTTCATTGTCATCATTTGTATCCACTATAGTGTCTTTCTCAATGGGAAAAGAAAATTTAAAATCATTCGATGATGATGAAAAATTCAACTTTGTGTCACTGTTTTCAGATTCACCAACTTGTGAATTTTCACCATTAGCACAGTTTTCTTTCATTTGATGACTTTTTCTACTTTTATTATAAAACTGAGATTTTTTCTTTGTCTCTTTATCTGGAGTCTCAAACTTCATATTTTGGGCTGCTGAAAAATAGAATAGAACTATATTCAGAATCATAGAGTTATTGCTCCTGTTGCCAAAATCTTGTACACATTCTAATTTAAAATCTAGTCATAAAGACAAACCATATAAAAATTAATGTCCTGCATCGAGTTTACATGATTAATAAATTTATACAATACTATGTTTTTATTTATATGTAGTATAATATTGTGTTCAATGGCAGGGTGTCATATTTTGCATGAACTCTCTTCAAATCCTAACATGTCAATGGATCTTTTGTATTTACTGCAAAGGTATAAAACGGGATTAATTGTTTTCCAGCCCAGCCCAACAACTAAGACATGATGGCACACAATGCAATATCTATAGTTTTACAGGCTAATATATGGTATATGAATCTGTGAAAAATAAACACAGCAAAAATAATATTAATATTAACCTTTTGAACTACTAGCAGCTTCATCTTTCATTTTTTGTCTGTAATCACCAAATGTAATCCTCATTGCTTGACGCTTCTTTACTAATGGTGCTTTACTACTTTGTAGTATTTTTAAAACCTTACTGGTATCAACAGCTTTAAAAAAATGTAAACATGAAAATATGGGCGTATAAAAACAATTATTGTAATTTTTTTTTTTTTTTTTTTTAAATTATTACATGTATGTTCTGTTAACTGATGCCTTATCACTGTATGGGAGTATTCCACTGATTTTGATCATCCATGACAGTATACAGATCAGACATGAGAGTATCCCACTAAGTGAGTGCAATACTAACTTAAAAAACAAAAAAAAACAAAAAATAAATAAATTTTGTATATCTGAATGTTACTGTAATATAGTTACTAACCTTGTTTTGAATCTGGTTTGACATGCTTTAAATTTAACATTAACTGCTCTATACACCAACAAAGTTCGCTTTCAAAATCACCCACAGCAGCCATCACTTTAAAAATATTAAGTCAAACAATTTAAAATAAATGTCCTTTACTGTTAAAGTATATTAATTTCTGAAGAAATTTTGACTCCTTATTTCAAAATTATAAAGGGCAGTCAGAATTTGTACATTTATATTCCACTGTGCCATTTTACTGCTAATAATCCTGGGTGAATTATAACTAGAAATCTTTATCCTGGGTTTTTGGTTCTGTCTGAAGCTCTGTGATACTTTTTATGCTGCTATTTCACATATTATCAGCTTGTTATTTGATAATATTGGGTGGTATTTGGTAGTATTAGATTAGAATTGGATAGTACCTGGTTATTATTTGTTTGTAAGGTTGAGAATCCTCAACGAAACGTCGGTTTAATTAAAATAGTAATTGTGTTCCATATTATTTTTTTTGTGTGTATTACGTAATATGTCAATTTCTAAATGCCGCTCAAAGAAGGTGAAAATTGAAGTTAACTACTCTTTTACTTAGTCTTAGTTAGTCTTACATCATACATGATTTACAAAATTAATTAATTAGGTACATCGCCCTGCCGCACTTTATATAATAAAATAGGGAATATATTTCGATCAACAGTAGTACATACCTTTCGCATGAAATATCTTACAACGGCATTGATTTATGGAATTTTTGTAATAAATAACTTCGATTTCTCTAGACTGATTGATCGATCAACCATGCGTTTGTTTATTTGACATTTTGGTCGAATATTTAGAGTGATCGCCCTTGAATTTAAGGATCCTTCATTTTTTAGAATCTTAATTATTAATGAACAAAACCCATCATTAAAGATTCAAATACACCTGTCATTTCATTTGATTCAAATTAATCTATATATTGATTTTTTCAATTTTTTAAAATATCCCCTTTACACTGGCAATAATTTATGACAATTAATGAGGTTATAAATCAAAGGATCCTTGTTAAATACTCCAAAATGGCCGACGGATTGGCAAGAGTCCTTGCTAAATCAGAATTTGATTCTGAAGCATGTGTGTATTTTCTACCTTTTCGATGGAATTTACTCCTGTCATTATGACACAGCATTATTTTCCATTTTCACCAACTTTTGTATTGATTGAGGACAATATTATCTTAAAAACTGGAATAAACGCAAACCTTGTTGAGTGCCCCGCCCCTCTCAATTTTGCCTGGCTAGGCCATTTTCTGTCTTTTGATGGAATTTTCTTATTATGACAAATTATTGTCGAAAGCCCCTCGTTTCATTTTAGAGCCAAACCATTGCAGTCCATAGACACTCATGGTATGGCCTCGCAAAAAGACGCCTGCCTCTATTTCTTCCACTAGGATCACCCTTGTTGAACTTGGGATAAGAGACGTTTACATGTTCCCATTGATGATGGCATTGTAAAACACCCCACAATAAAGTATCTCATTTCACCAACTGAGAAGAAATTATCACTTTATTCATAGAAAATTGCTATTAATTGACAATCATTATAAATTCCATTTCCTTATTAAATAAATGCCAACTGTCCCAATCCTGTAGATCTATTACAAAACACAATTTTACTTGCCTCTTTTGTCTAACCGTAGAAAGTCTTTTTTTGGGCAGTGGCTAGAAAAGAAACCTCATCATCTTTCGAACCTTTGTGTTTTGAGATTAGGAATGATACTGTATAATTCCGTAGTAGCTGTTGTGATTGTTGTGAATCACAACAGCATTCATTGTCAAGTTTTTCTTCAAAACATTTATTCCATTTCTGCCACATATATCATACATGTATTTCAACTATTTAACTTACTGATTGACTTTATTTTTTTGTATTATAGTTGTTGCCAGAATCGCAGCAAATGGAGAGAACGAGCTACTTGATATGAAACACAAGGTTCAGATGCTAAATGATGAAACAGCACAATCATTAAAGAAAAATGTATATAAAAACTATTCTCAGTTTATTGAAACAGCGAAAGAAATATCGAGTAAGTGCATATTACAATATATTTCTGTTTAAAGGCTCAATACCATTCTTGTTGTAACTGAATAATATGTCCCAATCTTTATTCTGGTCAACAAATTGTACTATTTTACAATATTCCAATTAATTGATGATACAAATTTCATCTTAACACACCTAATTTAAAAAATTGGACAAATTCAACTAAATGATTTGAAAAGCCTAACGTAAACCTTTTCAAATGTGACTTGGATTTAAAAATATTTTTGAACCCTCTGGACAAGTAAAATAGGATGTAATGGATAATTTACACAACAGGTAGGACACTTAAACATCTAATACTTAGAATAAGGCTATTATTTATTTTCTGGAGCTGTCAAGCCAGCAAGAGTGTTATTGTCCCTTTAAGCAAAGATTCGTGGAAAAGCTAAATTATCATGTTCTAATTTCTAGTTTGGTTATATTTTGTATTTTCCTTCAGAATTAAATTTCTACAGGAATGGAGTTTATCATTGGTCTGTTTTCTTATGTTGTTATCTGTAATATTAATTCTAAAAGATTGTTTATTAAGAAAATGAATGTTATATTGAATTGTATGTAGATGTTCATGAATATATAAATTCATATTGAGCTAGAATTACGCATGAAGTTTGTTTGTTTTGTTTGTAGTTTTGGAAGGAGAAATGTATCAGCTAAGTCATATGTTATCAGATCAGAAAGCTTTAATGTCCACCATGATGGAGATGTCATTGGTCAGTGATAAAGGTATTTGAAATAAATAATACTATTAATGACAGACCTTCCAATGTTATTAAAATATAATGCTGGGATATGATCAATCATGATTTTGAAGAAAATTGGTTAGTGTAACATATAACCATAAATTTTTTATAGCACTGCATAGATAATTGCTTTATTTCATTGAAAGTCATTCAATCACATGTTTCAATGTAAGATAATGGTGCCATTTCTTGTAAAATACTCTAATTAATATATATATTATGTATATAATTTAAGCCGTAGTTGAAGGACCTAAGGAAGAAATCGAAGAAAATGAAACAAATCCCGAAGAAGAAACCCGAAAAAACTTAGCTTTCTTACTTGATAAAGTAGAAGGTTGTTCTGTAAGTAGTGGGGTTGTTTCGTCATTTTAACTTTAATTATTGGTTGAGAGTTTTAAAACAAATCATCAGATGAAAAAACAAATTTAGAAGTACATGTATATGGTGAATGTTGTAAATCTATGGGGATCTAATGTGTAGTAGACCCTATGTCAACTATTTAAACATACATTATGCAAGAGCTAAATCTGTCTATTGCAGGTCTTTCTTTTGGCCTGAAATGTTATCTAAACTATTTATTAGACATTAATTAACCTATCCAGACCATAATCAACTCTAGATGGTATTGCTAGCCTGCGATCTTTAGTGGATTGTGAGCCGATTTACTGCATAACTTTCCTTCTCGATTTAACGATTAAATGGATAATCGAGACTATGCTGTTTATCGTACTGACTTAAGTAATGATGATCAAGGCTAGGCGGAAATTCGATTGTTTGTTCTCAGTTCATAGTGACTCAATTTGAATGAAATTTTCAGCAAATTGCCTTTACATTATCTAGTTTTTAACTATTATAGTGAGAACTGCCAACTCGTTATTGAATCTCCCATAATGTATCTTTAATTATAGCGGGGTTTTTTTTAATCTGACACCTGAACAGATCAAAGGATAGAGTTATCTGTCTAACCTCAGAGGTTTTCTCTGGATTCAGTGGTTTTGCTGCGGGCAAGTGAATTATTGAAATAAAGATATACCGGTACTTGTGACTTAGTTAGTGTCAAGTTAAACTCATTTCCCTATTCCCCTATTCTCTCTCTCTTTGTTTAAATCAGTGTGTTAGAAGGATTGATTTTTAACTTTTTAATTATAGAGTGTTGCTGAAGTACCTGGTAGACAACTAGTACATAATGGTGATTTAGTAGAACTTGATGCTGAAACACTAACACAGGTTCAAAGAGTTCATGCATTCCTTTTAAATGATAGCCTAATGATTGCCACCTGGGTTCCTAACAGGTAAATAGGTTTACTGAGGTTAAAGTTTAACCTGTTTTAACATTTAAATAACTGTATTATTAAAAATATATAGCATCATAAAAGTGGTTTTACTTCTTTTAAGTTAGAATTGATAACCTTTTATTCAGATAAAAACCTCAACTCATTTATAAGCGAAAAAAACTCTTCCTTCTGTATGTTTTTATAATAACCATTTCACTATTATCTTTAATATATTACGCATATTATATTGTAGAAGAGGACCAGTAAGGTATAGATTTCAAGGTTTATATGAATTAGATAGTTTAGCTGTTGTTAACGTGAGAGATGTTGGACCAGTTAAAAATGCGTTTAAGATACTTATGTTTCCTGAAACTAGAATGTATCAGACAGACAATACTAAATCAAAGGTAATAGATTTGTCTCAAACAAATATTGATATGTGGTTAATAATAGTACAGAGGTACAATTATTCTTCAATGTAAAGGCCCAGTTTTACACATGTGATTGCCTTTTCAGGTCACTAGAGACTATGATACTTTCAGATCAATATTTAGCTTGGAAAACTATTTGTAGAAGAGTATCTGTGTAAACTCTTACTGATAAGAATTGTAATGCTTATAAAGTTACGTGACTGTGAGTCAGGGAATACTATATAGTACTTTTCACATTTAACAATGTGATTGAAGATGGTAGAATTCCTGCAAATAAATTTTCAACATTTGCACCAATAAAGAAATCTCAAGATCAAAATTATTTTGTTACACCCTGCAATGATAAATTTGTTTAGGTTCTGTCAATAGAAGAATATATGTGTATTTATGTGTATTGTAGAGGCAGTGGCTAGATATTTTAGATGATACTAAAAAAAAGAAAGCATCCAAAGATAAACAGAAGAAAGAAGCTGCGGCAGCAGAAATTGCTCTAGCTGCTAGTACAAAGAAAGAAACAGAATCTTCTAATCGTAAGTTCAGTTTTTTAATTAAGTTCTTTATAAATTATGTTAGAATCTGTTTAATTAAATTTTAAACATAGAAGACAGCTAGAATGCTATTTTAATGTTAAGTACCCGTACTGAGAATTCAAAGTTACTTTGATAACATATTACCAAATATTTTAAGATAATACATAGAGTATGAATAAAATTTTAAGATAAGAAGAGTTAATCTTTAGTATTCCACTTTCTGAATGTTTCGTTTTAAGCTGCCTATATCTGTCTCTTATATTTTCATTTTTCTGTCTTTTGTAATTTATTTTAACTTACAGAATTTGCCATCATTGAATCATCAGTTGTGTATGATGAATCTGTTACTAATGTAACAAGAGGTCTGTTTAAATAACACTGTCAAATTAATAAACTAGTTTACCAAGCTCCCTACCTGATGCGCCTGGATTTTTCTTCTTTTTTTTTGTTCATTGCTGATTTTATTAAGCCCTTCTTCATTTTATATCATTTACTTGAAATATATAATGCATACTGAATATAAATGATTGATATTATTGTATCACGAATATTAGTTAATGTGATTTATTTTATATAATTATTTATTGATTAGAATTATTTAATACATTAATTAGTTACACGCTTACATGATATTCTATATTTGCATAAAGTCAGATGTTTATTTTATTAAAACATTAATGATAATAATGTTTATGATTTCTTTAAATTAAAATGAATTATTTCCTCCTGCTGTGTGATATTTTATGATGTTTTTGAAATGGTAATGGAATAGAAGGAATGAATATGTTTATATTATAATTTACTACAAACAATCTATGTAATTATCCTGGTTATCCCACACCACAGTTCCTGCTTATCATAACATTATTTAAATCCATATTTATAAACAATATTACTTTTTATAAAAGATTTTTCAGACAGTTATTCTTTAAAGCATTCTGTACAAAATCTATATTATTTACAAAACAAGATACACCCACTGAAGCTGACTATTCTATCTATTAGGCCATACTAAAAAAATTGTTTGTGGTTCTCTGATAATCTTTTTAAAAAATCTGATGGAGATATTTTTGTTATTCACTATCTGTGTACTGGGGAATATACCAAAAACTGACAATGATTTTAATTTTAATTTGTGGTGACCACAATCTGCTCTGTGCTTATCTTCTTTTGTAATATAATTTCTTTCTATACTTGTATACTATTGATGGGAAACAATGTTTACATATAGTGAGGAGCAAAAGTCATAATATAGGTAAAACTTTTCTGTGGAGTGTATATATATATATATAACTAAATATTTATGAAGATATTTAATGATAAAAAGCCAGCTGGTACACATCATGGCAGCATGTAGTACATTTAATTTTTTTGATGATAATCTTGTCTGATAATTCTTGCAGCTTTTGAAGATGATGAAGATGGTGAATTTACTGATTCAGATTTTCTGAATGCTGATTGGTTACAAGAACTACCAGAAGATTTAGATATGTGTATAGCACAGAGAGATTTTGAAGGTGCTGTTGATTTAGTAGGGAAAGGTTTGTGTTGTTTTAATAAATTTTTAACTTTGGTACATTCGATTACTTTTTGTTTCTAAAAAGGATCCAGATTGATAGACATTGTCCACATCCATCATAAAATATCAATATAATAATACCAAAGCTTTGTTACAAAATTTGGTGATATATTTTACATGCTAACCTGTGCTGGCTCGCTAAACTGGAGGTCCCAGATGTTATCCCAGTTTTGGTCGAGGAAGTTCCTCAGGATTTTCCAGCATGGTTTCCTCTTATCAATGGTGCAGGACAAAGGGCCTGATAAGGAACTGTGTCATTCGGATGGTATAAAAACTGAAGTCCTTGAACCCTTGAGGTGAAAGAACCCTTGTATAAGAGTAAGCTGTAGCGCTGCTGTCCAGGCAAAATTTCTCCCATAGCACACTGTATTGTGCATGCCTGTATTCATTAGTCTGGGTGAAGCAGAAAATTTGAATGTTAAACCTCATTTTATTTCAATTATATGTTAAGCCAATTTTGTATTCATTTTTTATTTTTCTTCTAGTGAATGCATTTCTAAAAGACCGACCTAAAACTCCAGGAGTTATAGAATTCAGGTAATAATAGATATATATTTTTAAAGTGAGCAACACTTGTATATATTATTTTGCTTTTTTTACACAGCAGCTCAGTCTATCTTTATATTTAACTCACAGTTAAGAGCAGTCATTAATTTGGGTAAAATAGACTATAAGTTTATGTCATTTATGTCTATAGAACGTAAAGTTTCATCAATTTCAGGCTAAAAATTGACCATTTATTGCCATGCTATTCAGTCTTTTGTTTAATGATTGATTATTTTAAACAGAGCTAGAATAGATCATCGTATTAAGTTATTAACAGAAGGATTAATGGGAGAGTTACAAGTTTCACCTGAAAGATCTTTACGTGGTGGACCAAGGGCTGCTAGACGAGCCGTTACACAATTAATTAGACTTGGTAAATCATCACAGGTATACAATCTACTCAAAATAATTTCAACCTTCAAAAACTCATACAAATAAAATTTATAAAAATTACAAACCATTTACTAAAAGCATCCTATTCTAAGTTGATATTGTCAGAATATTATATTTATCATTACTTTTACATTTTCAAATTCTTCTACAAACTACTTGATTGATTTCAAAAAATTAGGTAGGTGGTACTTAATGAGATTTATTCAAAAAAAATTGATAGGAGGCTCCTTAAAGGGGAAATTTTCTTCTGTAGATTTGACAAAATTTTGACACTTGGTTAGACATTTTCAATTGTTCTTGTATGAAACCACTCAATGGATTTATTTGGTCTGTATGAGTGTTCAGTATCATTATTGTTAGAATGTAGTTGATTAGTCTCGTTGGGCCTGGGTAGTTGCAACATTAAATGGTTAAAGTCACATGCTTATTCAGAATTGTTCAAATATAGTAGCAGTACAACAGCAAATTTGACTTGTGTGATGTACTATCAGAATGCTTGGGGTTATTTTCAGGCATGTGAACTGTTTTTAAAAAATCGAACAGCCTTAATCAAATATAATATCCGACAATTAAAATTTGAAGGAGCCACAACATTATATGTAAGATGCCTGTGTGGAGTTTTCTTTACAAGTTTAGCAGATACAGCAAAAGAATTTCTAAAAGCTTTCCCTGATCATAATGGCTGTTTCTCAGGTAAATAACTATGTATTCTACTGTAATACAGATATTACAACAAACTTGCGAAATATTTTACAGCATTTCTACTAATTAAATAATACAGATATAAACATATATATATAGAAAGAAATGATGTTTAACATCCCCTCGACACAAACTAGGTCATTTTAAGACTAACATATCGTCAATTTTACTGCAATAATTCTCCTGTGCGTAGGGATCTTTAGCTGTTGGACAGGCGATCTACTTCTTGTCAAGTACAAGCAGGGAATCTAAACAACACCAAATGACTCAATGACAGACCTTACAACCTATTGTGCATGTTAAACCATTCCCCCCCCCCCCCACACACACACACACTACATATATATAGTTCTTGTTGTCATTGTTACAATGCTGCAGTTGTGTCATTCCATGTTTGATGCATTACAATATATCATTATTCCCACTTCAAATGATGACTTTATCTGATGGTAAACATCATTCATCATTGTTAAACTCCATTTTATTTCATTTGTATCAAAAATTACATCTTTATCATTACAATTTGAATGTTGCTGTTGCCTCATATAAAGATTTTCATGCTTTGTATATGTGTTTTATAATATAAATTATGTTAAGTTCCAAGTTTAAATATTAATTACAATATGTTAATATTTTGTAGCATTTGTTGTATGGTCTAAACATGAATTAAAGGCGTTTATTGGTACTTTCTGTCGTCAAGTATTTGAGAGTAAATCCAGTTTAACAACTATAGCAGATTGTGTTATATTAGCTAAAATACACTGTGAAGAGGTAAACATTTCTTTTCCAACTATTAAAGATAATTCAATTTATTAACCATTTAAATACTGAATTTTTTTTAGTCATACAGCTAGAGAAGATAACTTTTTTTTGTCTTTGGTCATATATCTTTTGAGTTTGAAGAAGTAAATTTTAATGCTTAATAATCAAAGGGTTTAAATTTAATCTCAAATTTCTAAAAAATATATTGTATTTATTGTTTTGATTTTTTGTTACAGTTAAAGAGCATAGGGTTAGATTTAAGTTTTTCTCTTATGTGTATGTTAGAACCACCATTACATCAAGTTGTAGAAGAAACTAGAGATCAGTTAATAGAGGGTGCTAAATACAGAGCTTCTGTAAGTTAACAATTTTCATTATTATTTCGGTCAAACAAAACACCCAAAATATTCTGGTTCTCAGACAATTCTTCAAAAAACATCTGATGTGGGAGTCAGGACTGACAGGAGGGGGATTTACATTTGTCAAAGACTTGTGTAGCTAAATGAATTATCACAAACATCAAATTCGTGGTTTTTCATTTATCTCACCATCTGTTTATTCATGCAATTTACAAGAATTCACTAATTTCAATTATCTTGTTACATATCTCAACCAATTACCATCTCATATATATCAGGACTGTGTTACTGTGTACTTCTTAAGTGAGCCTATTGGACACTTCTAAATTTAGCCAAGAGAGTTATTTCCTAATATTGTGGATGTGCACCCCTTTTTATACGCCCACATTTTCATGTGAACGTATATTGTCGTCGCCCCTGGGGCCCTGTCCATCCACAGTTTGTTTGTGGACACCCTACAGGTCACAATTTTTATCCAATCTTGATGAAACTTGAAGTGTATGTTTATATCCAAAGATCTCGGTTCCTTTCGAAGTTCACACATATTGGACTAACTTCCTGGATTAAGGCCCTTGATTGTATGGAAAATCGCGTTTGTAGCTTGAGGTCCATCTAGAGGTCACAATTTTTATCTGTATTACCGTCACATCATAATGAGGGTTGATTTTGAATTTCGTGAAAATCGGACCGAAACTGACGGACAAAATGGCTGCTCCCTGTACGCAAACAGTGTTAAAGTATGTAATATTAAGTTGTGGGCCCTAGTCTAGAGGTCACAATTTTGATCCAATTTTGATGAAACTTAAAATATATGGTTATATCCCAAAGATCTTGGTTCCTTCCGATATTCCAATATTCGAGCATATCAGACCGTAACTTCCTGGATTATGATTGTATTAAGTTGTGGGCCCTCTAGAGGTCACAATTTTGGTCCGATTTTAATGAAACTTAAAATATATGGTTATATCCCAAAGATCTTGGTTCCTTCCGATATTCCAATATTCGAGCATATCAGACCGTAACTTCCTGGATTATGATTGTATGAAAAATCGGGGGGGGGGGGGGCAGCTTCTTCTCTGTCCATCTCTTGCAAAATTTGGGCGTATCTTGCATGGCAACAACTGGTTAAGTGACGCAGTAGTACTTCCCAACCGAAATCAGAGTGGTTTTTTTTTTTAATATGGCCTTACTATTATAAATATTTAACAGTTAGTCCCAATAGGAAGGGTAAAGTGGACGACTCTGTACTAAGCTATCCAACACAACAGTTTCCTTGCCTTTTAATATTATATATATTTAAAACAGGATGATCTATGGAGACCAATGAATCATTTAAATAAAAAAGACTGTGATAAATTTGTAAGTGAAATGGCAACAAGTGGTTTAGATGCTGTTAAAGATTATGTTTATGGTGAGAATTTATATGGCAGTGCTTTATTCAGTATACATCTGATAGGCTAATAAATTGAATAAAATTAATGAAACACCTTCAAAATCTTTTGTGTTTTTGGCATTTATTTCCTCTTTTGTCTGAAGCACTCCTTAATCTAATGGTCATTGTTTATATTTTTATTTTTAGATGAATGTTTTGTTAATTTGACCATGAATACTACTCAGTTTAGTAAAAGTTTACTGATATTTGCGGACGATTTGGTGAAACTTTTTACTGTAGAATGGGAAGAGTTTATAGCTAATTGTTTAGCAGCTGTGTTTAAAGCTCAGATATCTCATATAGAATCTTCTCTTCAATCTTCTAAATTTCAACAAGATGTAAGTTTATTGTATTTAAATAAAGAATGTGTTCAAGACTAAACTGGGAGCCACGGTGTCTGAGTAAGGCATATACTCTCTAACCCAAGGTGTCTTGTGCTTGATCCTGATGTTGGCAGAGAAAATCCCTCTGGAAATTTCAGTCTGGTTTCTCCCACATCAGTAGTGCAGGACTGCAAGCCTTGCAAAGAACAGTGTCTAGGGTGTACAGGCAAGTTGAAATCTCTTGTAGCACACTGCATGCCATATTATGTATGTCCATCTTCATTATCCCAGTTGGTGCAGAAAAGTAGGACGTAAATCCAATTCATTTTATTTTCAGATTTAATACATGTATTACATATGGGAGTCAAAGTTTAAGGCAATGTAGGTTGTCCAGTACTTATTGGGTTAATTTTAAATTATATTTTGAAATAATTTCTTGATTTTTCAGAAAAAGTTTATACTAAAGAATGCCCAGTTTATTTTAGAACAAGTTGTAAGCTGTGTAGAAAAATTATATAAAGAATTTGACAGGAAATTTCCTCAACAATTACAAAATATAAATGCTGACTATAGAAGACTAAAGAAATTGGAATAATTTTATGTTATTTCATTACTGAGTGCAATGTTATGTATAATAATAAACATATATTATTTTATATATAATATATAATTAAATTGAGGCTAAGGTAGTTGGGCAGTTAGGGCACTACACTCCTGAATAGAATGTCCTGTGGTCAAATCAAATCCCAGTGTGGATCGAGGAACACCTTCAGGATTTTTTAAGCCCAGCCTTGACAGACATGGTCATGGTGGTTGAAAGACCAAACAACGATGTGTGCCTAGTTATTTGGATGAAACCAAAAACGAGCCGTGTACATTTTGGCTGAATGTAACAGAACTTTTATCTATTGGACATGAAAGAAGAGTTGGCCGAAATGCCACTTTACGATCAAACTTCTCGTGTTTCACATTGTACATGTAAATATGGAAATAAAAATTATCGTATGTTTGTCTAAAATTGACCAAATTATTGTATTGACAAGACATTAAATCACTTTCTATTCCATTATAATTAAGATGATATATAGGTGCTTATTGTAGTAATATCCATACAGTAAAGTTCTACAGAAAAATTCACAGCCTTACTTTGCATTCCAGCAATAAATGCTAGCAAGATATTTATGTGAGGATATCAGTATGCTTAATTTCATTGTTATACACCCACATTGAAATGTGGTTGTATATTGTCGTCGTCCCTGTCCGTCATCCACAATTGCTTGTAGACTCTCTAGAGGCTAAAGTTCATATCCGATTATACACAGTGTTTAAGGTCATGAGACGATGAACCCTATTGATTTTCAGTGATTTCCATTAATTACTGCCAGAGTTATGGCCCTTGATCACTTTGAAAAATCTTGTGAATGCTCTAGAAGCTAAAGTTAATATCCGATTGACTTTAAATTTATACACAGTGTTTAAGGTCGTGAGACGTCTATTGATTTTCAATGATTTCAGATAATTACCGGTACTACCAGAGTTATGGCCTTTGATTTATACACAGCATTTAAGGTCATGAGACGAAGAAGCCTATTGATTAATTACTACCAGAGTTATGGCCCTTGATCACTTTTGAAATATCTTGTGAATGCTCTAGAGACTAAAGTTATCATCTTGATAAACAGAGTTTAAGGTCTTGAGGACAAGGATATTGGTTTTCAATGAATTTTGAAAACTTGAACAGCTAAATCCATGATATTAAATGTTTCGTATACCAAACCTTAGCATGGGGCAGAACTAAAAGCCAAACAATTACTAATGATTTTCGAATGATTACTTAATGAATTGTTACTCTTAATCAGATTTTATTGTGGGCGTATGTTTCGTCGCCTGGCAACCTATCTTTTAAGATGAGGATACTTGATAAGCATAATAAAATAATATGATGACTAAACCAGACATATTTTTGTTGGTGATAACAAAATGAGTAGGAGAGATGAAAATATGTGTTGACTTCATCTATATAACAAGTGTTTATTATATGAAAATATTTAACACTGAATATACATGTATACTATTTATTGAATAAAATAACATCTATATACACTATTAAATGGGTGTGTAGATTTTTGTGTACGTGACTTAAATATATCTAACACTAACAGGGTTCCTAATCCTCCTAGAGGAATGTTCCCAGATACCTACTCCCTTTTTTTTGTACATGTATAAAAGATCTACATAGCAGTACCCTATTATCATACAATTACCTTGCCACCCTGAAGTGAACTTACAAATTCTCCTACTTTTCCAGTCTTAATTGAATTAGATTTTATTTCCTTCCAACTACAGGTACATAAAATCTAGTCTCTGTTACCCAGATTAAATGTCTATGCTATTTGGATGAATACAGGATCTTATATACAGAATAATCCAGCCTTGTGATTGCTCCTTTTCACTGATATGTAAGTACCAGAGACTGTAATCAGTAATGGCAGTTAAATATCAAAGTCAGCTAATTTGGACACAAAAAAATAAATGGTTAAACCATTAATATGCATCAATCATTTAGATGTTCTTGGCTCTTCCTGTGGCAGATTCTAAACCCCTGTTGCTGTGACTGTCCCACCATGCCACTGATTGAAATTCTTTTTATACAGTTGATGTTATACAGTAGTGAAGTTATATTTATAGCCGTAGGTCGAGATGTTAAACCTGTTAACGAATGAAGCATGCTATAAATGACTTGTAACATTGACACCTGCTCAACATGCTTGTTGTTATTGCACAGACCCCCACTTCTCTATATGATTTCTACTAAAACTAGTGCTAAAGAGTGCAATAACATTGAACGGTTAAGCTCCACCCAATCTACTCCACCCAATCTACTCGAGGGAAAACAATCTGCTTATTCAACGAAAAGAACAAAGGAAGATTTCCCGTCCATGTTACAAGTTTAAAAAAACTGCTACCATAACTGGTGGGTATAACATTTAAAAACAGTCTGGACACAACCAAATTTTAGTTCTAAAATTGGATGAACTTTATCTTGTACAGTACAACAATTTCCCGAAGTCAGAAAACTCTGTTTAAAATAGTTATTTATTATCTAATGATGATATCTATAAATCAATATAAATGACTTAGAAAGTATAATGAGACCAAACCCCCTTGTGATCTGAGTGTTATAGAAATAATGGTAAATAAGAATCACTAAATCTCATACTTCATATTTCTTTAAACATGCATTATGCAAGAGCTAAATCTGCCTATTGCAGATCTTTCTTTAGGCCTTGAATGTTATATAAATTATTAATTAAACATTTATTATAACATGACAAGACCATAATCAACTCTCGATGCTCAAGATTTTCAAAGAATTTAAACACGATTGGCAGTTAATGATTTAATTTAGAAAAAGGATAATCCAGACTTTGTTTACTATTGTAACAACAGCAATGACAATCGAAACTCTGCTATTCTCCAAATTTCCAGATTATCTTCATTCAGATAACTAATATTTTCTAAAGCTTCACTACCCCTCAAGCAGCAACTACATAAAATATTCATAAACTGCATAAAATAACAGTGGGCTTGTCAAACCCACTATATGCCCACCAGCAACAAAGTTAGCCATGCTTAATCTAAGCCCAATCCCAAACAGCAAGTTTTAAAACAATTCTGTCAAATTTGTTATTCTAAAAATTTTTTAAATTTAACAGGGTTCTTCCTTATTCCCCTATGAACAATATGCCCCTATGAACAATCTCACCAAGATTTGAAAACTGCCTCTGTTAATTTATCTTTTGCAATTTTGCAAAACATGTTTGAAAACAGACCAACGGATGCAGATGGCAATAATATAATCCTACCTTACATATAGATGTATAAAATGACCATTTGACACGCACAGGAACACAATATAATAAATACCAGCTACCAATACCATAAACAATGTAAAAAAAACTAAAATATATGTATATTAATTAATGGCACAAAGATTAAAGTTTAAAAAATACAATAAATCAGATCAAATAACAACATAACATAGTCACAACCTATAGTAAGTTACCGCCCTAGATCATCATTTGAGATTTTAAATTTTTGCAAACTACAATATTGTGGAAGTTGAATCTTTAAAAGTTATATGGGTCCAAAAATGGTTCAATTCCGTTCAGTATTTTAAAAGTTAGAGATTTAAAAATTCAGCGTTCTCTGCATACAATATAGCAAGATAGCCACAAACTGTTGGGTAAAATCTTTCAATGGGTCTTTTTTTTTAAACGGATTGAATCCAAGCCGGGAGAATAATCTACCACTGATATTTTGGTTTTTATTTTCTTAATCAAATGAGTAGCCAGAGAAAAATTAGATATTGTTTGAAATATGCACGATCGGGGGTCAGTAACTTTAACTAATTTCTGTACCTGCCAGGTTTCATAATAATCAACAAATAAAATTTCAGAGAATTCTGAGAGCCTGTGAAATTTCTAACACACAGACAATTAATTCTTAGTTGTACTGCCTGCTATAAACATGTGTAGTAATATAAAAAAATACGGCCAACATATTAAAACATCTCTTTACCGTCAAAATAATTTCAAATCCATTTTTGAATAATTATTTTTAATCTCATATTTCTAGTGTAGAAAATAATAATCTAATCTCATTGTTGTTAAAAGTAACAAAATCCATAATAGTAGATATGCTTTCAGTATCCTGGGTTTTTTTTAAAAAAAATTAACAAATGAAACAATAAATCATTGAGTAAATCCATATCTAAAGATGTTAGATATTCAAGGAACAGGGTCATAATTAAATAACTATATTACAGTATTCTACAACTAATCAAAATAAAAACAAGATAAAATGATATGATGTTCACAAAAAATAAACAATTTATCTTAAAACAAGCAATAAAATATTTTATCATAAGTTTTGATTACTGGTATTCTTTTGATATAATAAATATTTCTTTTTATTTAATTATATTTTTAAATGGATGATTCCAAACAAGAAAATACAATGCTTTAATATAGAATTTTATGTTCAGATTACATGAATTAAGTTTTCAATTAATATTATGACATTTCACACAGAAGAGAACAGTGAATTATAACAAAATAACAGATCTGTTAGATAAGACAACATGATAAAATATAATATATAGTCATATCTACTTGACAATTTTAAAAAGCATTCAAATAAAATCTCTAACTTTAACCAGTAAAATCAGATGTACACATACGTATCATCTATTTTCAATAATCTCAGATCAATTTAAATGAGTAAAATTAATATTCAGAAAAAAAATGTGTCTAGTTTAGCGTATAAATAAAAGGAGAATCTATTTTATATCTTTTTTTTCTGGTTTTGATGACTTTCTTTAATTATATATGATATAATACAGAAGTCAGCCAGAATATCCCCTCCCTTTATTTATACTCTCAAATGTTAACAAAATTAAATCCTAATAAACATATAATCTTAAGGCTCCATATTAACAGATCTAAAACCTCTAAATAACAAAAAATATATTGTTTAGTCTTACTCCCGACAGTTTGGGTCAGACCTGTAGCACTCTTATGATATTAATACTGTTGTGGATATCTATAATTGCATAGAAGGATAACGCCATTCTCTTAATGGAGCTTTATTTTCTTTCACTGACTGTACAGACACAAACTTCATTAAATAATGTGGGCCACCAGATTTTTCATTTGTCCCTGAAATATATTATATAATAAAATGCTGTACGTGTATATATTTATAGACTCGCTACATCAACCATTTTAGAATAAAACTCCAATATTGCAACAATATAACCTCTCACAGAAAGTGATAAGTATATTTAGAATATACCTCAATTAACAAGTACGTTTAGAATATACATCTTTTCACAAGTATTTTTAGAATACACATTTCACTAGAATTCAAACAAGTGTGTAACTAACTCTTACATCCCACTTCTACTCGTTGCCACAGGCAACCTTTGATAAAACTGTCCTGTTTATTTGCAATACATGCATAAAAGTATCCGTGTATCATAAATGTACAGAAAGAGTACTATTCATTTCTGATACACGGATACTTTTATACCGTCTTAGATACCTATCAAGCAATAAGTAGCGGACATTTAGTCCGACCCAGATCGCAATTGATAATGATGGCTCTATAAAATGTACATGAAACAACTAGTCAAAATCATAGTAACAAAACAAAATGGGGGGAACTACATGGCAGCTCAAAAACATATACAATGACATTAAATTAACATAACAACATATTACAAAAATCAATTATTATACATATCAATTGGCATTCATAATTTGGTTTGATTTATATTAATATGCAAAATATATAAATTAGAATATTGAATAATTATTTTAATTGTGATGATAGAAGGCGCAGTTCTCTTGCTGGACACTTCACAGGCATTGAAAATAAGCAGGATGAAAAAAACGCCTAGAAAGTCATAAACTTTATTACAAATAAATTTCAACGGAAGAACCATCCGCCGATGCATACTTTCACCAGGAATGACCCACGTTTCGCATTTTCTTTACACTACATTTAATGATATCGCAGTCCTCTACGCCATAGACAAGTTGTTTTGACGATGTGGTCTAAACAAACAGGTGATTGTTTTACGCTCAGAGTATCATAGCAAGACGCATGTGTAAAAACTACTCAGGTCGTCTCTCCACTGCGAAATCATTCTACCATGAAATGTAACGTGAGGCTCAGAAAGGGATAAATAATGAAAGAGCAGAAAGTATTTGTCACTTTCGGTTGAAACGACTCGATAATAAATGTGATGTAAGTAACTTATTAGCACCTTTCCTCGGTAAGTAACTTATTAGCACCTTTCCTCGGTATATCGGTGAATATCAGGACAGTTTTGGTCAGGAGCCGCCTCGGCCAAAACTGTCCTGATATTCACCGATACACCTCGGAAAGTGTGCTAATAACTACTACATATTATCGTCGGATTCTAGCTGGTGAAAAGATACTATTTTTCTCAATAAAAAATGGTACAATCTATACTATGGTATTTTAAGTGAGATCTTATAGTTTAAACATATTATTATAGCAGACTTACCCGATAGTCTGGTTCCACCAAATGGTTGTTGTCCTACAACTGAACCTGTTGATTTATCGTTAATATAGAAATTACCAGCATTATCACGGAATAATTCAACTAATTCTTTCTGTGCACCTCTGAAATATAATATTAATATAATTTGACTTGGGATGTTTCAAAAGGAACAGAGTAAATTAATATATTACATTCAACATTTACGCTAAGCAAAGCTATACAATTTTAAATTGAAGGCAATCGAAAGGTGTCAATTGAATAAATGCCAAAGGAATATGATACACTATATCACAACCAACCATTATAGTTAAATTGTTTGATACTGCTCACATTACATAATTTTTCGGGCCAAAAAAGACTCAACTCCAACTTGCAAATCTGTTAATTCGTAACATTCCAGGCTGACTTTTGATGCCTCCTCCTCCAGTTCATAAAAATCTGAGGAGACAACTATTCTGGGAGTGCGAGTATGAATGTGTACAGACTGTGTACTTACTCATCCTTTGCAAAGATAGCTGCCGTTAAAGCAAAAGGCGAGGTCTGATTGGCTAGTTCTGCAGTTTCAATGCATTTATTATCAGGATAAACATAAACAGTAAGTACTGGTCCAAATATCTCCTGAAAACAAACAAATAATATGGTTATGTTACATCAATATAAGTACGTGCAGGAGGACCGCACTACACCCAAACAAACAGGTAAGAAAAACAGACATTGCAAGCAATAAACAACAAATATGAATTCAAGTGAATGAATGTCAGTTGAAAGAACAATCAATCATATTTGTTTATTACTGTATACAAGGATAGAAGTAATATTTATAATATGATTGTCATAAAGATATGGTATCTTATACTTTAATAGATAGTTATATCAATACCTCTTGCATTAACCTATCTTTTGGATCTTTTGTTTCAATTATTGTTGGTTCTATAAAATAACCTTTGCTGAAAAAAAAAATAACCAACTACTTCATATTTCTTGATATTATGATAAAATATACAATATTATTGCAATGCAGTGAGTTTTTGATTTATACACCCCTACACATGTTGATATATTAGTCAGTAGATGATATTATAATATGTATATGTATATAATAATCCATAATGAAAGCTGGTATGAAACTAAATAGCTTTATTTTATTCTTAAACATAACTTTTTCTCTTTAAATTACTAACTAAATTCAATTCAATAGTTAGCTATTAATTTATTCATGACCATGTACATGCAGTAAAATTATTCCCAGACATGTTATAAATTACCAAGTTTGAATTAATCATTTGTGTGCAACTATTTTACTCATGATAAGTTATTCACTGGTCAATCTTACCAACAATTTACATAGATAATAATAAATATACATACCTGTTATTACAGTTACCACCGGCTATTATTTTATTATTTGGGTTATTTTTAGCATGATTTACATATTCTTCTACTCTATTAAAGGACTGAAATTTTTAAAACCAAACAATTACAATTCATTGATCTTGTCATCATTATGATTTATTTGTAAACAGATAGTCTTGCATTATCATTTTCATTTTCATTATGTAAGCCGTATAAAAGAAATACTTTGGATCTGAGATACCACTGCATCATAGATTATCAAGCATTCATATTTACTTCGGCACACATTATTCTTTGACAATAAAAACACAAAATTAAAATAAAAACCACCCAATCACAATGATAGAATAAGTGAAAATCAATGAGGTTACTGAGAGATGTGGGGAAAATCAATTATTTTCTTTTATATTCTTACCTTATCATCTATCACAGCTGTCACAAAGGAATCTTTTTCTAAAGGTGAACCCATTTTAATTTCTTTATGTATATTTATAAAACCATCACGAATGTCTGGCCATAATGATTCAGGAACGTACATTCTTGAAGTTGCAGAGCATTTCTGTCCATTAAACTCGAAAGCTCCTCTAATAGTTCCATTAACAACAGACTCAACATCAGCCGATGGATGCACAAAATGGAGATTTTTTCCTCCACATTCTGAAAAAGATAAATGATTAGTGAAATAACCAGTACTAATCAATGTTAATCGATGTAGAGATCTTGAAATTTAATCCCTTTTTTATTGTTTTTTGGTAAAATGAGACTGGTTAATAACTTGCTTTAGATATAAGTTTGTTCAGTACTGATTCATAAAGTCATTCATGAATTATTAGCAATCTTGTTTCAAATAGTAAATCCTAGCAGTATGAAAGTCAAAAAACTGTAAGATCACTGGATGTATTTAGTTAACCCTAAGCTCAGATCTATTCTTTATTGATTGGTCGTTCAAAACACATTTCAAATATACTCTTCACAGTAAACAATGTATCTTTAAATATTAACCCATAATCAATGGATAAATGTATCAAAATAACTAAGACACCCACCTCCAATTATTCTAGGATAAGATTTATAAGTATCTATGTTATTGGCTATTTGTTTCCACAGATATTTAAAAGTTCTGAAAAAAAAAATCATTCAACACATAACAAATAACAATATGAAAGAGTTATTTCTCTGAGAGTTTAAACTTTATCATCCATTATATTCTGGATACTGTAGAATCCTGTAGATGAGCTAACTTAAAGGTGATATTTTACAATATTTAACAATGACGATAACTACTTCTGGACATCTCCATTCAAACATCACACCACATTAAACATTGTGTAGACGACGTCGCTGGCAGAATCAAAATTAGCAATTGTCATTTGAAAAGGGTACGAACAGGACTAAGTATATACTAAAAGCATGCGTAACCATTATCCAGCAAAAGACTACATTATGACTATGAGAGATTTGGTATTATTAATGAAATCAGCAAAGTATTTCGTAATTATATTAAGTGTGTCATTTGAATGGTGTGCACCTATAATATTTGTAAAAGTTGATGCAAGTGTAGCTATTATTATTATCTACCTTATATTAAAATAGAGAAACCACCACCTTCAACAAAGTACATTAGTAGATCCTACAGGGCATAATAAACCAAATAAAATAGCTTACTTGACACTTCCTGTAAAATTAACACCAGCTAAATCTGGTGAACTAACAATTGTATCACCAAAAACAGGCCCGTCTGCAGGAACAAAATTAATAACACCAGCAGGTAAACCAGCTTCTCGATAAATTTTAAAAACTTCATAATTAGACAACATAGCTGTATCAGATGGCTTCCATAAAGATACATTACCCTTAAAGAGAAAATTTAGTTTATTTTAAGTGAGACATTTGATGACAGTGGATATGCAGAACATTTTTTTTTTAGTACAACTAGATTGTAACACATGTCAACAGCATAGTTGCTGTGATCAAGAGGTTACTGGTAACAAATGTCAACAGGGTGGTTAAGCGGTTACTGGTAACACATGTCAACAGGGTGGTTGTGGTGGTCAAGCGGTTACTGGTAACACATGTCAACAGGGTGGTTGCGGTGGTCAAGACGTTACCAGTAACACATGTCAACAGGGTGGTTGCTGTGGTCAAAAGGTTACCGGTAACACATGTCAACAGGGTGGTTGCGGTGGTCAAGAGGTTACCAGTAACATGTCAACAGGGTGGTTGCTGTGGTCAAGAGGTTACCAGTAAAACTTGTCAACAGGGTGGTTGCTGTGGTCAAGAGGTTACAGTAAAACTTGTCAACGGGGTGGTTGCTGTAGTGAAGAGGTTACCGGTAACACATGTCAACAGGGTGGTTGCGGTAAGGTCACTAGATCATAAACTAGATTGTCCCAGGTTTAAATTCCAGCATACGCATAGTAGAATCTTGGGAATTTTTAAGCATGGTTCCCACTTATCTAGAATAGACTGACTAGCAACTGTGGGAATGACAAGAAAGTGTAGCCATGTCGTCCGGATGGGATGTAAAGCCAAGATCCAAGGTACAGTGCAAGCAAAAGAATCCTTGACAGTTGGAATATCATAAAGAGCTGGCAGAAATGTGACTATAAGGGTAAAATTCTCCTCCCCTAACATGTATAACCATATTAAATAATCACCATTAAGGCTGGAGCTGCTGGTAAATGACCACCAATAGCTGTAAAATTAAATGGTGTTATAGCTGCCCAAAATCCCTGAAAATAAAATAACACATTATAAACTACTTAAAATATAACTCAGATCAGGAAAATAGGCAAATCTTTGAATGTATGTGAAGATGGTATAAATTATATAAATGTACCAACCTCTAAACCTCTATATACAGATCTATTAGTTATATTACTGTCAGGACTAAGTGGTTGGTACTGTGTCATTTGCTGAAATATAAACAATTTAACAAACTTAGTTATAAAGGAGCTAAATCTCTATTCTTTAGCATCTAGAAATGGAAACAAATGGGTTGCAACGCATATAATAATGTAATATGAATGTATATAAACTGATTTACATTCAATCGTTTCTGTTTTTACTGTAATTTCTAATCAGTTATGTTCGGCATAATACGCAAAGAGTGCAAATTAAATGGCAGTCTTTGGTGTCTGGTTATTTCAGTCTACACTGGTAGTATTCTTCTACATGGGATATGTTTAGCCTCGTCCATCGAGTGCTCAAAAGCATTCTGGCATGCAATTTGTGTGCCAATTTTAAAATTTTCATTGGGTCTTGAACCTTGGATATCAGAAGCCTGTCTTTTTACAGTGAGGAAACAACATCAATTCAATGTTAATTTAAATTGACCAATAAGTCATGTTTGCAATGTCGAAGACTGTGGATGATATTGAGTTAAAGACTTGCCTCCTTTAATTTCAATATCGAAATATGTATATATTTTTCTACCACAATTCACATCTTTATAGCTCTTAGGCAATCAGTAAAATTATGAATTCACTTGATTGGTCAATTCTTCAGATTTAATTCCATAAACCCTGATTCAGAAAACTAATTCAAATCTGATTTAACTGTAATCAATTATGAATCCATATACCAGTGACTGACACTAAAACTGCATAAATATAGCTCAACTTGAACTAGGTGCTCAGATGGCTAAAAGATAAGAACCTATAGACAAATGTGATAACTAATTTACCGTGAGAAGTTTTTCCCTTGTGAATCATAATTCAATAGTTTTATAATTAAAATTAATGATAAAATATTTACCCTTGCAAATGCAACATTAAATCTCAGAAAATCAATCAACTCTGCAGCAGCATCTATTTCAGCTTGCCATACATTCTTTGACTAGAAAACAAGCAAATCAAAATGTTACTTTCTATGTAACATCAATATTGATAAAACATGGTATATGACTGTTTGAGTATTAAATTGAGTGACTATGAGACAAGTAAACATGTACCTGTCCTATCATTGTAGTAGCAACTAAATCCATTCTTCTCTCTTTAGCCATCATATCAGCCGCCTTAAGAAATATGTCCGCTCTTTTTTCTATTGGTGTTCTTTCCCACTGTTTTCTTGCTTTTAAACAACTATCAATACCTTTCTTTATTATATCCTGCAAAGATAAAACTGACATGTTTCTTCCAATTCTATTTAGCAATGAAAAATAATAAACTTATTATTAACAACACTGTAACATTTTATGTATGCAATCACAATCACGGCACTAAACTCTTGATTAAAACGTCCAAAAGATGTCAAAGTTGGTGCCTGCGGGGCTGATTATGGAAGTGTGCTTAATCATTCAGATGGGATGAGACAACAAGGTCCACGCATGTATACTTGTCATGAATGTAAACAATAAAAACCTTAGCAGTTTGAATTCAAAGAAGTGAAGGAGGAAACACCACTTTTACCCTTCTGTTGCACATGAAAATGACCATGTTAGTCTCAAAATGACAGAAGTATTGTGTTTATGTTAAACCCCATTCCATCACAATAAAATTTAGTTATATAAATTTATTATAGTAATATTCTTTATAAATACAATTTAAGAAGAAATTCAAGTCCATATGTTAATAATGTGTAGCAGAAGGAAGGCCGTTGGGTAAATGGTAAACAGAATATCAATCTCATCTGTCAACTAAACATAAGTAATGGAACTGTAGTATTTCATACTATAAGCCTCTTTAAGGGCATAATGAGGACAAATATAAGGTGGCTTAAACAGGAATTATGCAAGAGCTAAATCTTCCTATTGCAGGTATTTCTTTATGCCTTACATGTTATATAAATTATTAATTTAGACATTAATTAACTTACCAAGACCATAATCAACTCTCGATGCTATCGGATAGTCTAGATTTTCAATAGATTTAAACATGATTTGCGGTTGATGATCTAACGTAAAACTGGATAATCAACACTTTGTTTATTATCGTAGCAATGACAACTGAGGCTACACTGTTACTGTATCTCTTTTTTTTAACTATTATAGCGAGAACTGTCAGCTCTTTATCTAATCTTACATAATGACCCTTTAATATTATTATTAAATTTAGGTGGGTTTTTTTGCTTACCTTTGTTGCATACCTGTATTTAGCTACTTTATGGTTGTGGTCATGGGGCTGAAAAACATCAAAATAATAATCTGTATTACATAAAACTAAAATAGTAAAAATAATTATAAATGCTGCTCTATATAATATCAATAGCATTTTGACAAATTCTGCAAAATACAGATACAGGACTCTTAATTTTGATGGCATTCATCTTGATTATGATTAGTTGAATAAGCACATGCATAGGTCACAATTCTAAGAAATACAATTGATTGCTGTTGATTATTGAGTGATGTTTCAACTAGGAAATAATAAAGACTAGAGGAGCCCAGTCGAAACTTCGCTCAGTAATAAACAACAACTGTATTCCAGAAAAGGATGCCATGTGTTTTTCAGGTTCCATTACTGAATAAGTAAGACTGAGAAAAGCACAAATAAGTTGATGTAAGATCAAATTAAAAGTTATTTACCGAGACTTGAAATAATTCTGGGCCAGATCGAATTTCTTCATCTCCAATGACTATTGGTATATCTGCTACTTGTTGATTGTATCGTTTTAAAGCCTCTTCAACTTCTTTTCTCTCAGAACTACCAGGAGCATAGTCTAATAATGGTTCATTCACAGGTTCATATGTTTGGAAATTTTGACTAGCATAGCTCCGTGCCAAAATATATTGTCTACAAGAGAAGTAAAGTCATCTTTAACACTTTGTGAAAAGAATTATCTGGAATACATATTTATTGATACATAACTCACTTTTGTTGAATAATAAGATATTGAATGATAATTGGTATAGTATGGTATTGTCTTGTAAGATTTTCCATATATCCCTAAACCCAAACCAGGTACAAGAAATAGGTTAACCTTTGATATTGTTTAAATCAATATCTTCATTATCTCAAAAAAAAAACCCAGAGAGGAAATAGGTAACTAAGCTTTTCATTTGTTTACCTAAAGTGTCAATTAAATTACCACATATTTAAAAACATGTGAAACCAACCAAACAGCAAGTGCAACAATTAAAAGAACATTACATGTATATAATTAAAATATGTCAAATTAATATGACAATTAATTAATAGAATATCTGCAAAATAGATTTGAGGACAGGTCTAGATTAACATTATTTGATAACGATAAAGGGCAAACTCTCTATTAAAAACTGTAACTTGCAAGAATTACCTTCATAAATGTATGTACAAAGTACAGGGTATGCCATAGAAACTAACCCTAATACACACTAAAAACTTAGGTCTCACAGACTCATGGTTTTAACTTCTTTTTTGAAATACATATGTCATATTTCTTCAGGACATCTCTGTTTTTCTGTCTGTGGTTATTTTTTCTGACATTCTGATAGGGTTTTCACAGATTACATAGTCTAATAATGTCATCATCTTCCTCTGTCCATATATCAATTATGAATTTAAAATCTGTTAAATTGTCATAATTCAAAAAAAAAAGGACTGTCTGTATATATATATATATATATATATAGCCTATTGTCCAACCCATTAAGAGAAGGCTCTGCAAACACTCTGCACCTTTCTTTATCACTTATTGTCCGTTCAGACATGCAAATTAAACTGGTTTAAAATCCCTGGCAAATGTTTCACCAGTTTAATTTGCGCATCTGAAAACAAAGGTGGGGCAAATAAACCAGTTTAATACCCAGTTTTGCACTGGTCTTCGAAAAGGCTTTTTTGGCCATCTGAATGGTTTGGCTTAAAATCACCACTTTCGGCTTGCTTTGGGCATGTGCAGTAAAGAGAGCGAGAGAAAAAGGGTTTAACGTCCACTCGACACAAACTAGGTCATTTCGGCATTAACATATATATGGTTTAATTTTTTATTTCAATAATTTGCTTGCACACAGGGGTCTTTAGCAATGGGAGAAGCGTAGGGGTCTTTAGCAGTGGGAGGAAACCAGAGGACCCAGAGAAAACCCCACGAGGTTGGACAGGTGACCCTACTCCTTGTCACGTACAACCAGGGATTCGAAACCACAACAGTTGACTCAATGACAGGCCTTATGATCCCTTGCGCATAGGCTAACCATTCGGCCATCCATCCAACCCCCCGCATGTGCAGTAAGCTATCTTCTTGGCAAAATCACGACATGTGCCAATGCGTATTAACTCTATTTAGTTTAACTGGTTTGGCTTATAGTATGTGTGAACGCAACACTAGTTCCCGGTGATTATAAACTAGTTTAAATATAAGCATCTGAATAGGTTATATAAGACAAGTTACCCACTTTTTGCAGTTATCTTTCTGCTATCACTATACCCATGTAATAAACATCAAATAAACTAATAATCAAGTGTAAATTTTACATGGTCGACTGCCTATGAATAGAAATGAAATCCACAATATCTAATTACAAATATACCGGACTCATTTCATCACTTATTTCTTGACAGTCTTAATCTTAACTAGACCATACATTTGTACATTTCTACTTTGACTCTTGATTGGCCCGCATTTCGCTATTCTTCTTTGAACGCTTTTTTTTGTCTCCATTCTATTTGCTAAAAACATCACCTTATAATATCTTGTGATAATAAACCTGTGCCACATATAAATGTTAGGTAAAGTTGTTTGATGGGAATCTTATTTTAAATGAGATTGAATCCAACCTGTTTTTAATGGGACGGTTTATATCCTTCAATTTTTTTAGGTCTTTCTTTTAATTTAAATATTTGACTTTCCTAAATGGTTTCTTTTTGTAACTTAAAGATACATTATGGGAGATTAGATAACGAGTTGGCAGTTCTCACTATAATAGTTAAAAACTAGATAATGTAAAGGGAATTTGCTGAAAATTTCATTCAAATTGATCCACTCTGAACCAAGAATTTAGCAATTGAATTTTTGGCCTAGCCTCGATCATCATTACCAAAGTCGCCACGATAAAAAACATAGTCTTGATTATCCATTTCATGATTAAATCATGAATGAAAGTTGAGCAGCAAATCAGATCCTAATCCAGTAAATATCGCAGGCTAGCGATGACATCAAGAGTTGATTATGGTCTGGATAAGTTAATTAATGTCTAATTAATAATTTAGATAACATTTCAGGCCTAAAGAAAGACCTGCAATAGGCACATTTAGCTCTTGCATAATGTATATTTAAGTATCTAATTGTTGAAACTCTGATTTTCCAATTTTACCATTTCCCATAATATCTTGGCATCACTGTTATTATGATACACTTCAGCTTCTATGAGTTTTTAAGAAATTTTATATAATATTATGGCTTGGTCTAAAAGTAGCAAGTTGTTTCGTTTCAAAAACTTGGGAGCATCTATTGTTTTCCTTGATGTTAACCTTTGTCAACTATATTGTTTACATGTATTATTGATTATTGTCATCTGCTAGAAAGATATTATATACCCATGTGTGAGCGGGAGTAGAGGTGATATAGTTATTATTTCGTAGATGATGTAATAAACATGGTTCAAGATGTTAATAGTTATTGAAGTTAAAGTTTAAGAAAGCATAAGAAATGATGTTGAAATCATTTAGATAATGCTGGTTTAACACTAAAGGAAAGTTAATTAGTCCTCACTATAGTCTTCTGATTTGATTTTCACCTCAATGAAATCAGCACTCAGATTTTTATATTTGTTGCCCAGATATTGGATGCTTGTTCCGGATGGTAAAAGTGATCAATTTAAGGAAGAAACAGAGCCTAATGTCTCTAGAAGTTTCTTAAAAGGACGTTCCAGTTACTATTTAAAAAAAGACCAATGCTACAGGTACATGTAGCCATCAGATTCCCAACAGATCAAATCCTCTAAAAAGTTGATAAAAGATCAAGATGTGCCGTATGTCAGTCTACATGCATTTGGGCCAAAGATTATTCTGATAAAAACAAAATGTACTGTGTCACTGATGATGGAACCGAAGCCAATGGAGAAGCTGATTAAGAAATGGTAATTTAACCTTATTTACAAAAGAAATTCTGTTTTCAGAATCTCTTAGCACAGCTATTATAGATACAGTAGGCTTAACGGTATATTATCAAATATTGATATAAATTATTGTGATACATACAAGTTGAAATAATGGTGGATTTGGTTTAACAACTTCCAAATTTGCTTGGAAATCTTGGTCATTTTGAGGGTTATTTAGACACAAAAATGTTACAATTTTAAATTAAACAATGACAATTGGGAATAAAGAACAGAATATTATCAAATAACGAAATAAATTATTGTGATATGAGTTGATATAATGGTGGATTTGGGTAATCGTGCTACCCGTAATGCTGTAGACATCAATCACCATAGGGTACGTGAGACACTTCGATCTAATTGTCGCGTTATTGTCTACAAATACAGTGGCTGGTTTTTTGCTGTGCTGACTTGTGTAGTAGATAGTTTAAAGGGCCAATCCCGATAATATTTTGGAGAATAAAACTGCTTAATTTTGTGCTAAAATCCTCTACCTCGAGCAACTGACTCAATATTTATGATACATATTCAAACAACGTAAACCTGTCAGTCTTCATCTGGAAATCGAGACCGGTGTCCCAAGCTGTATTATATATATGGTGTCTGAATAAAATCAGACTTTTTTTTTATAAAAAAAAAAATGTAGGTGAAATGTATCTTTCGTTAGCAAGTACAGCATGTGGGTCATTCACTGTATAGACCTTTAAAGGAACAAGAATCGATTATTAGGTCACCTAAAGAAAAAATTCAGCCAAAATCTTGGTTACGTGTCCGGATAAGCATTTTTGACGTTCACATCCAAACAACTCAATATTTTGCGCTGAAATTTTGAGACAAGATAAATACACCATTCCTCCATATTATGGCGCTTAAATTTCATACGTTCTCAGACTTTTATTTTTGAGACTCTGTTCAAATCGGGATATTCCCTTTAACACGCGGTACATGTTACATGTGTGTACCAGGTAGGGGATGCTTGCTTTTTGAATGTTAGTGTCTTAATTTGGATAATTAAGACTGATGTTTGTGGTCAGTGCGATTTTGTGTTGCTATACAAATCGTTGCATTTAAATTTAATTATGCTTTAATTTATGTATCTGATTTTGTACTTTTCCAGATTTAGACTAGTAGCCTATATTGTGTAGGATTAGGATCAAATATTATATCATTGTATTGTCATGACATCTGGCATTTGCATGCATTGTCATTTATTAATATTATACCCGTGTAAAACAAAAGTTACTGAACATGCCATGCACGAATATAAAAAACCTATATACATGTATACTTATATCTTACCTTGCAGTTACAAGCAATCTTCTATAACCTAAAGAAGACATCGTGTGAAAAGAATTTAACTATTGCTGATAAGTTTGTGGGTTATTCAAGAACATCAAGCATGATTCCACAAGAGCCAAATAACTACGGTTAAAGCGCAAAAATATAGTTCCTACTGTATTCCTTTCATGTTAACTTTAGAGATTCAAAACAGTAGATATTAAGCAAATGATAATTTAACACTAATATATTTTTCACGATCTCACGAAAAAACTGTCTTTAATTTATTTCATTTCCTAATTTTGTTAAATAAATGCGCTTTGGTTGGATTTGGAGGTGTGTATTTGTTTGACCAATAAGAAAACATTAGGGGGAGTATTGACCAATCAAACGGCAAACTGACAACTTACGTAAATTGGAAACTGAAAGTAGAGAAAAAGATCGCAATCATATGCTCTCACGCGTAATGAATTATCAACCCGTTTAATTGTTTCTTGTTACAGGGAAGGCCGCGATTTCAAAATAATTCAGCTCAGTTCATTTTTTAATGGTGAAGAAAATAATATAACACAGTACCACACTGAAATTCAGTACTGACAGTAGCCTACTTTATCTTCAATTTGGTTTTCGGAAATACCCAGAAATTTCTGTTGTATGCCGTTGTATTCTCTAGTGACTCAATGTGAAGGGCGCTTGCTCACTAACTTTCAATCCTCGGTATTTTCCAGCGTGATAAAGATAAAGCAAACCAGCGGTTGCCAGGCAAGATACGCCCACATTTTGCAAGAAATTGATAGAGAATCAGGGACTATAATCCAGGAAGTTATGGTCTGAAATGCGCGATCCGAATATCAATCGAAATGTAGGCCTAATGAGATAAAAGATATATTTAAACTTCATCAAAATCGTACACTATTTGCGTAAGAATAAAAGCGACCATTTTGTCAGGCATAATTTCGATTCGATTTTCACGAAATTCGAACTCAACCGTCATTATGATGTAACACTAACAGTGATAATACTAATAGTGATATATTTAAACGTTTTTTAAAATCAGATAAAAATGTGACCTAGTGGATCCACAAGCTAAAAACGTGATTTTTTGTACAATCACTCAGGGGCCAAAATCCAGGAAGTTACGGTACGATATATGCGCAAATATCGAAAGGAACCAAGATCTTTGGATTAGGCTATAATCATACATTTTAAGTTTCATCAAAATCAGATAAAAATTGTGACTTTTATAGGGTGTCCGCAACTTTGGTATTTCACTTATACACTACATGTATTTGCGTACAAGGAGCGGCATTTTGGGTCAGATTTTTACAAAATTTAAATTAGCACGTACGTCTCTAACTCAATATCATCCAAAATCTTCCACATTGAAAACACAAATAATTTGTCAATTGAAATCAATATTAATGTTGTGATCTTACGGGGAAAAGATGGGCTTCGGATATCCAATATTCAAGACAAAATAAACATTAATTTTACCATTGGAACATGAATCGTGTACCATAATGCGTTTCAGCGCAATTTATGAGGGATTCATAAAATGAGGCTAGGCATTTTCCACAAGTCATTCAAACGGTGACAGCATATTCTTATCTGGAGATCATGCGCAATAAATACTGTCGGTGTAGACTGGAATAACCAGACGCTAGGGATTGCCATTCGATTGAGACGTCTGGCGTATTTCGCCGAACCTAACTGATTAGAAATTACAGTAAAAAACAGAAATGATTGAATGTAAATCAGTGTATATATACATTCATATTATATTATTATATGCGTTGCAACCTATTTGTGTCAATTTCTAGGTCTCAAATATTAGCGAATTAGCCCCTTTAAACTCAACCTTCGTTGATGTGTAATACAAATGTGTAATAAAATGGAAAACAAATTGTGACTTCTAGCAGGTCCAAAAGCTAATAATAAAGAGGCCATAATCTAGGAAGTTACATTCGGATATGCACGATTATCGAAAGGAACCAAGATCTTTGTAATATAAACATAATTTAAAGTTTTATTAAAATCAGATCAAAATTGTGGCCTTCAGAGGATGTACAATCTTGATATACCATATATTTACACTATTTGCACACTAGGGGCGGCCAGTTTGTCCGTCAGTTTTTGTCTGAATTTCACAAAAATAAATGAAATGAAATGGAAATGGGGTTTAACATCCTACTGTTCTGCTCCGACTGGGCTAATGAAGACAGGCATACGTCATACAGTGTGCTATGAGGGAAATTTTGCCCGGGCAGCGGCACTATGGCTTACTCTTACATCGAATTCTAACGATTTTCACGAAATTCAAACCCAACTATCATTATTGTGTACAGTGAAATATTCAAACATTTTAAATCGGATAAAAATTGTGACCTGTGGAGTGTCAACAAACAAATTGTGGATGGACGGACAGGGGCGACGACAATATCCGTCCACATGAAAATGTGGGCTTATAAAAACAACGTCTAGTTGTTCGGAGTCCTAATTGTACTGTTAAATACCAGGAAATGAAATGAAATGGGGTTTAACGTCCTACTGTTCTGCTCCTAAACTGGGCTAATGAAGACTGGTATATGCCATACAGTGTGCTATGAGGGAAATTTTGCCCGGGCAGTGGCGCTACGGCCTACTCTTATATCGAATTCCAACTGCCAAGGGATCTTTTAGGTGCACGCCAATATGTACACGGGACCTCGGTTTTTCGTCCCATCCAAACGACTAGACAGCTGTCCTTGTCAGGCCCTCCGTCCTGCATCACTGACAAGAGGAAACAATGCCGGAAAATTTGGATGAACTATCTCGACCAATGCTGGGATCGAACACCCGACCTCCAGGCTAGCGAGCCAGCGTCTTTCCTACTTAGCCACGTGATCCCCCTAAATACCAGGAACGCACTGTGAGGGGTATGCTGTTGATAGCATGATTAGTTTTTTTTTCTATTTCAATATCCAGAAACATTTTCAAGTCAGATACAAATAGAAAGAATTGCTAATAAAAATTCAACTATTACTGGGTTTTATTGATGGTTGCTAAATTCACTTCACTTCTACCATTTCAATCAAAGAAATTCTAAATTACTTGAGGATAGGTTTTTCAAACCTTAATTACGCAATAATTTAGTTGTTGATAGATTTAATGCAATTATTACTACTGGCAGCATCAATAAAACACTTGTTGCTATCAAAAATTTCATTATTGGGCAAATATAGAACAAATTATTTCTACTTTTAATGCTAAGTATAATGAAATATGTGTTACTTTGGGATTCCATGTCGTTCATGACTATTGTAGGTATGATTTTTTTTATCTCCCAAATATAATTTTGCTGTCAGTTTTCCAAAAAATTACATTTGTGCATAATATTTTGTTTGTGTGAAGGCAAATAAATCACAAAATTATAGGGATGAAATTCAGAAACCAACACCTCTCTTTAGCAAAATCTCAGTCAGTCTCTTGTGAATGCAGACTGCAGTCTCACAGTAAAAATCACTGCCTAGCCAAGCTGTTTGTTTAGGAAGCAGTTCTTTGACAAACAGCGTGAGTGCCCATCCTTCTAAGTAAAATGGTCAGTAAAATTTTTTTTTTTTTTTTTCGCCACAGGCCTTGAAGTGCATTCATATCCTAATTATTTTATTTATTTTTTTAAATAACCAAGAAAGATAACTGCAAACAGTTTATTACAAAAAAAAGAAATTATCTTAAAATGTAGATAATTCTGAAGGTAACCATAATAACAACAGCAGGAGAAATATGACAATAATCACATGGCTAACAAGATGGTCTTCTGGTTTCATTTTTTAAACACGAGTTCGAAAGGTCTGAAAAAATTACAAACACAAAAACAATTTACAAAGACAAAATGTGATTCCGGAAAAATATTACAAAAGACACCTTAATACAACAAATATTAACAAATATTTGAATGATACAATTATACACATTAGTGGCATTGTATTTCTAATGTCACAAATTGCTAATATTTTGGGGATTTTGTATAATATTTAGGTAAGCTTTATATTAATGCTGTCGCCAACTATAGAAATTGTAAAATTGCTTCCAAAACAATCAAATTACTGTAGATTTTACACAACTAAGTCATATCAATTGAGGACTTAATGCTCATGATTAAATGATGTTTGATGTTAATAAAGCCAATTACATACAACCAAATACATCATTTGTTTGACAAAGCAGCGTGGACACAGGGGTGGGTATGATCTTTTACACCAATGGCTTGGCTTGTTGGTGGGGGCTGGGTTTGGATTCAAAATGTAATTACAATCTAGAATTGCAAAGCAGGTATGAAAGCTTTCATATTCAAAGTCACATTCAAATCGTTCATTAGATATATAATTTTAAAATACCAAAGAGTTTGTTTAAAAATTCTAACTTTGCACTTTTTTTGATTCTGTATACAAAAGACTGATACATATATTGAGATATATCAAAATTCTGTCTGATAACTTTTATAGCGTTCATCATGTTAATCTAGATTACTTCATTTTATGTATCACACACGATGATTAGAAACATTGGATTTGTATCCGTTGACATCAAAAGATTGTCTAATATCTTATAACTTTTTAACTTAGTTTCTAAATAAATAGTTTCTAAATAAATACTTTAGTATTATTGTCCATAAATCAAATACTTTGGCTTCTGCCACATTGGCCATTTAGTCAAATATTCCATTGGATCCCCCACCTACCAACACCGCCTCAACTTTTGAACTGGCCGCACCATTTCAATGGGTTATTTCTAAGACAAATATAAATTGTAAGTACTTTCAAATAATTAAAAGTATACATTATAGGAAATCTAAGTTGAAGCTTATCATATAAAGGTCAGATCGTGCATTTTCCAATCTAAAACAAATTATACAGTATGTCATTTTCAGAAAGATAAACAGGAAAAAAAATGCTACCAAGGAGGTCAATAAAGCTATTATTACACTTGATCAAATATATTTAAAGATGCATTATATTTTAGAAACAGAAGATGGGTCTCAAAATAAATTGTATCAGTATAGTTTTTAAAAATACACCATTAAATCATTTTGTATTAGCACATGCTATTAATTTAAGTAGGTAATACCCCAAGGATATTTTTTGAAAATGGGTCCCACAGCCAAACCGCAGCAAAAATAAAGATACAAAGAGTTTGAGAATATTGAAAGATCACATGTAACCACAAACAAAA